CCGCGCATTGATCACGCAATATCGCAAATGGCCGGACCCCTCGTCCATCTGTACTTTTTTCAAGTGCCCGACACGATGGTTTAGCGCGATTGATTCACGAGTCTCTTCCCATAAACCGCGGTCAAGTGTGACGTGTGAGCAGAGCAATTTTTCTTTTTTTTTCAAAAGTGCGCCGATGAATGAAACGCCTGTTTTATGCGAAAGAATTTGTATATGTGTGTGTGTGTGTGTGTGTGTGTGTGTGTGTGTGAGAGAGAAAGAGAGAGAGAGAAAGAGAGAGGCAGGGAAAAGAAAAACTAATCTATAATATGATATAAAAAATAATTGATAATATGATATAAAAAATAATTTAATACAATAATATAATACGATATAAAAAATAATTTTGACTCTGTTGCCGTCACCGGCTTTCAGCAAGTTTGGTTTTTACGCGCGAAATTGATTCCAGTATTATTAAAATTTCAAACTCCCGCAACGTTGAATCAGTCAGTCATCGCGTCAGTCCCAAAGTCTCCCCGTTTTTTATCATGTAGAGGAGAAGGTGGTATTATGGCCACTTTCAGCATCTCCGTTATTAGGCGGCGAATTCCAGTTATTACTTGTGGAATCGTTTGTTTAGTAGTTCGCCATTAGCGCAATGACGCTAACATATCAATACGCAAAAGCTGGTACTTTTTATAACGCATTTTTACTTTTGAACATTTCGAAGTGTTTCTCAAGGTACATTTTAACATTTAATTAGACATGTGTACTTATTATTTTTAAACTCGAGCGTATCATCACGCGAATATATGTACAATCGAGTATTTGGCTTGTTACTCGAAATTTTATTCGACTGTAAATCTCTCAAGTTATGCATGACATTTTGCTAATGTGGCCCCATAAGAGTGCTGACGAACACCGTCCCTTTTTCGAGGTTTTTGTACCAAAGTAATCATTCGATAAGTCGATTCTAATCTCTAGTCTACTATTGCACTTGTATTTGCGCTGTTGTTTTTCCGGCAGTTTGTGTTTCCCAACAAGTAAGTCAATATCCTCATTAAAAATTCGCAGTTATACTCATTATTATTCCCCTTCTAAGAGTTTAATTCGAGTCAACGTATAATTTCGTAGTTAAACGCTTTGTGTTATTTTAAACAAAATTAATTTTTTGCATCAGTTTTAGCGAGAGAGACCGTATTACCACCCCATTTTCTCGCCGGCCCGTTATGCTGTGTCGCCATTTTTATAAATAACAAGTAATGAAGGTTACGTAAAGTTGAGTCTGTCATCGATTAAACAACACCGCGACAAAGGTAATCATTCGGTTCTCATTTTAAAATATCGATTATCGACAAAGTTATCGTACAGAATGCGAGAGCCATAATATACCACCTTCTCCTCTACATATTATATTATAATAATTATTTTCGATGTGATATATTCGGTGTGCTCTTTCGGGGGGGGGGGGGGGCCGCGGGCGATTGAATCGATGAGCCTACGCCAGTGAGAACAGAAATACTCCGTCCTTGGAAATACTCCGAAACGCACACGCGCGTCTTCCACTCGTGCGCTCGTGCGGCACGCTCTGGCGTCCTTTAACGGAGGTGGTGCGCGAAAGGTAATTAAGAGGACCCATGTGGCGCAGGTGCAAATTACAGGGAAAAGCTCGGCGTCGCCAACCACGCGGCTTTCCATCGGCCGTGCAACGATCCGCGACGGGCATGATTACGCTCGTGACACGCAGCGCGCGCGTCAAGAAAATATACAAAACGTGTGTTTAGAGTAGGAATACAATGATAAATCGATAATATTGAAATATCGATATATCGAGAGACAAATATCGAATAATTATCGATATATTTTTGTCGCCGATAAAATCGATATATCGATATGAATTTTACTAATATTTCGTATTTTTCAGTTACAGCTCTGGGGGCCTATTACGGTTCTGCGACCGAGATGAAAATGACAAAAGTGAGTGGGATATATATTATGGTGGTTCACTGGGATATATATTATGGTAACTGGTCGATGTCTAATAAATTCGCTCATTTTTATCAGTTTCACCTCACTCGTTGAACCGTAATAGATCTTCCGCTCCATGTATGCGGTGATCTCCGGCAAACGACTGCGGTTTATTATATATTTTCTAATAAGAATATGACAATAAATTATGTGAAGATAAAAATTTTTAAAAGATCTTTTTAAATTTTTCGTGTATACCTTTTATACGCATACCCGTATATGTATATATGTTTTTATATAAACATCGATATAAATATTGATATTTTTCAAAATTATCGATATCGATAATTATCGTTATCGATGATTCTGAATGACGATAATATCGTTATCGATATTTTGAGAAATCGTTGCATCCCTAGTTTAGAGCGACACAGTAAGTATGCAGCGTACTCTCTCTCTCTCTCTCTCTCTCTCTCTCTCTCTCTCTCTCTCTCTCTCTCGCAGCTTATATACTCAGGCTCATATACTCTCTTTCTCCGCTCATTTTTCTCCCTCTCGTGGCGCGATGCCGGTCCCTTTCCACCCTCGTGTAGTCGCTGACTAACACACGCGGCCCGATAACTTCGCCCTTAGCCGGCGATTGGCCACGCGCAGAAAAATGAAACGTTCTCCGCGGGAAAGGAGCAGAGAGCGGAGGGGGCGGGGAGAGGAGAAGGCAACCCCGAGGAAAAATGCGCTCGCACCTCCGCGCGGCGAATTGCACGGCCTGTCGAAATTACTCATCGCGTCGATACAGAGCGCGTTTTTTTTCCGCGAGTCGAGTATTAACGGCGGGCCCGCGGAACGGCGCGCCGTCACGCTATGTATCCCGGGAATTTATGTAATCCGCTATATGACCAGTCTCGCCGGGGCGAGATATCGGAAAAGCTTTTTTCGATCGGAAGCGCGAGCGCGAGCCCCGTCGACGAGCGCGTACGTACGTGCGCGTGCCAAGGAGGAAAAATGGCGGAGAGTTGATCAACATTCGAGTTTGCCGCCGTATCCCCCCCTCCCTCCCGCCCCCCCCGTTTATACGCCGTTATTCGACAGCAGTGAGCGTAATCGGCCGCTCTCCATCGTATCCATATTAAACCGACAAACTGCGCGTATTAAACGTCGAGCCGCCTTACTTAAGGCGGATCATCGGACCATGACGGCTGATCAATGATGCGATCAGCGATGCGCGATCGGTGCCGGATCGCGCTCGCTCGCTCATTCGCTCGCTGCCTACCTCCCGCGGCCGGCCGCTCGTGCTCTCGCGCTCTCGTGATCTTCGGGAGTGACGCAAAAGGATCGCCTAATGATGATTTATACGCCGTGTAATTCGAAAGCCCTCGCAGAGGGCAAACAGTGCCGCGACCGGGGCGGGCCTTGGCCCGCGCGGGTCTCCCCGCTGCGTCTCTATTCCGAGTCAATATTGACCATGCTGAGGATATAGTGGACTCCGGCGCGCCATTCGACACGCGATCCGGCGCGTGTAAATTTTACACGACGGCAAATAAATATTTGCAGCGGCCTCCTCGGGCCTTCGGCCGAGGCGCGCCCGCCACCGGGAGGGTTGCTTCCCGTTACACATTCGCATGTCCTGCTCGCCGAGGTAATGGCTTCGCTCTCTCGCGTCCCCGGATGTACCTCGGCGACCGATGCAGCCTCACGGCGATGATTCTCCGATCGTGCCGTAGCTCAAAGCCTTAAGGAGGAGTGACGAGACGCGCGGTAAAGTCGAGAAGGAGAAGAGAGAAATGAACGGCTAAGCCGGAGGAGCGGAGCTAAACGAGAGCGGGGCTGTGAGCGGGGAGAATGAACGAACGAACGAACGAACGAACGAACGAACGAATGGCCGGGTGGAGAGCGGGCGAGGGGGCGGAAAGTCAATATTGCGCGCGATGGGATACGTCGGAATTATTGCTGTATTAAAATTTATCGGATATTGGAGGCGCGTACGCGGCTAAACTTACTTGGTCGTGTGCACGTCGTTTTATGGTTTTCCGATATCTGACGCACCCGCGAAAATGCGCGGACCACGCCAGGGTTCCGGCGATGGGGACGCAGGACGACCGAATAAACGCGCGCGAGTTTCCGCCACTTGCTCGAAATTCAAACCGAGTCGCGCGAGATAAATGAAGCGCGGCCGAGGCGCAGGACAAATTCAGTCGTCTCGAATTCGTCTAAACTTGGTGCCCCTTTGGTCCTGTAAAAACAGGACCAAAGGGGATAAAAATCAATCGCACGCGAGAAAGACTGTTTAGTCGAATGAAGCGCGATTCTCTGGTAAAGTACAAGCGACTCAAACTTTCCAATTGAAGGTACGATAATTTCAGCTGGACTTTGCCAGAAATCTTAATAAATATTTCCGACCGAATTCGTTCATGTTTCATCAGAAAATTGTTTTATTCGACCAACCTTTTTGTTCTGTATATCTTAAATCATTTGATTATTTTCGATCAATTTCGTCTTTCTTGATGAAAGCGAGGGAGATTGAAGAGAATTTTTGCTATAAATGTGTACAAGATAAATATTAAAAATATTATAGAGACAAGTAGTGTAATATTGAGAGTAAATTTATTAGGATATCCAAGTAATTAGCAAATATAATTCTAGGATTGTCGACTGCACAAGAGCGAGTTTCACGAATGCACACTGAAAAAAGTGTCGGCATCCTCGCGTAAAAAAGTTCGATAAGTGGAGAAAATAGGCGCAACGGGAAACGTTTTGCAGCATTTGCATCGACTACACCTGTGCTTCGCCGACGCGCTCGCTTCCGAGCGCTGGGGAATGTCAGTCAAACTCTCGATAATAAAGAAGAAAATTCTCAGAATATTCCCGCCAACGTTCCATTAAAATTGCAAAGCTGCCAGCCGATCGCCGAGGTATCGGCAGATTCTCCGTTTTGCCGTTTCGATATTTTCGCAAGTGTGGCCCGACGAATGAGACAACACGGCGGAAAACCTCCAGTAGAGTTCTCCGTTCAATAAAGGGGAGGAAAAAAAGTCTAGCGAAAAGCGCGATCTTACCCAAATTGCCGGCGCATCTTTTCCGGCACGACTCGCTGCAGAAAACTCGGACAAACGTGCACAATTTGATTCTGAGCTCTGTACGGGGGTGCAGGCTTCGCGGCGGTACGCTGCTTACACCGGATCGACGTAAACTCGATGCAAACCAAACGGACGCGCGACGACGACTGACTCCCACCGGCTCCGGGCAACGCGAGCGCGAGTTAGAGTGGCACGAAGTGTGTCGGTGACCACCGAAGGCGGCCGAAGTTTCGTTTGAAAAGCCCGATTGTTGCGGCCCGCGGGTCCTTTATTTATAATTTTCGCGCATCCATATTTATGTGTCGTTTCTCGCTCATCGCACCCCGCCCGTCCCGCGAGTCCCGCGAGAACAACGACCCGACATAAGCGGGAAATTTACCTTCCTCGCGCGCTTATGCCCTCACAATCGCAAGGAAGTTGTTGCACAAAAATTGCAAAGCGACATTTTTGCATCGAACGCTTTCGCACGGGCGAGAAGCGCGTGCTGACGTTTTCTAGTTTCGTATTTTGGACTCGAGAATTCGAGATGAAATATTGCGTAAATATTTCTTATTTTTCCTAAAAATGTTCAGATCATTTTATATCAAACAATTTCGCGCAGAAATTTCCAGTTTCCTACTGCAAATTCGCCACGCTCATCAAAGTATCGCTACTTAGCGCACAAATACGGAGAGAAAAATGTTGAGAGAAAATATTTTTGCATAAATTACGAATTTTCTGCTCCAAATTTGACATGCTGAAGACTTTCCGGGGTAGCACAATGCGCCGTCGCAAACACCAGAAGTGTTCCTAGATGTTTCTAAAAATCGAGAGAAGCGCGTGTGGAAATCCCTCTCTCCTCATAGCCCCTCCCCAAAGATTTCCCGCCTCGAGTTTGGCGCCTTCAAGACCCATCGAAAAGCGTCGCGTAAACGTGAGCGAAGCAACGAGGCACGACGCTGTTTACCCGCTCTTGAGCCATTAACCCTTATTACCAATACTCCATTTGAGTGCTCTTAACTCAACCGGCAAGCTTGGCAAATTTAATCGATCCAGATTATAGCGCGAGACAAGCAGCGGATAAACCTCGAGGAAGAAGGTGGGGCCGACTTTTCCTCTGCCAGACGATCGTAATCGTAAATCAACCGATCGCGCGGTTCTAATCGACGTGTACTCGGTATCGTTCCTCTCCAAGCTCCCGCTATTGCTGCCGTTGCTGCTGCCGTTGCTGATGCTGCTACTGTTGCCGCCGTCGTCGCCGCCGCCGCCGCCGCCGCCGCCGCCGCCGCCGCCGCCGCCGCGCGCAAAAAGGCCTTCGACCGAGAAATTCCACGGTGATCAAAGGGAACTCTCCTCTGCCTCGGGAAACTGCGCAGCTCCCGGACTTTTCGCAAAGGGTCAATCGCGCCGATTGCTTAATCACTTTCCGAAGCCCCGGCGGACGTATAACTTCGCAACCCGGCCGCGATACCGATCTCGTCGCGTAGTAACTTCCAGCCGGATAATTAAAACTTATCGACTACACGCGGCGAATACGGCGCGCCGCGCGCGCGCAGGAGACGGCGGGGGCAGGAGGGCGGGAGAGACGTCTTTCGTCGCCCGAACACGCCCTTTGTGTGTAAATCACGTTTTTCTCGCGCGCTCCTTTGCGGAGGAGAGCACGGGGTGCGCAGGGAAGGGGGGGCGGGAGGAGGGTCGTTCAACACGGTAACGTAAAGACGCCGGTTTGCGACGACGACGTGACGACGACGACGTGACGTAAAATCCGTCCCGCACCTCTCCGGTTACGGGCGAGATAAGAGTGCGCGCATATATATATGTCTGCGAAATATCAGCCGCGGGAAATTGCTCGGGCGCTTTTGTTTACGACACTCGCCGCACGATATCGCTAATAAATCGGTTGCGCTGATTAATTTTCGCGTCGTGGAGCGATCGAGCCGCAAGGTCGAGAAACAAAAGCAGGAGCGGCTCGAAAATCGTTTCCATAGTTTCCGCGTGAGATTTCGCCGACGAGCACGAGACGCCGCGCCGTCGTCGAGGCTCGCCTAAATCGCCAAGTGGTCGCTTCGAGCTCCTCTCGAGCGGCTTGTCGTCTAGGATGTTAAAGCGAAGCAAGGCTCGATCCGGCGCGAAAGCGCTCACCAATCGTCCTAGTAAAAAGTCCGTTAAGTCGCGCAGCCTGTCCTCGTCGGCCTCGCACCTCGGCAGCCACGTCGGGTGAGCAGAGTGCACGGAGAAAGAAAACCGGCGAATCAACGTGACGCGATGAAGAAGCCAAACGCCTTTTCAGACGGAGTTTCAGCGGCAAATTTGCTCCTGAGGACTGAGACGGTTCCGTCTGCCTTCGTGTTCGGCTCGCCCATCGCCACGTTCACTCGGACGATCTTTTTCCCTTCGTGTATTGATCGGCCGATGCGTTTTACTTTGCTCGACGGGCGTCTCTAAGCGATTCCTCTTTCACGTGTTCTCCGCCGGAAGGTCGAAGCGCGTGTCCTCGAGAGTCTCGCCGGCCGAGGAACGCGGATTGCCCGCGGCGGCCGAGCAGCCGAGAAATATGGCGACGACGCCGGAGCACGTGGCGGCGCATTTCGGTAATTTCTACGGTCTTTGGGGCAATGCAAAGAAGAAGACGCCCTGCGAGAGTCGGCGGGGCAACGTCCTCGGGGCGGAAGAGACGGCGGCGACCGGCGGGAGGCGTCGATCGGAATTCACCAGGCGGATGGTGCACAGGTACGCGGCGAGTCTCGTGAAAATCAAGGCGAGAATTCCGCCTGTCAAGTTTCCGAGAGACGTCCGCGAGACGTTCTTTTCCCTTGAAAGGCTGCAGCGAGCGAGTGACACGGGAAATTACGCGCGACAAGTGTCGACCTTGCTGAAAGAGACGGTGGAGCCGCCAAACTTCAGGCTAAGCCCATTTCTGTCTGAAAACTCAATTCCCAATGGGAGCCGAGGGATCTCGGATTACCCACTCTGGTACAAGAAGCCTCATGAGATACCGTTAGTGTTCTCGAATCCTATCGCTCAGGCTGATGCATGACCCTCGAGACGAGGCGCATTAACGGGAGGTAGGATAACGTATCGTAAATAGGATATTTAAGAATATAATGAGAAATGAATAATGAACAGGACGAGAGAGAGAGAGAGAGAGAGAGAGAGAGGGTAGGGGGATCTGGAGAGGGGCAGAGGGAAGAGGGAACTGAAGGCTAATTTATGATGCACTTTGATTCATATTGAATCTCGTTAAATTTGCAATTACCGTTTCGGCGAATTTGCCGCGACTCAATTAGAACTGATTTTTTCTTTTTGTCATTTTTTCTTTCTCTCTCTCTCTCTTTTTCTTTTTCTTTCTAGCAAATTATTACGATAAATAATCGCAAATATAGCGAACAAATTTACTTACCTATCGATACAGCTCCATTGCCATTTCGCTTCACTCAACGGTTTCACTCGTTCAATTTGCGGCGAATTTTAACCGGACAAACGAGCGTAAATATGATGAACGAATACATCCGTCAAAATTCGACATACCGCCATTGCCGTTTCATCATAGCGACCGTCCGCGATATATTCGATCGTTATTTATTCGCGCGTTTTTACACAGCCGAATGGCTTGCCACAGCGCGGCGATGCGACAAACGATCGCGATCAAATGAGCGCAAGCATAAGCAACGAGGGTACTTTACCGATCGATGCGTCATCGATGCCGCTTCACCGCTCCCCCTCAGCGCACGGCCCCTCGCGATGCTTTCGGCCGACGTTTATCCGCACATACTTCCACACCCTCGAACATCTCCTTTGCTGAAACTTGAGTAAATAATGTTGTAGAATGTAGTACGACAAGCAAATATATTATTAATACGAATTTTGTCCTTATACAGTTAAATAAAGGAAAAAGAAGTTGTTTTGTTTTTTATTTTTTTGTTATTTTGTTGTTTTTTTTTGTTTTCTTATTTTTTAATAAAAATGAATAATGTGAGTAGTTTCGTTGTTTTGTATAGCGGCGTTTTTCGAATTTGCACGCGTGATTATATATAATTATTTTTCAACAACAACAAATCGATATTCAGGAAATGGCGCGGCGAATGTTCTGCGATATTCTCACCTGTGTGTCGATTACGTTGCAACGACGGTCGAATTTCATCCATCCTGCCGATTCCGAAACTCTCGTCAAGAGTTCGAAGCGAGTCTCATCGTTCGTACAAGGCGAAGAAACGAGCAGACAGGTTAGGTCGCGGCCAGTGAGTCAGTTCTCTCGTCCTGCAAACATGAATTAGGACATTAGCTCTCGCGATACTCCCTCTGCGATTTATCCGTACGCACTTGCACGCTTGAGCACGTCCGCCGCGGAACGAGCAGATAATGTCGAGGTAAGCAATGAGAAACCGCTGTTTAATCCACCGCAACGATCGTACGTGAAGCAACGCGTGAGAAAACTCCGAGATTCAACGCGACGACAATAACGGTCGGTTTGAAAAATACGAAACAAAGCGGTCGCGTGATTGGCCGAGCAAAGCGATCTCGAATGATCGAATTCGCTCGTCTAATTTATCGATTGACTCGATCGATCGCGGTCCTGCGCGATATACTTCGGCACAAAAAATGGCGGCGAATCGATTATGTGAATGTTTTCCTTTACCGCAAACTCGTGGAAGATGAGAACTTTTACATGTTCTTATTTTTGATAGCTACCCTTCAAAGTTACGGGATTTTCACTCTTCACGAGCTCACGCTAGAGAAAAAAAGTTACGGTCGAGCATGATCGATCGACATGAATCTCCCGTTCTGTACTCTCGTCAGAAGTGAAAAGTCTGCGGAAGTTCACGGAATACAAGAATCCTTCGACTTGAGAGCATTCTCTTTCTTCTCTCTCACTCTCTTCAGAGAAAGGAAAGTCTCTGCTTTTCCCGAGTTTGCGCCAGAAGAAAATCCACATGATCGAGTTCCTGCGATTTTACTTGCGAGAAACGCCAATAACCAGACAGCATGAATATCCACTTATTTTGCTACTTACGTTGTCGGAAGCGTCCGTTCGAAACGAAGGAACGGTTAGGTCACGTTGACCGCGGAATCCTTCCGCTATTCTCGCAGCTTCGAATTCGGACACTCGTCCGCGACGATCATCCGCTGCAGTCTGCTCGTACGTGTTTGTGCATCTCCGAACGCCTACGGCTGATCAAAATAAACGCGAATAAATAACGGACGACTTGTTTAATCCAGTGCGACCGGTCGGACCGTTGAGCGTCGTCTAGGATGTCGCGATCGCGCGCCGGGCGCGAACGTGATTGGTGGACTGTTTGAAAGTTCAAACGAGAGCGATCGCGTGATTGGCGGAGCGTGATCGCCGTCGGCTGCGTTTATCTAGTGACTCGAGTTGGTCATTGGGTGCATTCAGTACTACAACCGCTCACTGAGCGCTCAATGATCTTTTAATCAATGAGCATTTGATTGGTATATTCCTTTAGATTTAAAAATATACACAACAATCAGAGATGCAAGAGCTCACTTAGCGCTCAGTGAGCGGTTGTAGTACTGAATGCACCCTGTGGGTGCGTTCAGTGGAGAAAACCGTTCAGTGAGCGATTAGTGACTATTGGATCCTTACTGTTAGATCCTTACATTCAGACCAATAACGTTGACGAATTATTCAACAGTTGCTCGACCGTTGAGTGTCGTGAACGCATTAGCAGATGCGCACGCGTAGTTTGTTCTTTTCTATTACACTTCTACTGCACTACTTTGCACTTTTTTTTTCTTTTTCTCCATCGATATATCCCATCGATATAGTTGTTTCTCTTCAAGTTCGGATATACTGCTTTTTTGAAAAAGTTCTTTGCGCCTTCCGTACGCATTGATGCGATGAGCGAAACAAAATGTATCTGTCCTCACTCCAACTTACTGCACCAGTGCAGAAAGTTCTTCGGAAACGACAAATCTAACGCTGAGATAAACATGCGTAAACAACGCATATACCTGTTTTTGTATTAATTAAACAGTAATCCGAATAAAGTTTAAACTCAAGCTGACGTTTAATCGATCTTGATAGAAACGAGTATTAATCGACGGTCGTCGATCAAGTTACATGTTAGATGTCGCGGTCGAGCGCGACACGCGCGTTGATTGATTGGACATTTGAAAAGTTCAAATGCGGGCTTCATGATTGGCGGAAAGCGGTCGCTGCCGACTTCGTTTGTTTCGTTAGTTGATTGATGTGCGATCGAACGGTCTCGCGACGTGCAAAATTGCGCTGTGTCGTTCGGTATTCTCGCCGGTGAGAATCGCATCGTGACGATTATCGTCTCGTGTTTGTTTATCATCGTGTCGAGTGCGTCGACACGTTCAAGAAACATGGGTGGATAGTCGTCCGCAGTGCCTTTCCGGAGCGCAATGAAGCAGTCATCAGGCGATCGTGAGTCGTTTTTCTTAGCACCACTTGCGAGCTTCTTAAGAATTGTAACGATTATAACCCGAGAAGTTCCATTTTCTGCGCGGTAGACGCGCAAAAAGTGACCTTACATTGTTATTATTGTGACGTCTCTGTTATTTGAATCTGATATTGCGAAAATTATACATCCTTTCATCAATCGTTGGCATCAATCTTTGATATCAATCCTTTAGGCAAATGTGTACGTTTGAAAAACCGTTCGTAACGGCTACAACTTCATAAGGTTCAATTTTCGGCGCAAAAGACAGGCGAAAAGCGACCTTATTGTTGCCATCATGGCGACTTGGTTATTTGAGTCTGATTTTCGAGGAGAATACCGACGTCAATCCTCGAAGAAAAATGTGTGTTTTTGAAAGATTGTTTACAACTTTAAATATTGAAGTTTCCGGAGGGACTGATGTGAGGCAAATTAATCATACGTTTAAGAGACCACTTCTTCGAAAGGTTCAATTTTCGGCGCCATAGACACGCGAAAAGCGACCTTACGTTGCTATCGTCGTGACGCCATGGTTACTCTAATCCGATCTTGGGAATTTGCAGCAAAATTAATCTCCGATGTGAGATATTAACGGTAGAGATTTATGATATGGCTCTGTATCGTGTTTTCGAGAGAGAGAGAGAGAGAGAGAGAGAATCAACTCTTCTCTCGCGTCGCTTTTTGTCATGAGCGTCGACGCGTCGCTCGCGGCGATCGCCGTGACTATTAATCAAAGATAATTAGAAGATGCACTCGTTGTAACATTAAAACCGCGCAATATAATCTGCCGTTCTTTTTGGTAAGAAACACGGTAATTAACGTTATGGCGGCGCACAGATTGGGTATTGTTCGAGTTATGCGCCGCCGCGAGACAGAATTAATTTCGGTATTCACGTGCTGGCAGCGCGCTAATTAGGCGCGGTCATTAGTCCACACGATGTTATGCCGTAATTAAGTGTTGGCGGACTATTACGAGTACCGCTGCTGGAATAATTAATTAAGTCTCGAATAACTACAAAGAGGTACAGGGGAAAATGTTTAATCGCGGCGCGGGCTGGCGGAGGGGGGAGGAAGGGGCTGGCGGAAATTCTTGATGCGCGGTGTTTCCGCCGGTATTTGATCCTCCGCCTTCGCCGAAATTCCCTCTCACGTTGTATTTTCGCGTAAAATCCGCCTCGTCCGGCGGCGGACGGGCGCAAAGGAACAGGCGCGCGGCTCGCCATTAACGGAGAAAACAAAAGCAGCAGCACTCTAAATGCAAACGTGTTTCGACTGTAATTCCTCTTGCGCGTTTCTTGACCTCTTTAAATCGCGTCACTCGATTGCAACTTAATTTCAATTATAATTCATCTAAATAATCCAACATGCAAGTGGCAAAAAATTAATGAAATCTGATTCAAAATAAACTGCAATTCAACGCGCGTTTGGAACGTGTATGAAAAGACGTGCTCTCAAAGTCGGCAAGTCAAGAGGCGAGTGCGAGAGGAGCTTCAGCCGAGAAAGGAAGAGCCGCGGCAAAGTACGTCGGCATTGTCGTCGCCTGAATTCGGGATCAAGCGTGCGTAAATCGGCGAAACGCGAAAGTCGCCCGACGTAATTTGTCGTCGGCCGAGCCGACAGAGAACGGCGTCGTTATCAAAAGGCGGCTCCACGCATTGTTTTCGCCCCGGTGGGAATTCAAGGGGCCGGCGCGCACTGTGGGGCGGGCACTTATCGATTATTCCGTCAGGACGTCAAGACGTAAGACCGAGAATCACCATGTATCTTTAACGAGAGCGAAAATCGGATTTCCGTCCGGGGAATGCCGGGAATGCGTGGCGCGCGCGCGAACGAGCGAACGAACACACGTTTGTGTTTTATTAAAAGCGAGGCTCTCGCGCCGATAAACCGGGGGAAGGTGCGCTCCGCCGTTGCGAGTTAACTCTTAATTGCGGTCGTATGTAAGGCGATTCCTCGGCGATGCTGCCGAGTCGCCGAGGAAATCCACCTCGGCCTCTATCGTCTCGTTAATCCTCGCGATTATTAACTCGCGCAGATACACTCGCCAAATGAATTAGCATGCAAATGCACGCGCGCGCGGTGCTCCGCTGATGTAGCTTCGAAAGCTGCAGGCTTCTGCAGCTCTCGTCGGGAAGCTGAAATCTCTCGCGCAATAATGCCAGGATACGTGCGTGTTCGTTCCTTCCCTCGGCCGAGGGAAAAAGAAATCCACGCGCGCTTCCGCGGTTTTCAATTACAGCGATCCTTCGAGAGAACGCTATCTGAAAAATCTGCCCGAGCGCTGCTCTGGGAGATTCCGCTTTTTTAAAGCGCTCCTCCTTCGGCCTGTACGATGCGTGCTTCTTCGCCGAAGATCCTGCCGGTCGCAAGGGACAAAACAGCGGGCGCTTGGTATATACACGGATTTATTCGTCTTCTTCACTGGAAACTATACAGAATGGTCCACAATGAGATTAAGGATTGTTTAAATAAGTTAATGACTATCGAGACCATTGAGAGCGCGATGGAGAGCGGCGTATACGAGTAGGCGCGAATATAACACATACCGGTTATGAATGTACATAATTCCCGCAGACATTACTTAATATACGATGCGAAATGGTAATTGCAATTCGACTATAGGCTCTGTTCCTTCATATACACATTCGCCGAGCCGATGGTCCAGTCGAAGCGCCGCGCCGCGCCTCGGCCTTGCACTTCGGCTTTAAGTGACGATCGTACATCCTGGAAGTTATGCGTCCGCTTCGCGAGCGAAAGTCCTAACGAGTCGCCTTAACGAGTGTCGAACGTTGAACCGAATCAGCCCTCACCGGCGCCGGCGTTAATTCGTGCCAATACCTGTTGAGATGTTGGTCACGGTAGATCGCGCTACGGCAAATTTTCGTCGCGATTTGTCGCGAGAGCCCCGCGAAAAACAAGCCTGTCCAAGGATTGTCTCCGCAAGTCTCCTCTCGGCTGGTCATTATCGACATCAGTGATGTCAACCACTGCTCATTAACGGAGCCTGTCCAACGTACGGATTATGTACGGCGAAATTACAGCAGGTGCGCCTCGGAAGTGTAGCATACGACCGAAGAAGATTCTGGACAATTTGGACGCGGCACAAGATACCTTGCCTGTACTGTGTGGTGGGGCCGCACGTACAAAGTGGACGCGCAGTACCAGGACGCACGACATCGCTCAAGTCGGCTCCGAGGGATCTCAGGGATTGCCCTCAACCACCAATCTCGGCTAACGACCCGCAAATTCTCGCTGGAAAGAAAGGATTGCTAGCAACGGGTTCTAAAGGACGTAAACATTGCACCAATGTCTATGTGATAAACGAAAGAGTCTCCCGCGTCTGCCGGAGCGCAGAGCAGGCTCGCGCGAAAATACAGTACAATACATCGCTGATATGTATCTTCCATATTTAAATGCATTCTACTGTAGTCCGCGGATACGCTGGCGATTTTCCGGCTGCCGGGACGTAGTAGCGCGACTAGCTCCCGTCCGATTGGTACTTTCGAGGCCTTCCCTAGGTCTTCTTCCACGAATAGAACATCTCCAATGGTCGATTGACGCGCCAGAATCTGTCATTCACCTGTCGCAACGTCTGCGAGCCACTCAGCACCACCAACTGGCCGGGCGAGGGCGCGATATAGATGCAGAAATTCAGCAGCCTGTCGGACTCGGACAACTCCGTGTCTAAGTCTAGCGTCAGGCGCATCGCCAGGTACTTGCTCAGGTGGTCCACTGCGAAAAGCGAAAACGACCGGTCGAGTTTCGTCGTGCGAGAGAAGCCCGTTCGGGGCTGATCGCGAGTAGTAACAAGACTCAGTTGGGTCGCAGGGTGTTGGTAGAGAATGGCAAAGTTTCACAGACGTTGCGCTTCAGAATGCGTTCGTTCTTTCAGCACTACGATTCTTCAGCTTATTCTTTAGCCTAATCATTTGTGGTTTTTTCTCTTATTAAAATATTGCAGTTGTAAGGATGGATGTTGTTGACTCAAAGAAATTATCTGATCTACATGGTCGTGCTTGAATATTGATTGAGATTTAATATACATGACTGTCGATTGCTCGCTGAATCGGCTACGATGCTTCGAAATAGTCAATCTGCCGCCATTCGGCGGTTTGACATGAAATATTGATACGACTATTTCAAAGTTCTTTTCAAGGTTGGCCTTCTTTTATCAGAAGAAATAACACTTACATGGACGTCCAACAGCCACCATAATAAGAAACTTGACAAAAGTAAGCGAGTTTAAGAGATAAGCAGCAGTAAATGATCTTTCGAGTAAATTTGCAGCATCGTTGGGGTGATTCAGCAAATAATCAACATTTGCAACAATGGAGTCTCGTGTATATTGACTGCAGGCAGCTTTCTTCGCCTGCATCGGTGTAATTTGGAAAATATCTCACCTGTAGCGTTCGCGGTCGTTTTTATATAGCGAATGCTGTTTTCTTTCAGTGCTTTTATGAGAGAATTGTCACCGGCCATCTCTGTGGGGTGTGGCTTGAAGACCAGCTCAATTTCATTCAGCATGAGAGGCTCGCTGGGGCCTTCACCTTCAGTGTCGACCATCGAATCGCCACCGCCGGTTTCGGCCTCGGCACTGGAGGAGTCGTTCTCGGAGTTTTGAAGGCTCTTTTGGCGTTTCGGCGGCTTCGGGATTTGATTGGCAGGGTTTGGCGATGGTGTGGTAGAGTTTCTAGATGTTGTTCCTATGACAGACGTAGTGTAGCGAGTTACATCAATACGACAGATGACATTGATCATTCGCGAAATTAAGGCAAATGTTGCAAACTCACCGGAAACTGCTGGGCTACTCGCAGGCTGAGAAATGCTGTTGGCATTCTGAGAACTACTAGAAATACCTCCGCTGTTCAATGGCCCGGTGCTCTGAGAAGAGTCGCTTTGATTCGCCGCGTTCGCGGATGCATTTGGTGTCGTGGGGCCGCTGGTGTTTGTGTTGTTATACGACGTCGCGTTGCTCGCATTCTCAGACTCATTCGCGTTCTTTCTGGAACGTTGCGGACGATTCTGACTCTGTAGCTTAATGCCTTCTGTTATAGAGTTTACGAGCGCAGCCTGCGAGTGTGATTTGTTCAGCTTAGCTAGAACCCGCTCCTGATGCGCTTCATATTCGTCTCGGCTTGGGTAGATTTTTGAAATTAACAAATCAAAGTTCGGATCTGGCCTGAGGGACCGTTTAGACACCAGTTTCTTCCTACATGTGGGACATTCCTGTAAACATAGTAATCCTCTTAATGTTCATTATGTCTTCCAAATCAAAGCTGCGTTTCTTGTCAAAATATTTTCAATGTTATATGAACATTCTAATTTATTTCATCGAGAAGGATAATGCAATGCTATTAGTAACATACTGACGGTGTCAAGTTGCTTTCCTCCCTGATTAAAAGAAAACTGGAATGTTCATACAGAAAATTGAGAATGTTTTGGCAAGAGAAGCAGCTCTAACCCCGATGCTGAAGCAAATTATTCTGTATTACAAAAACATCAAATATCAAATGTTACTAATGTCATATAAAGCCAGCGTAATGTACAGTCAAAATAGAATGTAACAGAGCATTCCCGGGAATACAGGCTCATGACTAACTGACTGAGTTGTATACATTATAAAGTGTATGCGATGATACAGGCTATGTGTGACACAAAGATGAAATCTCGTCTTCGTCGAGGAAGACAGTACGGCGAGTATTTCGTGAGCCATGTCAAAGCAGAAGCGACTTCCCCGTGGCGCAAAAGTGGCTTTCCTCAGAGACACGTACTTTATTGCCGCTTCGTAAAGCTGTAATAATGCAATCCGAGCAAAAACGGTGCAAACACTCCTTCGTGGTCATGGTCTTTTTCAACATGTCCAGACAGATGGGACACATGAGCTCGCTGTGCAGACTCCGCGGACTGACCGCGATCTCCGTATTGTCGGTGATCACGTCCTGCGGAGTGCGGTGTAATTCGTACAGCGACAATTCCCATGTTTTGTTGAGGCCGACCTGCTCCGCAGATGCCATCTTGATTTACGTACGAGACACGACTGCGTGACACTCACGAGCTTCGCAAACAAGGCACGACCGTGGAACTCAGCATGCAAGATGTACAACGTCGCATCCGCTTACAGACGACGACAGCTTCTAACGCCACCTGAGCGAAACGTTCAGACTTTTCTGTTTGAAACGACTGTTATCATAAGCTGTTGGATAAAGAACCTCCGCAAAAAGGGTCGATTTTTTGCCCGTTTTTCGGTCCTCGAATTTGGAATCGAATTTTATGCCAAAAGATAGTTCATAATGAGACATTAATTACAGAAAAGTTTTACGTTGAGCATACGATTGGTTTTAAAGATGTAGAGGATCAAAGTGGTCACTACCTACTAAGAAAGTATGACACTAATAACGCTTTATCGCATGAATTTTTGCAAAATTCAGTATCTATCGATTCTTTGAGTTGTTGATTATGAATCTGATGTCAGATTTTAAAAATTCAAGATGACAGGTGCAATATGGCGGACACACATAGTAAAACAATCATTTACTTTTATTGGAACTGTTATATTGTGGTTTTTTTGGCTAGCTGACTGCGAATTTTCTATTAGATTTTCGAAAGTAATTTTTTCAACGACAATTTTTAAGTGGAAAAAATATTTCTTTTATTGTTTTTTCATTAAAAAAATATCAAATTCAAATTGATACCTTACATGACGCATAAAGGATAACGTGATAGTTTTATTTGTTATATTTAGAGGCTTATCTTGCTTTGATTGGCTGGATAACTTTTTCATCTTGCCTATACTGAAGGTAAATGTAAATCTGATAGAAAATTCGCAATCAGCTAGCCGAAAAAACCACAACATGACAGTTCTAATAAAAGTAAATAATTGTTTCACTATTTGTGTCCGCTATATTATATCCACTATCTTGAATTTTTTAAATCTGACATCGAATTCGTAATAAGCAACTCAATGAACTCATAGATACTGAATTTCGCAAAAATTCGTGTGATAAAACATTATTAGTGTCAAACTTCCTTAGTAGGTAGTGACCAGGTTTGACCTTCTGTATCTCTGAAACCAATCGTATGCTCAATGTAAAACTCTTTTGTGATTAATGTTTTATCATGAACTGTCATTTTGCATAAATTTAATTTAAAAATCGAGGACTGACAAACTTTTTACGGAGGTTCTTTCCAGAATTTCTCACAGGGTCTATTTTCTTTTTTTTTTCAAACGACTTCTATATTAATTGAACAAGCGTACTTTCTTTTACTCTAATTTATTGCACTAATGTGCACCACTTTAAAAACTTTCTTCGAAAAAGAGCAGCCCTATAAAGACTACACATTTACACAATTTACACAATAGCCTATAAATTGACCTAAAAACAATCGCACAAATATTGTAGTTTATGTTTATATGATCAACGTAAAATCAATTTAACAATTATTTCTCAATGTTGCAACTATTAGTAATGCATATCGCGTAATAAACCCGATAATAAACCAATTAACGGTAACATTACGTTACCGTTATAATTTCTTGCTCAACAATATGATTATACACAATATATATTTGTATCTTTTACATCTTTTAGCCACAATTTATTTCCTTTGTCAAGAAAAAAATGTTTCAGACAAAAGTTGCTTGGTTTGAAGGGGGGGACATAAGACAGCGATAACATTTTGTTTAGAGATGACGCCACTTCCAAGATATTCGCTGATCATCCATTTTCTTAAATGGAAATCCCACTTTTTTATTATATCTCTTTCTGCCAATTAATTTAAACAACCCTTGTCTGAAATATTTTTTTATTTTTTGACATATTTAAAGAAACTTACGATATCTCGCTAACTATTTGACGGAAGGAAAAGTGGTACTAGACATTTGAACTCTATTTGATGTCAAGAATATGTTGTTATAATAACGCCCTGATTTTTGTTAATTTGATAATTTTGAAATATTCAAAGGTCGATAAGTTAACAAAAGTTAGGGCACTATTATAGCAATATATTCTCGAGATTAAATAAAGTAGTAAGATTAAAAAAAGTCTAATACTATTTTTCTTTCCACAAATAAGTTAGCGAGATATCGTTAATTAAATGTTGAAAAGTTTTCAAGTTTTCCTTAAATATTTCAAAGAATATTAGGCAAATATTATGTTTCAATTTATCGCGTATGTTGAGAGAAATACTGATTCCGAGTTTCGCTCTGATATACCTAAACAGCATCTTTCGCTTTTCTTTTACCGCCATTATGTTTGGCACAGTGAGTAACATTGATTATCCGACAAGTTCATGAAATACAATTATTATCTAACGCAAAAAACATATAGATTCTTATACAAACGAGTGCTATAAATATTTCTTATTATTATTATTATTATTATAACAAGTTCAAGAGCAATGGGTCTTTACCATAAGTATTGTTATCGACTTCTCTTATAGAATTTTGCTTGATCAGCTTATATCTGTCTGGCTCGATAGTAGAGTTCTATATGTTACGTTCTTGTATGCAACAATTACAAGTCGTAGCGAGTTTCCGTATTGTATCACTTTGTTAAAGAACATCATCTTCATTTAATGTTATCGCTTTAGTTTCGAATTAAATTTTCCGACGAGTTACGGCAGGAGAAAATCACTGTTAAATAATTGTAATACGTTTTATTACATTTTCCTCTATATTTAAGGCAGAATAGAGACAACGAACGAAACCTTTCACGAAAAATGGTGTAAACTTGGATCATCTGTGAAACATATGTTATTAATGATTCAGGCTAGTAATTTAGGATGCAGGCTTTCAACATGCAATAAGTTCAATTTGTCTTTATCCCCATTTTTGACGGTAAGAGTATATTTCCATTGTATCACTATTTGGGATATGTCCCGATAAATTTTTTGACGGATTTTCAGATCTTAAATCAATCATACTCCATCACCCTTGTGCTCTTATGAACGAAAAGGACAGCGCCACTATGAAAATCTCGTACAACATTTAAATACTTTTTCAACGAAATGTTAATTTTGCAATCCGAAAATGGTAGTTTGAATTTACTAGTTTGAATTCAACAGGATTTTAATAGGATTGAAGTAGTTGAAAACATTTAAAAATGCACATGTCAACGTGATATCACGTAAAAATATAGTGCTGTGAGACAATTATGATATTAAAGCAAATAATTATTTTTTGGCCACAATTTGTTCGTAAGTATCTTTTGTCAATAGTCCGAGTGAAAATAATATACCTCGTTAAAAGTGATATTTCGATAAGTGATACTGCGATAAATGATAAATAGCCGAGAAATAGCCGGCGTTGTTCCACATAGTTGCACATAATCCTGCTTTGAAACATATCGCGGATTGAGATAGACTGCGACATGTTTTACAGTGAATGCTGCATTCCCAACATCTAGCTGAAAGCTATAAGATAATAACTGCTCCTATGAGCGACGGTAATAAGAAGGAGGTTTAGGGTTGTTTCTCCTTATGATAAACCAAATGATAAAGATATGTCCGTTTCTCCGCAAATCGTCATTAAATTCTCTACAAAATGTAATTCCCACATCCGTGGCATTTAGTCGTAGTCTTTCATTTCAATCTTATAATAAGAAAACGTAGAAATTTTCTGTCGTATATAGGGGAAGATAATAACGAATGACTGACATCTCTTTTTATCGGTATTCTCAGCTGCTTTTGAACGGAGCAAAATATCTCCGTTCATCGATTTACAGCAATAACATATTAACGAGCGTAGCAACAGGGAAGCGTAGCAATTCAATGAAGTTAATAATCGGCCGTAGTTTGTCAGTTCCTTTGTGATTTTGGAATTGCGATATTAAAGACCAGAGTCTTTGCCGAAACGCAGAGAGACGACAGTAGAATCGTAGAAGTAGACCGGGGATGAACGAAATCCACCTCCGTATAGACCATCCCCGCAAATCCAAGTAAACTCTGCTTAGAAAACGCAAGTATCCGAAGAGAATCTTAATTTCCTGATTAATCAAAGAAAATTTGCACGAGGAAGAATTATGACGAACATGGACTTTCGAAACGTGAATCCGCTGAACATTTATTCGAATTATTTATCGGGCAATCTTCTGCCCTTAACGCAACGCGACTCGCAATTTTCGACCGCATGGAAGTTGTATGGTACTTTAATGTGGCTGATTCAAATAGCACAATTATGCACCTTAACCATAGGTATTATCTCGACGTCACGAGAGAAAGCTTTTCAAGAAGGCTTTATAACTTTTGTGCTTATAATCGAAGTATTCTTCATAATTGGACAAATTCAGTCACACAAGAAACTGGTGGACCAGCTGATCCAAAAACTGAATGATATTCTACAAATCGGGGACGACCTCATGGAAAATATGGTGAGAACGACTCTGAAGCCTATGAATGCTCCGTTCAAATATTACAGTATGTTGGGTGCGATATGCGTCACGGTGTGGTTTTCGTTACGCTTACTGTTGGTCTTCGAGAAAGATACCTTTTTTTACGAAGATTTCAGGATGCCGGCGGTCTTTTCTAAACAGCCGTTCTCGGCCCGTATTTTCATATTGGGCAGTATTTTGATACTAATCGGCAATATCCACATTTTTCTGAAGAAATGTAGCCTGTACATTTACATGGTACACTTGGTGTTGCTGATTACGGTGCAATATCGCTATACCGGCAAGAGACTCGTCTTGATATTTCGAGAAGCAGATGAGCAATGTAATAACGGACAAATTAACTCTGAAGCAGATCAATGGGCGAATGATGCAATAAAAGCGTTGTGCCGACATCACACTACTGCAGTACGGTAATTATAATATTTATTTCGTCTCTGATATATCTCTAGATGTGTAAGTGTAAAGTGTAAAGCCAAATTTTGAGTATGGTGAGTATGGTGGGCATATTGTTAGTTATTAAAAAAAAAGAGTAGCTGATATTTTCAAAGTATGTCCCTCAAGTCTTTCAAACTACATCCTCTCTCTAAATGAATCTGTGTGAAAGAAATCAATTTCTTTATATGTTACGTTGATGCACATGATCGAATGCATGAAATGTCGGATTTCCCGTTTCTTTAATTTTACCTGTACCATGTAGATGCCGTAATACTGTAGGATGATCAGTGTTTAATCTATCTGCAAGTCCTCTAGAGGTTTGGCTTAGATCTTCTTCTGCTTATCAAACCGGATCATGTTCATTAGGTCGCTGATTATGAATCTGGAATCAAATTTCGCATTATACGTATTATATTCTACATTGATATGCTCATGTTTCAGTTTATCGCGTATGTTGAGGGAAACACTGGCTTCAAGTCTCACTCTGATATACCTAAACAGCATCTTTCGCTTTTGTTTCACCGCCATTATATTTGGCTCAGTGAGTAACATTAATTATCCGACAAGTTCATAAGATGCAACTATTATCTAACAGTAAAAATATATCAATTTTTATATACATAAATGCTATCAATATTTATTATCCCGATTATAACACGTCCAAAAGCAATTGGTTGTTACCACAGGTATTATCGACTACACTCATAGAATTTTGCTTGGTCAGCATATATTCCTCCGGCTCGGTAGTGGAGTTCTATATGTTATGTTCTTATATACAACAATTGCAAGACGCGGTAAGCTTTCGTATTGTCTCACTTTGTTGTAGAAGATCATCTTCATCTACTGTTATCGCTTTAGTTCCGATTTAATCTACTAACGAGTCACGGCAGTTGAAAATCACTGCTAAATAATTGTAATATTACTACATTTAAATTGTAATATTATTACATTTTTATCTATATTTGATATAGAGTAAGGACTTCATGGATGAAGCGTTTCATGAAAAATGGTATCAATTTGGGCCATCTGTGAAACGCATGTTTATGTTAATGATTCTGGGTAGTAATTTAGGATGCAAACTTTCAACATGCGATAAGTTCAATTTGTCTTTACCCTCATTTTTGACGGTAAGAGTTTAATTTAATTAATTGTATCGTTATTTATAATTTGCCCGGTTAAACTTTTTGGCGGATTTTCAGATCTTAAATCAATCGTACTCCATCGCCCTTGTGCTCTTATGAACGAAAAGGATAGCGCCACTATGAAAATCTCGTACATCATTTAAATACTTTTTGAACGAAATGTTAATTTTGCATGGCAGGAATGGCAGTGAATCTAAAGTGAATTTTAATATGATTAAAGTAGTTGATAACACTTAAAAATGCATATGTCAACATGATTTGAAATGTCACTAAAAATATAATAATAAAATATAATACTAAAAGCACTGCGAAACAACTAAGATATTAAATCAAATAATTATTTCTGGCCACAATTTGTAGTAATTTAGGATGTAAACTGTCAACGTGCGATAAGTTTAACTTGTCTTTATCCTCTTTTCTAACGGTAAAGGTTTATCTTAATTGTATCGTTATTTGAGATTTGCCTCGATAAACTTTTTGGCATAATTTTAGATCTTAAATCAATCGTAGTCCATCACCCTTGTGCTCTTATGAGCGAAAAGGACAGCGTCGCTATGAAAATCTCGTACATTATTTAAATATTTTTTGAACGAAATGTTAATTTTGCAAAGCGAAAATAGCAATGAGTTTGAAGTGAATTTGAATAGGATGGAAGTAGTTGATAACACTTAAAAATGTGTATGTCAACGTGATTTAAAATGGGACTAAAAATGCAGCACTGTGAGACAACTATGATATTAAATCAAATAATTATTTTCTGGCCACAATTTGTTCGCAAGTATCTTTCGCCAATATTTCGAGTGAAATTAGCATACCTCGTTAAAAGTGACATATAATTTCGAGAAATAGCCGGCGTTGTTCCACATAGTTGCACATAATCCTGCTTTGAAACATATCGCGGATTGAGATAGACTGCGACATGTTTTACAGTGAATGCTGCATTCCCAACATCTAGCTGAAAGCTATAAGATAATAACTGCTCCTATGAGCGACGGTAATAAGAAGGAGGTTTAGGGTTGTTTCTCCTTATGATAAACCAAATGATAAAGATATGTCCGTTTCTCCGCAAATCGTCATTAAATTCTCTACAAAATGTAATTCCCACATCCGTGGCATTTAGTCGTAGTCTTTCATTTCAATCTTATAATAAGAAAACGTAGAAATTTTCTGTCGTATATAGGGGAAGATAATAACGAATGACTGACATCTCTTTTTATCGGTATTCTCAGCTGCTTTTGAACGGAGCAAAATATCTCCGTTCATCGATTTACAGCAATAAAATATTAACGAACGTAGCAACAGGGAAGCGTAGCAATTCAACGAAGTTAATAATCAGCCGTAGTTTGTCAGTTCCTTTGTGATTTTGGAATTGCGATGTTAAAGACCAGAGTCTTTGCCGAAACGCAGAGAGACGACAGTAGAATCGTAGAAGTAGACCGGGGATGAACGAAATCTACATACCATCCCCGCATGTCCAAGTAAACTCTGCTTAGAAAACGCAAGTATCTGAAGAGAATCTTAATTTCCTGATTAATCAAAGAAAATTTGCACGAGGAAGAATTATTACGAACATGGATTTTCGGAACGTGAACCCGCTGAATATTCATTCGAATTATTTATCGGGCAATCTTCTGCCCTTAACACCATGCGGCTCGCAATATTCGACCGCATGGAAGTTGTATGGTATTTTAACGTGGTTAATTCAAATAGCACAATTATGCAGCCTAATCGCAGGTATTTTGTTGACGTCACAAGAGGAGGCTTTTCAAGGAGGCACGCTCATCAATCTTGTGCTTATTATCGAGGTATTATTCATAGTTAGACAAATTCAGTCGCACAGGAAACTGGTGGATCAGCTGATCCAGAAACTGAACGACATTCTACAAATCAAGGACGACAACATGAAGTATATAGTGAGCACGACTCTGAAGCCTATGAATACTCCGCTCAAGTATTACGTTGTGGCGGGTGCAGTGTCCCTCGCGGTGTGGTTTGCGTTAGGGTTACTGTTGATCTTCGAGAAAGATACCTTCTTTTACGAAGATTTCAAAATGGTGGTGGCCTTGTCTAAACAGCCATTCTCAGCACGCACCTTCATACTGGGTACTTTTCTGATACTGATCAGCAATGTTCATATTTTTCTGAAAAAGTGTAATCTGTACATTTACATGATACACTTTGCGCTGATGATTACGGCGCAATATCGTTATACCGGCAAGAAACTCGCCATGATATTTCGAGAACCATATGTAGAGCAATGTAAAAACGGACAAGTCAGCTTTGAAGCAGATCAATGGGCGAATGATGCAATAAAAGCGTTGTGTCGGCATCACACTACTATAGTACGGTAATTATAATATTTATTTCGTTTCTCATATATTTTGTAGATGTCCAAGCGTAAAGTGTTTTGGGTAGGGAGTACTGCACATTGTTAGTTATTAAAAAAAAGAATAGCTCATATTTTCAGAATATGTCCCACAAGTCTTTTAAACTACATCCCCGTCCTAAATGAATCTGTATGAAAGAAAGAAGTTTTTTTATATGTTAGGTTAGTGCTAGAGTTTCCAATCCCGGATACAATTTAGGATCCCGGGATTTTTTGGATTCCATCCCCGTCGGGGATCCCGGGACTAGTCCCGGGATTATATATATGTAAAGAAAGAAACAAGGAATATTTACAAATAATAGAATTATTTTATTTATAGAATGTTCATAGACTTTTATGAACATTATGACAAATGAAAAATAAAATTTCAGTAAAAATGAAGCAACTTACATTAATGATTGCACAAAAACCGTTACAATTAAAAATTAAAGTTTTTGTAATAAAAATAAAAATAATTATTTCTTCTTTTTCACATTTGACAAAGCGACTTTAAAAATAATAAAACATAAATTTTGTTAAAAAATATCTGATCGAGGATCCCGGATTCGAGTCTGTGTTGCGCCAGTTTATCCGCGAAATTTAAAATAGAGAACTCCCTTAATATTTAAAACAAATAAAAATAATACATGGAATTAAATTTAAGATATGAATACACACTTCTCTAGCAAATGCTCTAAAACATCAGTAATAAGTAATAATTATTAAAGTAAAATTTTTGTAAAACGTAAGTATTATATAGACACTAAGCATTAAATTTTGAAATCCCGAAATCCTAGGATTTGTGATGTTAAATCCTGAGTATTTTCGGGACCAAAAATTTGGGCGGGATCCTGGGATCCCGGGATTGGAAACTCTAGTTAGTGCACATGAAATGTCGAAATTTTCACTTTTTTAATTTTATCTATAGCATACAGATGCCGTAATATTGTAGGATGATCACTCTTTAATTTGACTGCAAGTTCTCTAGAGTTTTTACGTAGATCTTCTATTTATCAAACTAGATATACTCATGTTTTTGTTGGATCACTGATTATGAATCTGGAATTAAATTTAAGAAATGCATAATGGCGGATTCAATATGGTGGCGCTTAAATATCCAATTTTATTAATGTTTGGAGGACTTTTTTATTAATTTTTGGAGGATTTTTTTATTAATATTGATATCCTCATTTGATTTTGTATGAAATCTTCTTTATATTTCGGCTCCCTAGGGACGAACTTGGAATCGAAATTTCAAAATTCAAAATGGCAGATCCAATATTTCGGCTGCAAATGACCAAATTTGTTATTCTATCATGGGGAAAATTATATTCGATATGTCCATGGTTTTTGGGTTGCTAATGATGAATCTAGTCAAAATTGCAAATCTAAAATAGCGGATCCAATATAGTGGCTTCTAGTGACACTAACGGTATTCCATTATAAATATTCTTACCTCCATTATTAGCAGGAGAAATATGTCGAAGGAAATTACTTCTTTGCCAAATGAGTTTGGTGAAAACCTCGAATTTATGGCAGTCGTTATTTGCAACCAAAAAAGCATATCGAATTTGGCACGTGTCCATACTGGAATATCAAAGCTGGTCACTTGAAGCTGGCCACCATGTCGGATTCGCCATTTTGATGGATTCGTCACTAGTGACCTGAAAAAATTCTTATAGATAGGCTGCCATGTAAAATATAAAATTATTCGCATTCATCGGTTTTGGCACAAAACATTGATTTCGAGTGCACGATTGAGCCGATTCAGCGGAATTTCTTCTTGTCAAAAATTCACTAGACCAAATTTCATGTTACTATATTTTACGTGGATATATTTGCGTGGATATATTCATGTTTCAGTTTATCGCGTATGTTGAGGGAAACACTGACCTCAAGTCTCACTCTGATATACCTAAACAGCATCTTTCGCTTTTGTTTCACCGCTATTATGTTTACCACAGTGAGTAACATTAATTATCCGACAACCTCATGAGATGCAATTATTATCTAACACAAAAAACATATCAATTTTTATACACACGAGTGCGAAAAATATTTCTTGTCCCGATTATGACACGTTCAACTGTAATTGATCCTTACCACAGGTATTATCGTATAATCCTATAGAATTTTGCTTGTTCATCATATATTCGTGCGGCTCGGTAGTGGAGTTCTATATGTTATGTTCTTGTATGCAACAATTGCAAGACGCGGTAAGCTTTCATATTGCCTGACTTTGTTAAAGAAGATCAACTCCATCTATCTGTTATTGTTTTAGTTCCGATTTAACTTTCCAACGAGTTACGGCAGGAGAACATCACTGTTAAATAATTGTAATATGTTTTATTACATTTTTCTTCATATTTGATGTAGAGTAAAAACATTACGGACGAAGCTTTTCACGAAAAATGGTATCAATTTGGGCCGTCTGTGAGACGCATATTTATGTTGATGGTTCTGGGTAGTAATTTAGGATGCAAACTTTCAACGTGCGAGAAGTTCAATTTGTCTTTACCCTCATTTTTATCGGTAAGGATTTATTTTAATTGTTTCGTTATTTCACAAATTTGTCTCGATAAATTTCTTCGCGCATTTTCAGATCTTAAATCAATCGTACTCCATCGCCCTTGTGCTCTTATGAACGAAAAGGATAGCGTCACTATGAAAATCTCGTACATCATTTAAATACTTTTTGAACGAAATGTTAATTTTGCATGGCAGGAATGGCAGTGAATCTAAAGTGAATTTTAATATGATTAAAGTAGTTGATAACACTTAAAAATGCATATGTCAACATGATTTGAAATGTCACTAAAAATATAATAATAAAATATAATAATAAAAGCACTGCGAAACAACTAAGATATTAAATCAAATAATTATTTCTGGCCACAATTTGTAGTAATTTAGGATGTAAACTGTCAATGTGCGATAAGTTTAACTTGTCTTTATCCTCTTTTTTAACGGTAAAGGTTTATTTTAATTGTATCGTTATTTGAGATTTGCCTCGATAATCTTATTGGCGTATTTTTAGATCTTAAATCAATCGTAGTCCATTACCCTTGTGCTCTTATGAGTGAAAAGGACAGCGTCTATGAAAATCTCGTACATTACTTAAATATTTTTTGAACGAAATGTTAATTTTGCAAAGCGAAAATAGCAATGAGTTTGAAGTGAATTTGAATAGGATGGAAGTAGTTGATAACACTTAAGAATGCGTATGTCAACGTGATTTAAAATGGAACTAAAAATGCAGCACTATGAGACAACTATGATATTAAATCAAATAATTATTTTCTGGCCACAATTTGTTCGCAAGTATCTTTTGCCAATATTTCGAGTGAAATTAGCGTACCTCGTTAAAAGTGACATATAATTTCGAGAAACAACCTGCATTGTTCCACATAGCTGCACATAGTCCTATTTTGAAACATATCGCGGATTGAAATTGCGAATTGAGACTGCGACACTGCGACATGTTTCGCAGTGAATGCTGCATTCTCAACATCTAGCTAGAAGCTATAAGAGCTATAAGATAATAGCTGCTTAGAGCAGTGACGGTAATTAGAGGGAAGCTTGCGGCTGCTTCTCTCTACGATAAATAAAATGACAAAGATATATCCGCTTCTCCACAAATCATTAAATTCTCTATAAAATATCATTCCCATATCCGTGACATTTAGTCGTAGTCTTTCATTTCAATCTTATAATAAGAAGACGTAGAAATTTCCTATTTTGTGTATAAAGGAAGAAAATAATCGAATGACCGACATTTCTTTTCATCGTTATTCTTAGCTGCTTTCGAACGGAGCGAAATACCTCCGTTCGTCGATTTACGGCAATAACATATTAACAGGCGTGCAAAGAAGCGCGCGTAGCTATTTAATGAAGTTAATAATCAGCCGTAGTTTGTCGGTTCTTTTGTGATCTCGGAATTGTGATATTAAAGACCAGAGTCTTTGTCGACATCTCTCTGCAGAGAGATGACAGAGGAGTAGGATCGTAGGAGTAGAGCGGGGATGCGCGAGATCGTGTCACACCGTCCTCGCGTATCGTAGTGAACTTTGCTTGAAAATCACGAGTGACACGGGCGAATCTGTACTCTCTGATTGGACGCAGAATTCGTACAGTAGAAAGCATCATCGCCAACATGAATTTCCGAAACGTGAACCCTCTGAACGTTTACTCGAACTACATGTCGGGCAACCTTTTACCCTTAGCGCCGCGCGACTCGCGCTTTTCGCTCGCGTCCGTGTTGTTCGGCGGCTTCATGTGGTTGCTTCAAGCGGTCCAATTATGCGTGCTGGTCCCAGGTCTTATGATGGTGTCGTGGGAGAAGGCCATTGTGGACGGCACGATCACCTTCGTGCTCATCATCGAAGTGTCCTTCATCGCTGGGCAAATTCAAACGCACAAGAAACTGACGGATCGGCTGATTCAGAAGCTGAACGATATCCTGCGAATCGAGGACGAGATGATGGAGAACGTCGTGAAGACTACCCTCAAGCCCATAGATGCTCCGCTGAGATTTTACGTGGTGGCCGGTTCGTTGTCCGTGTTCGTGTGGTTCTCATTACCGTTACTGATGATCCTCGAGAGGGAGACCTTCTTTTACGAGGATTTCCGGTTGCCGGCGGTCTTCTCCAAACAGCCATTCTCGTCCCAGACCTTCGTGCTGGGTAGCATTCTGCTGGTGATGGGTAACGTCCAGATTTTCTTGAAGAAGTGCGGCCTGGACATTTACATGATACACCTCGTGCTGATGATGACAGCGCAGTATCGCTATACCGGCAAGAAGCTCGCCTCGATATTCCGAGACGCGAGTAAGCGATGTGAACTCGGCCAAGTTGGCTGCGAAGTAGATCGATGGACGGAGAATGCGCTGAAAGCGTTGTGCCGGCATCATAACAGTGTCGTACGGTAATTGTTATCTTTATTTTGTTGCTCGCATATTTAACGAGGGTATATAAGCTTTGCTACATTCGTCGGCCAACATTGGACATCGGGAAAATTAGTTGATAATTTCAGAACACATTCCTTACGTCTCTCGAACTACACCCTCTTTCGGCTCAAGCTGAAGTGGAAATTCAACTTGTTCAACACCACGTATTTCTTGCGTGGGCTGCTAAATTAAATCTCCCCTTTGATTGGACATTCGCTCTGCGAAGGTCCAAGTAAAGTGTAACGAAAGATGGCTTATACAGGGTGTCTTAAAAATACCGGAACCCCCGGATAACCTTGCAGGATCAAGTTCTCATGAAAAATTGTAAATACAACAGTTGTAGAAAATCGAATAATGGACTTGATGGTGACCTTGAATTTGACATTGGCCATGACCTTCAAGGTCATTTGGAGGTCAACTTGCGTTTTTTAAATAGGAAACCTTATTTTTTATCACACTTTTTTTTTCTACCAATTAATTTGAACAACTTTTGTCCAAAACATTTTTTTATTTGCCTAATATTTTTTGAGATATTCGAGGTGATCTCCAAATGAAAACTTGATAACTTTTTCAATATTTAACTTACGATATCTCGCTAACTATTTGTCGGAAGAAAAAGTGGTACTAGACTTTCTTGCTTTATTTAGTCTCAAGAATATATTGTTACAATAACGCCCTGACTTTTGTTAACTTACTGACTTTTGGAAATTTCAAAATCATCAAATTAAGAAAAATCAAGGAGGTTCCCCGGTATTTTTAAGACACCCTGTATGCGTGTATGTTGAACTACTTTTGCAGCTTGTCGTCTGTGCTGAGAGATTTGCTCTCTTCGAGCCTCAATTTGATTTACATCAACAGCGTCATACGCTTCTGCTTCACCGCTATTCTCTTCAATGCCGTGAGTAATTGCTCCACTAATTATCGATATCAAGTCATAAACGGTGCCAAGGCTGACTTGCACTCCAATTCCAACGCGCTTGAGGTCTTTGCCACAGGTACTATCAGCCACTTTCCTAGAGGGTTTCCTAGTCAGCATGTATTCTTGCGGCTCGGTAATGGAATTCTACATGCTTTGCTCTTGCATGCAACAACTGCACGACGCGGTAAACTTCAGCAGTGTCTCCTCTCCCTGAGAAAGATTACCTTCACCCACCTTTATCGCTTTAGTCTCGGATTAACTTCCCGACATGTGTCGCCTCGAGTATCGTTTGGAGAGGGCGATTTTAATAATATTTCATTAGATTTCTACTTTCGATGTAGAGTACAGACATTACGGACGAAGCCTTCCACGAGAAGTGGTATCAATTCGGGCCGTCCGTAAAGCGCACGTTCATGCTGATGATATTGGCCAATAACTTGGGCTGCAAACTTTCGACATGCAACAAGTTCAATCTGTCTCTGCCCTCATTTATGACGGTAAGAGTTTATTTTACGCGCGTCAGTTTACCCGAGACTTGCCTCGACAATTTTTTCTACGAGCTTTCAGATCTTGAATCAATCGTACTCCATCGCTCTTGTGCTCCTGTGAACGAATGGCGCAGCGAAGATCTGCAAGCTTTTTGTTCTCTTGAGTGAAACGTTCGTTGTGCAAGTGAAGAGCGGCAGCAAGTTGGAAAGTGGATAAAAATGTAGTTTAGATAGCTAATAATATTTAAAAACGCAAGCGTCGTTAGTATAACTAGTGGAGTGTCAGTAAAATAGTAGCATTCAAAAGTAATTGTCTTGATTGAATCAAATATAGTAATTAAGTTGCTGTAGTTCGATCCAAGCAATATTCGTTAGTCTTCAAAATCAACCAATCATACACTGAGAACAAATTGTATTAAAATTAAACAAATATTTGATCGAATACGACTGTGAATACATTAACTTAAATTAAGCAACTATTTTCTAAAATTCAAGAAAACAGTTTACATTCAGAGAACCTCCGTATTTCATTTCAGAAATTAGTCGCTTATATCAGATGTAGTAAAAAGAAATCCATTATTTTTGCATGAAATTGAAGGCTTTAATTACCATAGTTAGAATGATCCGATTTAGGTCAAATATGCGCCGTTTTGTTCGATAACTTGTTGCCATTTTGAAGGTAATTTCATTATGCCTCTCTCATAGAAGCCCTCGTCCCTATTGGCAAAAAATTGAGACAGTCGATTTTCACAAGCCTCTCTTGAAGCGAATTTTTCACCAGCAAAATTGTTCGCCATGGACAGGAACAGATGGTAATCACTTGGTGCCAGGTCCGGACTATAAGATGGATGCATAAGAACCTCCCAATCAAGCTCCCGGAGCTTCTGGCGAGTCACTATCGATGTGTGTGGCCTGGTATTGTCCTGATGGAACACAATTCCTCTTCTATTGGCCAAAGCTGGCCGCTTCTGGGCGATTGCTTCCTTCAGACGGTCCAATTGTTGACAGTATAGTTCCGAGTTAAGAGTTTTGCCGTAGCAGCTCATAGTAGATAATTCCCTGCCAATCCCACCAAACACACAGCAAAACCTTCCTGGCCGTCAATCCTGGCTTGGCCACCGTTTCCGCCGGCTCACCGTGATTCGACCACGATCGTTTTCGCCTGACGTTGTCGCAAGTGATCCACTTTTCATCACCAGTGACCAACCGCTTCAGAAATGGGTCGATTTTGTTGCGATTCAGCAGCGATTCGCAGATGGAAATTCGGTCCATGAGGTTTTTTTTTGTTAACTCGTGTGGAACCCATACATCGAGATTCTTTTTGTATCCAGCCTTATTCAAATGGTTCCAAACGGTTTTTGTGCAATCTTTAGTTCTTGGGCAATCGAAACAGTGCTTACATGACGGTCGGACTCGACAATGACCATGATTTTATCGGTATTTTCGACAATTGGCCTTCCAGTGCGTGGTGCATCTTTGACATCGAAATTACCGGAACGGAATCGACGAAACCAAAATTGCGCGTGATTGGCTGTTACAGTATCAGGATCATAAACACTATTTATATTTTCAGCCGCCTGGCTTGCGTTTTCGCCTTTATCGAAGAAAAACTGTAAAATATAGCGTATTTTCTCTTTGCTAGTGTCCATCTTTGACGCGCGCTCAAACAAAACTGAGTCAACTAATCACAAAACTGCCCGAAAAGTTTTTTTAGTACGAAATCTCATCTTTCTAACGCCATCTAGTGGAACCCGATCGGACTTATACAACGCGAGATACAGATAACTAAAGCCATCTATTGGAACAATAATGGATTTCTTTTTACTACACCTGATATAATAATTTTTTCTCAGTATAATACAATCCACTAATAATGACGACAACTAACCTCAAGAGTGCCATTAAGTCAGCAATGATGAATGAACCTACTTTAGAAACCTCATAGCGGAACAGCGAGGATTAGACTGCACCAATTCTTGACTCATATGAACAAAGTCAGTGGGACATTGTCTTTGAAGTTTGCTACTTTGCAGTACTTAGCGGAACGGTATAAGATAATCGCTGTTTCGTCGAGCGCGAGTGATTAAAAGGAGGAGGCTTATCGCCTCTTGTCTCCACGACAAAGAAAACAATCAAGATAACTACCGCGGCATTCACGCACAAAGTTCTTTATTCGTATTTTGCGATGAAACATTTCAAATTTGAGGAATGTCTACTTTGTATTCGTCAGTAGTGAGCAATATTTTAATATGACGCTGCTCGTCTTTTGAAAATCTATTTTTGGCTAGCTTGTACGGTTTTGCAAAACTTAGCTTGCCAATTAAGGGTTTGAGGTTTCTGAATGTTTGCCGCGACCATTTTGATTTGAGACGAAAGAACAAATGCATATTTTGAATCTCAAAATCCATACTAAACGCGTTAAAATGAAGGGATATATCCAGGAAATCACACTAGCAATTAATTAAGCACATTCGCCGCGTATTCCAAACATTTTCCTCTCGCTTCAACAAGTCGACGATAAATTAATTATTAGTTAATAACGTTATTAGCGTTATATAATAACGTATATAATAACGTGAAATTTACTTCTTCAAATATTCTTTCTACGATTCGGTAATGTTAATTACGCCATAATTTATCGATCGTTGTAATAAAAATGAAATATTCAGGGAATTTTATACCTATGTACGAATAGCCCAAATGTTATGTTTTGGGAACATTTCTTTACCTGGGCACGCTTTGGAGAAATGTCGAGTATGGAATTTTGATTTTCTCCTTTCTGGCAAAACAAATAAAAATGTCTGCCAAGTACCTTAATGCCATTTGCACGTCGTTGAGATATCACCGGAAGGAACAACACAAGCCACGAACAACGCTGAGCGATAAATTTCTTACTCGCCAGTGCACCGTGAAGATATCCGCCGAATCTGGGGATTTCATCTCATCTGTTTTCCGCCACGCACTGTGCTGCTTTCGCTCGTTCCGACGCCGCACTGCGAAAAATTCTGCGATATTCATCATTCGTTTCTGTCATGTTGCATTGTGTTTCCCGCTTCACACACGCGCGGTCGTTGTGAACGCTGGAAACGCAGCAGCTCCGCTGCTGCCGGCAGGACACCATAAGATAATTGTCGGTTTGCAGAGCAGTCGTAATTATAAGGTCCTACAAAATTCTTGCAGGCAGCACGGCCATGGCGAGGGAGACGCGAGAAACGGATTCCCCGCTCGACGGGGATATGGCGATGTTTATTCATGAACTTCTTTCGCAGCGCACTAATTCTCTTTGTATTTCGGGCAAACCTGCAATGCGTCGTCGTGCGACAATTAACTTCCCACTCAGGCCGACGGTAATGGAACGAAATCACATGACAAAGATCGACAATTGGAGTGCAGGCAACATATATTATATTAATGGTATCCAATTGAAAAACAGAGTTTACAAAAGGAATAACGAATGACCAAAGGTCAACTGCGTGTGACCTGCGAATTTCGCAAGAAAATTTCTCGCACGAGGAGAAACGAGATCGACATCGCAACCGAGCATGATGTGAAGAGTGACAAGGGCTATATAAACCCATGGGGAAACGGATTTCGCCGTACTTGCGCAGGTAAGTAGTACTCATGGCACAATGAAAAACGCTAAATATATTATATAGAGTGCGCTTCTCAAGCGTTTTCGAGAAAAAACGCTTCAAAATTTTGTGCGATTAATAAGTGCTTATACAGTAACGGGGCGACCAAGTAGGGCGGTGACGAAGTATAGTGGGCGAAGCGCTACGAAGCTGCAGGTCGCATGTTCGTGTCCAGCCTGATTTTCAATTTTTTTTTACTTTTTTTGCAGTAATAAAGTATTCCAGTTAAATAAATGTAATAATAAAATAAATAATGCATAAAATGTAATAATGCGCACGAAATAGGTGGCTTCGTCGGACATTTTGCTTGCAGTATGTTAATATAAAAAATATATTTTTGTATGCATATAGGCGGCGCAATTAATTTATACGATATGTACGTAATGTACTAATGTTTCTTTATTTTAAAAGTAAAAGAATACATACAAACTTTAAAGAAATCAGTCAATGCAACTATTTCACGTGTACATTTTAAAGTTTTATACCTGCGCCGGCCGACCTTTGAAAGCCGGTTCCCTTATTGTAAGCATGTGGATAGCCGAAGCGAACAAAGAGTTTCTTTGATACTATGGCAAATTTTGTCCAAGGGTCGACCGTTGCGCATCAGGTACAGTTTTTTCGATACTACAAACCAGGGCCGTTAAAATCCCGTGTTATATTTAGCGTCCAACGTTTATGGCGCTCTCTGAAATGGGACATTTTTTCGGTGGTACTAAAATTCAATATGGCGTCATGTGTCAATGTGTGTGTATGTATAGCTGTCTATGCACACATATTAACACGTATGTGCGTGTAGTATATATAGGAAATACGAGGAATATTAGTGCGAAGTAAAAATGCAGAAAATAATGTGTATTCTGTGAAATGTATATATTTGACGAAAAAAATGTAAATATGTACATAAGTACATAAAGAAAATATTAATACCTTAAACATAAATATAAGGACAATAATTTGATAATAATACTAAATTTTAGAATAATATTAAAAGAAATTTGTAACAAAATTGTACAGGGTTTTTCAATTGGTGCGGGTCGATGTTGGCAGCCTGTGGCGGCCATGTTGTTTTGGCGGCGTCTGTCTAACCTGTTGTTTATTATTCAGTCACTGATGCCAAATCACCATGACAAGTTACACGATTGAACAGCACGTCCAAATGATAAAACTTTATTATCAAAATGAGTGTTCGTTAATGCAAACGTTGCGCGCGTTGCGCCCACTTTACGGCAGACGCGGTGGCCCTTCAAAGTCGACTCTCCAACGTTTGGTGGCCAAATTCGAGACGGCCGGTTCGGTAAACGATCAGCCAACACCCGTACGTCAAAGGAACGCCAGATCGGCCGAGAACATCGCCGCTGTAAGTGAAAGTGTGCAGGAGAATCCGAGGCAGTCAATTCCTCGCCGTGCACAAGAACTCGGCCTTTCGCAGACTTCAACTTGGTGAATTTTGCGTCGGGACTTGGGCCTGCACCCGTACAAGATCCAACTGGCCCAGAAGCTCAAAGTTAATGACCATAGACAACGCCGTTTGTTCGCTGACTGGGCTTCGGAGCATTTGGAAGAGGCTCAATTTTGGCCGAAAAATCATATTTAGCGACGAGGCGCATTTTTGGATGAATGGCTATGTTAACAAGCATAATTGTATATGGCACGACGCCAACCCACACGAGGTTCAACAGGTAGCAATGCATCCACAAAAAGTTACTGTTTGGTGCGGATTTTGGGCCGGCGGCGTCATTGGTCCGTACTTTTTCGAAAACGACGTTGGTGAGGCCATCATCGTCAATGGCGAGCGCTACAGAACGATGATAACCAATTTCTTTTGGCCCAAATTGAACGATATGGACGTGGACGACATGTGGTTCCAGCAGGACGACGCTACGTGCTACATAGCGGACGCCACGATGGACATTCTGCATGAACGATTTGAGGGTATGGTTATCTCTCGCAGAGGTGACATGAATTGGCCACCAAGGTCGTGCGATTTGACCCCGCTAGACTTTTTCTTGTGGGATTTTTTGAAGTCGCAGGTCTATGCCAATAAGTCGCAATCGACCGATGCCCTTAAAGTCAACATAATCCAGACCATCGCTCAAATTCAGCCGGATCTATGCGGCAGAATCATTGAACATTGGACCACTCGGATCCGTGCCACCGTGAGAAGCCGCGGCGGACATTTGAACGATGTTATATTCCACACATAATGGCATACATTAACCTTTCAAATGAAAAAAGAATTTCGTTAATACCTTACACACAGCTTGTTTTATTTCATTGCAACATCGACCCGCCCTTATTGAAAACCCTTTATATTATCGCTGTCCCTAAACTGATTGTAGCATACTCATAACTTCTTCTCCTCAAAAAAGTGCGCGTATAACAAATTTGGATTTATAATTTGTTCCTGGTGCAAATTAGTATTACGTTTTTCTTGTGTTTTTGATAATTATCACTCTACAACATGTACTCCTACATAAGACGACTAATTCACTGATTTCTTTAAAGTTCTTTTTACTTTTAAAATAAAGAAACATTAGTACATTACATACATATCGTATAAATTAACTGCGCCGCCTATATGCATGCAAAAATATATTTTTTTTATATTAACATACTGCAAGCAAAACGTCCGACGAAGCCACGAATTTCGTGCGCATTATTACATATTTAACTGCAATACTTTATTACTGCAAAAAAAAATAAAAAAAAATTGAAAATCAGGCTGGACACGAACAGGCGATCCTGCAGCTCTGTAACGCTTCGCCTGCTATGCTCCGCTGCTACTTGGTCGCCCCGTTACTGCAGCGGCACTTAAGTAGCGCGCAAAACTTTGAAGCGTTTTTTCTCGAAAACGCTTGAGAAGCGCATTTTATCCATTTAGCGTTTTTCAATGTTCCATGAATACTACTTACCTGCACAAGTACGGCGAATCCGTTTCACCATGGGTTTATATAGCCTTTGTGAGTAGAAGAAGAAACAAGCGAATGATCAAGGCTGGCGATATGAACTTTGACAGCGTGAATCACATAAACGTCCGGCTGAACAAGGTTTCCGGCAACTTGCTACCGATGACCAACGACAGTGGATTTTCGGTATTTTGGCAAGCGTACGGCGTGGTTGTGTGGCTGTTTCAGCTGGCGCGCGCGATTGGCTTGATCTTCGGATTCATGACAGTGTCAATAGAGAAGATCTTTCTCGACACCATGGTCTCCATCGTGTACACCACGGAGGTGATCTCCTTGAACGTGCAGATTCAGCGGCACAAGATGTTGTTGCGGCAATTCATCCTCCAGCTGAACAACATCCTCGACGTCGGGGACGAGGTGATGAGGGACGTCGTGATGACGACCATGAAACCGGTCATGATCCCATTGAACTTCTATTGGCTGACTGGACTGGTGGCCGTGTCCGGATGGTGCCTCACGCCGTTACGCTTGCTGTCCAAGAAAAGTTCCGTCTACTACGAGGATTACCGGATGCCGGTTGCTTTCATCAAGCAGCCTTTCTCGGCCACGGTCTTCGTGTTAGATACCCTGGTCATATCGATCAGCAGCGTAGGCATGTACCTGAAGAAGGTCGGCGTGGACATCTACATGGTGAACGTGGTGTTGTTGATGACGGCGCAGTATCTGTACATCACAACTAAACTCGCGCTGATATTTCGCAAAGGCGCTTCGTGGGACGAAGGAAACAACACTATCGCGGGAAACTATTCTTCCGAGGTGAATGTGTCGGTAGAGAAGCAGTTGAAGATGTTGTGTCGGTACAACACTGTGATCCAGTAAGTAGCCAGTTAAAGCTTGCCCTTCAAAGGCCCTTCGAAGGAATTATCTCACGCTCGTCGTGCCTGCAGACTACATTTCAAGGTGTCGGAAATGCATACTCACATACGTACGCTTCCTTTCAGTCAGTCATTCCTGCTAAAGAAGCTGCTGTCCTTGAACTTAAACATAACTTACATCATTAGCATATTCCGCTTCTGCTTTGGCGCTATACAGCTGAGTTCGGTGAGTAATCTCGATCGTAATCGAATAAGTATTAAATGTATGCAGAAGTTTTAGTCATTTTCTTCAACCTACTGATGTAGTTACTAATGTATAATAATTACTTTAAATTGAAATATTTTTCCGCCGTTTTGTCTTTGCAAGATTGCTATTGAAATTTCTGAAACAACATTATGAGTCATTGAGGTGCACATAATCTTCAGAATAACAGTTGATTAAATGAGCGACAATTTGGAAGCATTTTTGAATGATAACCTGTTTTTGAACGAAAACGCTGGTAAAACTTGCAGAACAGCTTAGAATTAGCCAAACCACAACCTAGACGCGCTTTGGAGGAATGTCGAGTATGGAATTTTGATTTTCTCCTTTCTGGCAAAACAAATAAAAATGTCTGCCAAGTACCTTAGTAAATAATGCCATTTGCAAGTCATCGAGATATCGTACCGGAAGAAACGACACAAGCCACGAACAACGCTGGGCGATGAATTTCTTAGGCCGGGATTACGATGAACTTAACGTAACGGGACGTGAAGTGACACAAAACCTAAAACACATTATTTTATATGCGGCTAGTTACGATCGACTTTACGTAACGTGACGTGAAATATCGGAACTTAACGCGATGTGAAGCTTGCCAATGTCAAGTTTAGATGCTGCGTTCTGTCAAGTCGGACTGTTCACGTGACACTTTCAGCCAATCAACGTTATGCCAGGTTATGCCCGTCCGTCACCAAACTGAATTCTTCTCCGAAAAATATCTCTCACACCAATGGTTCGTATTCGTTTCCTCTTCCACACAGTTGAAGATATAAATACTCGGCCAAAATTAAATTTACAAATTGATAATGCCTTACAGCAGAATTCATTATTACGGCACGTTACGGTGATCGTAATATCAAATATAACCTCAAACATCAAATTCACGTCACGTCACTTTACGTCCCGTCGCGCCTCGTTACGTAAAGTTCATCGTAATCGCGCCCTTACTCGTCAGTGCGCCGTGAAGATATCCGCCGGATCTGGAGATTTCGTCTCATCTGTCTTCCGCCACGCACTGTGCCGCTTTCGGTCGTTCCGACACCGCACTGCGAAAAATTCTGCGATATTCATCAGCCGTTTCTGTCATGTTTCATTGTGTTTCCCGCTTCACACACGCCCGGTCATTGCGAACGCTGGAAACGCAGCAGCTCCGCGGCTGCCGGCAGGGCACCATAAGATAATTGTCGGTTTACAGAGCAGTCGTAATTACAAAGTCCTACAAAATTCTTGCAGGCAGCACGGCTATGGCGAGGGAGACGCGAGAAACGAATTCTCCGTTTGACGGGGATATGGCGATGTTTATTTATGAACTTCTTTTGCAGCGCACTAATTCTCTTTGTATTTCGGGCAAACCTGCAATGCGTCGTCGTGCGACAATTAACTTCCCACTCAGGCCGACGGTAATGAAACGAAATCACATGACAGAGATCGACAATTGGAGCGTAGGCAACACATATTATATTGATGGAGTCCAATTGAAAAACAGAGTTTGCAAAAGGAATAACGAATGACCAAAGGTCAACTGCGTGTGACCTGCGAATTTCGCAAGAAGAATCCTCGCACGAGGAGAGACGAGATCGACATCGCAACCGGACATGATGCGAAGAGTTGAGTAGAAGAAGAAAGAAGCGAATGATCAAGGCTGGCGATATGAACTTCGACAGCGTGAATCACATAAACGTCCAGCTGAACAAGGTTTCCGGCAACTTGCTACCGATGACCAACGACAGTGGATTTTCAGTATTTTGGCTAACGTACGGCGTGGTTGTGTGGCTGTTTGAGCTGGCGCGCGCGATTGGCTTCATCTTCGGATTCATGGCAGTGTCAATAGAGAAAATCATTTTGGACACCATGATCTCCATCGTGTACACCACGGAGGTGATCTTCTTGAACGTACAGATTCAGCGGCACAAGGTGTTGATGCGGCAGTTCATCCTCCAGCTGAACAACATCCTCGACGCCGGGGACGAGGTGATGAGAGAAGTCGTGATGACGACCATGAAACCGGTCATGATTCCATTGAACTTCTATTGGCTGACCGGCGTGGTGACCGTGTCCATATGGTGCCTCATGCCGTTAAACTTGCTGTCCAAGAAAAGTTCCTTCTACTACGAGGATTACCGGATGCCGGTCGCTTTCAGCAAGCAGCCCTTCTCGGCCACGGTCTTCGTGTTAGGTACCCTGGTCATATGGATCTGCAGCATAGGCATGTACCTGAAGAAGGTCAGCGTGGACATCTACATGGTGAACGTGGTGTTGTTGATGACGGTGCAGTATCGATACATCACAACTAAACTCGCGCTGATATTTCGCAAAGGCGCTTCGTGGGACGAAGGAAACGACACTGCAGCGGGAAACTATTCTTCCAGGGTGAATATGTCGGTGGAGAAGGAGTTGAAGATGTTGTGTCGATACTACAACACTGTGGTCCAGTAAGTAGCCAATTAACGCTTGCCCTTCGAAAGCCCTTCGAAGGAATTATCTCACGCTCGTCGTGCCTGCGGACTACATTTCAAGGTGTCGGGAATGCATACTCATATACGTACGCTTCTTTTCAGTCAGTCGTACCTGCTAAAGAAGCTGCTGTCCTGGAACTTAAACCTAATTTACGTCACTAGCATATTCCGCTTCTGCTTTGGTGCTATACAGCTGAGTACGGTGAGTAATCTCGATCGTAATCGAATAAGTATTAAATGTATGCAGAAGTTTTAGTCATTTTCTTCAATCTGCTGAAGTAGTTACTAATGTATAATAATTACTTTAAATTGAAATATTTTTCCGCCGTTTTGTGTCTTTGCAAGATTGCTATTGAATTTTCTGAAACACCATTATGGGTCATTGAGGTGCACATAACCTTCAAAATAACAGTTGATTAAATGAGCGACAATTTGGAAGCATTTTTTAATGATAACCTGTTTTTGAACGAAAATGCTGGTAAAACTTGCAGAACAGCTTAGAATTAGCCTTAGAATTTTTTGCCAAAAATTGTTATTTGCGATGAAAAGTAAATTATATATATGATAATTCTAAACGCACACGTTCCAGAGTTAACCCCAGACTGCCTTCTGCATCAGTGACAAAACCAAACGTTCACAGCAAAACGATCCTTTTATGTACTTTGTTTATTTTTGAGGTTATGTGCACCAATGAATCAGGATGAATGGCGTTTAAAAAATATTTTGGTTTAAAATAATTACATCGGAAGGCTGAAAGAGGACAAACTTTGGCATACACCCAATATTTCTCAGCAGTCTGCGAATTGTTGCTCGACCAACGAGAATCGCAAGATTGAAGCGCGTGCTGTGCATGTGATGTCATTTTGCGAATCTACAGGTGCTGGTGGCGCACTTTATCGTGGGGTTGTCTATCACTCTGTTCCAAATCGGCGGAGTGATGCAATTTTATATTCTCTGCTCCTCCGTCCAAAAGTTATCGGACGCAGTAAGTCGCCTTGTCTGAGAAATCCCCTTGAACTCGTCGCGACTTGTACTTCTCTGGCGCGCAGCCTTGATAATTTTACGCCGAATTTAGAGCACAGAAATGACGAATATGGCATTCCATGAAAACTGGTATCAATTTACACCTTCAATCAAACGCATCTTCATGCTGATGGTTCTGAGTAATAATTTGGGATGTGAAATTACAACGTGCGAAAAATTACGCCTCTCGTTGTCAGCGTTTATGTCGGTAAAATTACTTTCATGTCGGCAAATATATTATATTAGGTTGGGGAAAAAGAAATCCATTATTTTTTCGTTTATTTCAAGGCTTTATTTAACATAGTTAGGATTGTTCGATTTTGGTCAAATGAGCACCGTTTTGTTCTACAATTTGTCGCCATTTTAAAGGTAATTTCATGATCCCTCTGTCATAGAAGCCCTGGTCCTTATTTGCAAAAAAAACTCGACTAGCGGTTTTCACAGTTTTCTTTTGAGGTCAATTTCTTACCATCAAGGAAGTTTTGCAATGACAAAAACAGATGGTAATCGCTAGGTGCCAGGTCCGGACTATAAGGTGGATGCATCAAAACTTCCCAACCAAGCTCCCGGAATTTCTGACGAGTCACTATAGACGTATGTGGCCTGGCATTGTCCTGATGAAAAACAATTCCTCTCTTGTTGACCAATTCTGGCCGCTTGTGGTCGATCGGCAGCTTCAAACAGTCCAATTGTTAACAATAGAGGTCTGAATTTAGTGTTTGGCCATATGAAAGCAGCTCATGGTGGATGATTCCTTTATAGTCCCATCAAACACTCAACAAAACCTTCCTGGCCATTAATCCTGGTTTGGCCACCGTTTGTGCCGTTTCGCTGCGCTTTGACTACGATCGTTTTTGCACAATATTGTCGTATGTAATCCATTTCTCATCTCCAGTCATCATCCGTTTCATAAATGGCTCGATTTCGCTCCGTTTGGTCAAGGCTTCGCAGATTGAAATTCGGTCCATTATGTTTTTTTTTGCGTCAATTCGTGTGGCACCCAAACATCGAGCTTTTTTTTGAATCCAGCTTTATGCAAATGATTTAAAACTGTTTTGTGGTCGATCTTCAGCTCCTGGGCGATACTACGACTGCTAACATGCCGGTCTACTTCGATCATTTCCATAGTTTTATTGACATTTTCGACGACGGGCCTACCTGTGCGAGATGCATCTTTAACATCAAAATTACCGGGACGGAATCGACGAAACCAAAATTGCGCGTGATTGGCTGTGACAGTATCGGGACCATAAACACCATTCACAATTTCAGCCGCCTGGCTTGCATTTCCGCCTTTATCGAAGCAAAATTGTAAAATATACCGAATTTTCTCTTTGTTGACGTACATCTTTTACGTGCTAGAACTCACAACTTAATCGACAAATCACAAAACCGTTAAAGAATTCTTTTTAGTACGGAATGTCACTTTTCCAACGAGTATAAATATTAACGATAACTATGCGATTAATACATCACATGATATATACCACTAAAGCTGTCTAGCGGAAAAATAATGGATTTCTTTTTCCCCAACCTAATTTTACCCGTACTGAGCGTGCGCGCGCGTGTGTGTGTCAACATTTTTATAATAATATCAAGATACCATCCTTGTGTCAGCATTGTGTATAACTAATAAAATTGCAGGTTATGAATCAAGCGTATTCGGTGGCGCTTCTGGTTTTAAGGATGAAGTAAAACACGATGTTGCAGACACTCCAAAGTTCGTTTTCTCTTTCTTTCCGCAAAGTCAAAATTATCACGAAGAAACTTGTAGGCAACAAGGCTCCTAGACGCAGAAACTTAAATCTCTGCATTGTACTTGAAGTAAAAAGATCTGTATATGATCCATGAGAGAATAAAAGTATCTTATTCGAGCGAATGCTGAGTAATTAAGTTGTTATTGTTCGATCCAAGCAATATTCTTCAGTCCTCAAATTACCAAAATATAATTCACTAATAATGACGCCGCCAATCTAAAAAGCGTAGCCGGCAACGCATTGATGAATGAAACGCTTTAAAAACCTCATAGCGGTACATCGAGGATTAAACTATATTAATTCTTGACTCATATGAACAAAGTCAGTGGGACGTTGTCTTTGAATTTTGCTACTTTGCAGTACTCAGCGGAACGGTATAAGATAATCGCTGTTTCGTCGAGCGCGAGTGATTAAAAGGAGGAGGCTTATTGGCTCTTGTCCCCACGACAAAGAAAACGATCAAGATAACTGCCGCGGCATTCACGCACAAAGTTTTTTATTAGTATTTTGCGATGATGCATTTCAAATTTGAGGAATGTCTACTTTGTATTCGTCAATAGTGAGCAATATTTTAATATGACGCTGTTCAACTTTTGAAAATCTATTTTTGGATAGCTTGTACGCTTTTGCGAAACTTAGCTTGCCAATTAAGGGTTTGAGGTTTCTGAATGTTTGCCGTGATTATTTTGATTTGAGGCGAAAGAACAAATGCATATTTTGAATCTCAAAATTCCTGCAAAATGCGTTAAGATTAAGGGGTATATCCAGGAAATTACACTAGCAATTAATTAAGCACATTCGGCGCGTATTCCGAATATTTTCCTCTCGCTTCAACAAGTCAACGATAAATTAATTATTAATTAATAACGTGAAATTTACCTGACGTGCAACTTATCTCTTCAAATATTCTTTTCTACGATTCGGTAATGTTAATTACACCAAAATTTATCGACCGTTGTAATAAAAATGATATATTCAGGGAATTTTATACCTATGTGCGATCAGCCTAAATGTTATTAGGAGTACAAATAAGTTTCCGCCGTTTGACAAAAGATGGCCCCACCAGAAAGTTATGTTGAAATTGTCAGATGTAAAACGTAATATCGTAAGTTTGGACATCTGGTAACAACATAACCTTGAAGTATTAGTGACTCCGTATCAGCATCACATAATTTTTCTCGTGCGAAAATGTCAAGTTTTGTGCCGAATAAGCGTCATTTGAGGGAACTTTTGATTTACTTTTTTAATTTGAAGAAATCTGCAGCTGAGGCGCATCGATTGCTTGTAGAAGCATATGGTGAGACTGCTTTAAGTGAGAGAAGTAGTGAGTGGTTTCAAAAGTTTAAAAACGGTGAGTTTGACATGGAAGACAAAGAACATAGTAGAAGGCCAAAAATGTACAAAGACACGGAATTGGAAGCATTATTGGAGGAAAATTCGTGCCAAACGCAAGAAGAACTTGCACTTACATTAGAAGTGACTCAACAAGCAATTTCACATCGTTTAAAATCGTTGGGAATGATTAAAAAACAAGGAAATTGGGTTCCATATGAACTGAAGCCGAGAGACGTTGAAGCACGTCGACGATTTTGCACGTGTGAAATGCTGCTTGCCAGGCATAAAAGAAAGGGTGTTTTGCTTCGTATAGTCACTGGTGATGAAAAATGGATCCATTACGATAACCCAAAGAAGAGAAAATCATGGGGACCACCTGGCCATGCTTCAACATCGACAGCCAAACCGAATATTTATGGAAAAAAAACTCATGCTGTGTATTTGGTGGGATCAGCTTGGTGTCGTGTATTATAAGTTGCTCAAACCGAGCGAAACCATTACTGGAGCTCTCTACCGAACACAATTAATGAGATTGAACCGAGCACTCAAGGAAAAACGCGCCCATTACTACTCCCGACACGATAAAATTATTCTCCTATATCACAACGCTCGGCCGCATGTTGCAAAACCGGTCAAAACCTATTTGGAAACACTTAATTGGGAAGTCCTACCCCACCCGCCGCTGGTATTCACCAGACATTACCCCTTCCGATTATCACTTGTTCCGGTCGATGGCACATGGCCTGTCTAAGCAGCGCTTTACATCATATGAAGATACTAAAAATTGGGTCGATTCGTGGATAGCCTCAAAAGATCAAGAGTTCTTCCGACGTGGTATCCGAAAGCTGCCAGAAAGATGGGAAAAAGTAGTGGCTAGTGAAGGACAATACTTTGAATAAAACATAATGTACCGTTCTTTCACAATAAATTCCTAACTTTTGATAGAAAACGGCGGAAACTTATTTGTACTCCTAATATGTTTTGGGAATATTTCTTTACCTAGACGCGCTTTGGAGGAATGTCGAGTATGGAATTTTGATTTTCTCCTTTCTGGCAAAACCAATAAAAATGTCTGCCAAGTACCTTAGTAAGTAATGCCATTTGCACGTCATCGAAATATCGTACGGGAAGAAACAACACAAGCCACGAACAACGCTGAGCGATGAATTTCTTAGGCCGGGATTACGATGAACTTAACGTAACGGGACGTGAAGTGACACAAAACCTAAAACACATTGTTTTATATGCGGCTAGTTACGATCGACTTTACGTAACGTGACGTGAAATATCGGAACTTAACGCGACGTGAAGCTTGCCAATGTCAAGTTTAGATGCTGCGTTCTGTCAAGTCGGACTGTTCACGTGACACTTTCAGCCAATCAACGTTATGCCAGGTTATGCCCGTCCGTCACCAAACTGAATTCTTCTCCGAAAAATATCTCTCACACCAATGGTTCGTATTCGTTTCCTCTTCCACACAGTTGAAGATACAAATACCCGGCCAAAATTAAATTTACAAATTGATAATGCCTCACAGCAGAATTCATTATTACGGCACGTTACGGTGATCGTAATATCAAATATAACCTCAAACGTCAAATTCACGTCACGTCACTTTACGTCCCGTCGCGCCTCGTTACGTAAAGTTCATCGTAATCGCGCCCTTACTCGTCAGTGCGCCGTGAAGATATCCGCCGGATCTGGAGATTTCGTCTCATCTGTCTTCCGCCACGCACTGTGCCGCTTTCGGTCGTTCCGACACCGCACTGCGAAAAATTCTGCGATATTCATCAGCCGTTTCTGTCATGTTTCATTGTGTTTCCCGCTTCACACACGCCCGGTCATTGCGAACGCTGGAAACGCAGCAGCTCCGCGGCTGCCGGCAGGGTACCATAAGATAATTGTCGGTTTACAGAGCAGTCGTAATTACAAAGTCCTACAAAATTCTTGCAGGCAGCACGGCTATGGCGAGGGAGACGCGAGAAACGAATTCTCCGTTTGACGGGGATATGGCGATGTTTATTTATGAACTTCTTTTGCAGCGCACTAATTCTCTTTGTATTTCGGGCAAACCTGCAATGCGTCGTCGTGCGACAATTAACTTTCTGCTGAGCCCGACGATTAAAGAACGAAATCACACGACGAAAGTCGACAATTGGAGGGCAGGCATGTTATATTAATGGAGACCAATTGGAAGGGAGTTTACAAAAGGAATAACGAATGACTGGACATCAATCGCGAGAGCCGCGCGTCGCCTGCGAATTTCGCTGGAAGAATCGCCCGAGGAGAGACAAGATCGATATCTCGATCGAGCGATACGAAGAGCTGAGTAAAAGAAGAAAGAAGCAAACGGCCGACGCTGGCGAGAATGAACTTCCAGAGCGTGAATCTCATAAACGTCCGGCTGAACATGGTTTCCGGCAACTTGCTGCCAGTAACCAGTGACAAGACGTTTTCGCTATTTTGGTGTGTATACAGCATGCTCACGTGGCTTCTTCAGCTGTTGCGCATGGGCGCCTTCATCCCCGGTTTCATGGAGGTGTCAACAGAGAAGATCTTTTTGGACGCCATGCTCGCCATCGTGTTCACCACGGAGGTGATCTTCTTGAACGTGCAGATTCAGCGCCACAGCAAGCTGATGCGGCGGTTCATCCTCCAGCTGAACAACATTCTCGACGCCGGGGACGAAATGATGAGGAACATCGTGACAATGACCATGAAGCCGATCATAATCCCATTGAACTTCTATTGGCTGACCGGCCTGGCGACCGTGTCCATATGGTGCCTCGTGCCGTTAAACTTGCTGTCCAAGAAAAGTTCCTTCTACTACGAGGATTACCGGATGCCGGTCGCTTTCGGCAAGCAGCCCTTCTCAGCCACGGTCTTCGTGTTAGGTACCCTGGTCATATCGATCAGCAGCATAGGCATGTACCTGAAGAAGGTCAGCGTGGACATCTACATGGTGAACATGGTGTTGTTGATGACGTTGCAGTATCGATATATATCGACGAAACTCGCGCAGATTTTTCGCGAAGGCGCTTCGTGGAACGAAGGAGACAACGCTCCCGCGGGGAAGTATTCTTCCGGAGTGAATGGAGTGGATGGAGGAGTTGAAAGTGTTGTGTCGGTACCACAACAGCGTGGTCCAGTAAGTAGCCTGTTAACGCCCACCGGAAGCTCGCTCATCCTTTAAAGGCGAAAGATACCTTCAAGGTATCTGGAATGCATGTGTTACTTACGCTTTGTTTTAGCCTATCGCTCGTGCTGAAGAAGCTACTGTCCTGGAATTTAAACATAATTTATATCACTAGCATATTCCGCTTCTGCTTTGGCGCTTTACAGCTGACTTCGGTGAGTAATCTCGATCGTAATCGAATAAGTATTAAATGTATGCAGAAGTTTCAGTCATTTTTTTCAATCTACTGATGTAATTACTAATGTATAATAATTACTTTAAATTGAAATATTTTTCCGCCGTTTTGTATTTTTGCAAGATTGCTATTGAATTTTCTGAAACATCATTATGAGTCATTGAGATGCACATAATCTTCAAAATAATATATAAGTTATAAAATAAGTCATAAAATAAGTTGATGCGACAATTTGGGAGCATTTTTTAATGAAAATGCAGAAAAAATTTACAGAACAGACTCAGAATTGACCAAACCACAGCTTCAAGATGACTGCATGAAATGAGAAAAATTTACAAGCTTGGAAAATGGGTTATGCATAAATTATCGCAAAGCAGCATTATCCACCGGTTGCATTACGCACGTTTCATAATAGACAGCGCAAAAAACATTTTTTGCGAAAAACTGTTATTGGCGATGAAAAGTAAATCATATATAATTCTAAACGCACACGTGCCTGGGTGGAGTCGAGACAGCCTTCTGCATAAGTGGCGAAGCCAAACATTCATAGCAAAAAGACCCTTTTGTGTACTTTGTTTATTTTTGACGTTATGTGCACCAATGAATCATAATGAATGGCGTTTAAAAAATATTTCGGTTTAAAATAATTACATCGGAAGGCTGAAAGAGGACAAACTTTGGCATACACCCAATATTTCTCAGCAGTCTGCGAATTGTTGCTCGACCAACGAGAATCGCAAGATTTAAGCGCGTGCTGCGCAAGTGATGTCATTTCGCGAATCTGCAGGTGCTGAAGGTGCATTTTATCCTGGGCTTGTGTTTCATACTGTTCTTTTTCGGCGGAGTGCTGCAATTTTACATTCTCTGCTCCTCCGTCCAAAAATTATCGGACGCAGTAAATTGCGCTGTCTGAGAGATCCCCTTGAACATGTCGCGACTTGTATTTCTCTGGTGCGCCCCGTTGATAATTTTACGTCGAGTTTAGAGCACAGGAATGACGGATATGGCATTCCACGAAAACTGGTATCAATTTACACCGTCATTCAAACGCGTCTTTCTGCTGATGGTTCTGAGTAATAATTTGGAATGTGAAATTACAATGTGCGAAAAATTACGCCTCTCGTTGCCATCGTTTATGTCGGTAAAATAACCTTTATATCGGCAGATATCTGTACTACGCGCGCGTGTGTGTATGTGTGTGTGTGTGTGTATGTGTCAACTTTTTTATAATTATTGGGGACTTGAATAAGTTCTCGCTGTTTTTTCGTGAAAATGAATGTTTTATTAGAAAAAATTAGTAAAGAACATGTCTTTGAAAATATTGTCCATCGCTAGCGACTGTTTTCTCCCATCTTTCTGGCAGCATACGAATACCATGTCGAAAGAACGACTCATCTTTTGAGGTTATCCACGAATCAACCCATTTTTTGGCATCTTCATAAGAATGGAAGTGCTGCTCAGCCAGGCCATGAGTCATCGATCGGAACAAGTGATAATCGGAAGGAGCAATGTCCGATGAATATGGCGGGTGAGCTAAGACTTCCCATTTGAGCGTTTCCAAGTAGGTTTTGACCAGTTTTGCAACATGTGGCCGAGCGTTGTCATGCTGCAAAATTACTTTGTCGTGTCTTTCCTCGTACTGCGGCCGTTTTTCCTTCAATGCTCGACTCAAACGCATCAGTTGTAGTCGATAGTAATCTCCCGTGATGGTTTCGTTGGGTTTGAGGAGCTCATAATATACTATACCCAGCTGAACCCACCAAATACAGAGCATAAGCTTGGAACCGTGGATATTCGGCTTTGCCATCGATGTTGATGCATGGCCGGGCTTACCCCACGATTTTCTACGCTTCGGGTTATCGTAGTGTATCCACTTTTCATCGCCAGTCACGATACGATGCAAAAAACCTTTCCTTTTTTGCCATTGGAGCAGCTGTTCGCACGTGAAAAAACGTCGTTCGACGTCTCTCGGTTTCAATTGGTACGGCACCCAATTTCCTTGCTTTTGAATCATTTCTAATGCTTTTAAACATTTGGCAACTGTTGTGTGATCAACTCCTAATGACTCTGCAAGTCCATTTCACGTCTGACATGGGTCTTCATCGAATAATGCTCCCAATTCTTCGTCTTCAAACTTTTTGGGAGCGCCAGAGCGTCCTTTATCTTCAACATCAAAATCATTATTTTTAAAGCGTCTAAACCAATCTCTGCATGTTGTTTCCGACAGAGCATGGTCCCCGTAAGTTTCCACAAGAATTCTATATGCATCAGCTGCAGATTTTTTTGAAAAAAGTAATGCAGTAAAATTCGCCGCAAATACTCTTTTTTTGGCACGAAATTCGACATGTTTAACGCTATGAAAAAATATGTTGTTTACGCTTCGGCGGAATAACATATACTGTCGCTTCGAGCCTAATGATGGAGCTTCACGATGAAGTTGGCTGTAGTATTGCCCGATGCAAAAGGCTTAGATAACACCATCTGTCGGGAATCAGCGAGAACTTATTCAAGTTCCCAATATATCAAGATACCATGAGTCAGCCTTGTGTGTAACTAATAACGTTGCAGGTTTTGAATCAAGCGTACTCGGTGGCGCTTCTGCTTTTAAGGTTGAAATAAAACACGATGTTGCAGACACTGGAATGTATCGTTTTCTCTTTCTTTCTGCAAAGTCAAAATTATCACGAAGAAACTTGTAGACAAAACAAGGCTCCTAGATGCAGGAACTTTAATCTCTACATTGTACTTGAAGTAAGAAGATCTGTATATGATCCCTGAAAACATAAAAGTATCGTATTCGAGCGAATGCTGAGTAATTAAATTGATATAGTTCGATCCAAGCAATATTCTTCAGTGCTCAAATTACCAAAATATAATTCACTAATAATGACGCCGCCAATCTAAAAGGCGCAGCCGGTAACCCGTTGAAGAAAGAAACGCTTTAGCCTCAAAGCGGTACAGCGAGGATTAAACTGCACCAATTCTTGACTCATATGAACAAAGTCAGCGGGACATTGTTTTTGAATTCTGCTACTTTGCAGTACTCAGCGGGACAGTATAAGATAATCACTGTTTCGTCGAGCGCGAGTGATTAAAAGGAGGAGGCTTATTGCCTCTTGTCCCCACGACAAAGAAAACGATCGAGATAACTGCCGCGGCATTCACGCACAAAGTCCTTTATTCGTATATTGCGATGAAACATTTCAAATTTGAGGAATGTCTACTTTGTATTCGTCAGTAGTGAGCAATATTTTAATATGACGCAGCTCAACTTTTGAAAATCTATTTTTGGCTAGCTTGTACGGTTTTGCGAAACTTAGCTTGCCAATTAAGAGTTTGAGGTTTCTGAATGTTTGCCGCGACCATTTTGAGACGAAAGAATAAATGCATATTTTGAATCTCAGAATTGATGCTAAACGCGTTAAAATGAAGGGGTATGTCCTGAAAATTACACTGCCAATCAATTAAGCACACTCGCCACGTATTCCGAACATTTTCCTCTCGCTTCAACAATTCAACGATAAATTAATTAATAATTATTAATTAATAACGTGAAATTTATCTGACATGCAACTTACCTCTTCAAACATTCTTTTCTACGATTCCGTTGTTAATTACCATCCATGTTAATTACATTATAATTTATCGATCGTTGGAATAAAAATGAAATATTCAGGGTATTTTATATCTTTGTGCGATCAGTCTAAATGTCACGTTTTGGAAATATTTCTTTAGCTGGACGCGCTTTGAAGGAATGTCTAACATGGAATTTTGATTTTCTCCTTTTTGACACTACAAATAAAAATGTCTGCCAAGTACCTGAATGCCATTTGCACGCCGTCGAGATATCGTACCGAAAAGAACGACAAAAGTCACGAACAACGCTGAGCAACGAATTTCTTATTCGCCAGTGCAGCGTGAAGATATTCACCGGATCTGGAGATTTCGTCTCATCTGCTTTCCGCCGCGCATTGTGCCGCTTTCGCTCGTTCCGATATCGCGCTGCGAAAAATTCCGCGCCGTTCACCAGCCATTTCTGTCGTGCTGCATTCTGTTTCACGCTTCACGCACGTCCGGTCGTTGCAAACGCTGGAAATGGAGCAGCTCCGCGGCTGCCGGTAGAGCACCATAAGATAATTGTCGGTTTACGGAGCAGCGGTAATTACAAAGTCCTACATAATTCTTGCAGGCAGCGCAGCCAAGGCGAGGGAAACGCGAGAGACGCATCCTCCGACGAGGATACCGCGATGTTTATTCATAAGCTTCTTTTGCAGCGCATTAATTTTCTTTATATTTCGGGCAAACCTGCAATGCGTCGTCATGCGACAATTAACTTTCTGCTGAGCCCGACGATTAAAGAACGAAATCACACGACGAAAGTCGACAATTGGAGGGCAGGCATGTTGTATTAATGGAGACCAATTAGAAGGGAGCTTACAAAAGGAGTAACGAATAACTGGAGGTCAACCGCGAGAGCTGCGCATCGCCTGCGAAGTTCTCTGGAAGAATCGCTCGAGGAGAGACAAGATCGATGTCGCGATCGAGCGATACGAAGAGCTGAGTAAAAGAAGAAAGAAGCAAACGGCCGACTCTGGCGAAAATGAACTTCCAGAGCGTGAATCTCATAAACGTCCGGCTGAACATGGTTTCCGGCAACTTGCTACCAATAACCAGCGACAACAGGTTTTCGCTATTTTGGCGGATGTACAGCATGCTCGTGTGGCTTCTTCAGCTGGTGAGCGCATGAGCGGTTTCACCCCCGGTCTCATAGCGGTGTCAAGACAGAGAAGATCTTTATGGACGCCATGATCTCCATCGTGTTCATCACGGAGGTGATTTTCTTGAACATGCAGATTCTGCGGCACAACAAGCTGATGCGGCGGTTCATCCTCCAGCTGGAAAACATCCTCGACGCCGGGGACGAGGTGATGAGGAACATGGTGACGATGACTATGAAGCCGATTATGATCTTGTTGAACATCTATTGGATGATCGGCCTGGTGTCCGTAATCATATGGTACATCATACCGTTCACCTTGCTGTCCAAAAGGAGCTCCTTCTAATACGAGGATTATCGGATACCAGTCGCTTTCAGCCAGCAACCCTTCTCGGCCACGGTCTCCGTGCTGGATAGCCTGGTCGTGTCGTTCGGCAGCTTATTCATGTCTCTGAAGAAGGTCAGCGTGGACATCTACATGGTGAATGAATCTACATGGTGTTGTCGATGACGGTGCAATATCGACACATGGCGACGAAACTCGCGCTGATATTTCGAGAAGGCGCTTCGTGGAACAAAGAAGACCCCTGCCACGGGGAAGTATTCTTCCGGGATGAATGCGTGGATGGAGAAGGAGTTGAAAATGTTGTGTCGGCACCACAACACCGTGATCCAGTAAGTAGTCTGTTAATGCCCGCCGGAAGCTCGCTCATCCTTTGAAGGTGAAAGGTACATTCAAAGTATCTGGAATGCATACATTACCTACCTACGCACGCTTCGTTTCAACCTGTCATTCGTGCTGAAGAAGCTGCTGTCCTGGAACTTAAACCTAATTTACCTCACTAGCGTAATCCGCTTCTGCTTTGGCGCTATGTAGCTGAGTACGGTGAGTAATCTCGATCGTAATCGAGTAAATATTAGATGTATGCAAAAGTTGTAGTCATTTACTTCAGTCTTCTAATGTAATTACTTTAAATTAAAATATTTTCCCGCCAGTTTGTGTTTTTGCAAAGATGCTATTCAGTTTTCTGAAACACCATTCATCAGTAATTAGTATACATAACCTTAGAAATTACAGTTGATGCAATGACTGACAATTTGGCAGCGTTATTTCTTAAGTTGTGTGCACCAATGAATGAATAACGAATGAATAACGAATTTTAAAAAATATTTCGGTTTAAAATAATTACATTACAGAACTGTGAAGAAAAGAGAAACTTTGATATACATCTAATATTTCTCAACATTCTGCGAAATATGTTACTCGACTAGCGAGAATCGCATGATTCAGGCGCGTGGTGATGCCATTTTGTGAATCTATAGGTGCTGGAGGTGGATTTTATGCTGGGGTTGTCCATCACTCTGTTCTTATTCGTCGGAGTGCTGCAATTTTACATTCTCTGCTCCTCCGTTCAAAAGTTATCGGACGTAGTAAGTCGCCTTGTCTGAGAAATCCCCTAGAACTCGTCGCGATTTGTACTTCTCTGGCACGCACCGTTGATAATTTTACGCCGAATTTAGAACACAGAAATGACGAATATGGCATTCCATGAGAACTGGTATCAATTTACACCGTCGATCAAACGCGTCTTTCTGCTGATGGCTCTGAGTAATAATTTGGGATGTGAAATTACAATGTGCGAAAAATTACGCCTCTCGTTGCCATCGTTTATGTCGGTAAAATAACCTTTATATCGGCGGATATCATCTGTACTGCGCGCGCGCGCACGCGCGTGTGTGTGTGTGTCAACTTTCTTATAATAATATCAAGATACCATGAGTCAGCCTTGTGTGTAACTAATAACGTTGCAGGTTCTGAATGAAGCGTACTCGGTGGCGCTTATACTTTTAAAGATGAAGTAAAAGCACGATGTTGCAGACACTCGAAAGCATCGTTTTCTTCTTCTTTCTTAGTAAAAATTATCACGAAGACACTTGTAGGCAAAAAAGCTTCTAGACGTAAAAACTTACATCTCTACATTGTACTACATTATACTTGAAGTAAAGAGATCTGTACACGATTCCTGGGAAAATAAAGGTATGTTATTCGGACGAAAGCTGAGAAGCCAAACTCAATTGCGACACGATTGACCTTCCGACCGGACCTTCTCTCTCTCTCTCTCTCTCTCTCTCTCTCTCTCTCTCTCTCTCTCTCTCTCTCTCTCCCCCCCCCCTCTCTCTCTCTCACAAAGCAGACAGGCTCTAATTATTTCCCTCTTTATGCAAGAATAAAGTTTCACGTGGAAGAATCTTACAGTACGTCTCGGCCACTCAGACCCGGTCTTTCAGCCGGGAGCGAAGCCCACCAAGTACCAAAGACAGATTCGGGGAAGCTAATTCCAAAGGTTCGGAAAAATCGCAGAGGCCTCGCGCGCTCGCCCTCCTCGAGAAATCGACACGCGAACGAAGCACGAGTCCCTCCGGCGATATCCACGAGCTGTGGATGTCGTCTGCCCACAAATCGCGGACATCAGCGTCGCGACTCGCGACCCCATTCGGTCGCGTCTCACCCCCGCCGTCAGCGAGTTTATATCATACAAGTGGACCGGCGAAGTGCCGTCGGGATCTGGACGGTCTCGTCTTGCATCGCGCGCTCTTCCGCCGCGAGTGCTTCTGCCGCTTCTGCTCGTCCTGACAGCCGGTCGCAAAGAACTCTATGCTGGCTCCGTGGCCGTCGCCTCCGTCGTCCTTCGGTACGTTGCGCACGTTCGCCTTGTACGTGCAGTCGTTTCGCAGTTGTTGCAGCTCGCAGTGCGACGTCTGAAAGCAATCGTACGCCTCTGATCGCGCGTCTCGACTCATCGAGGCTGCGATGTCGACAGTTTTCCGCTGATCTAAGCCTACGCGTTTCTCATTATACCTCCGAGGACCTGCCAGCGATATTTATGTTATTGCCCTGCCCGGGTGAACAAACCGGGGGGGGGGGAGGAGGGAGGGTTTATTATTGGGTACAAAAGCCTTAAGCGTGGTCTACAATGGTAGTAAGCAGTAAGAAGTAAGCGTAAGCGGTAAGAAATAAACCAATCACAGTCGATTATAACAAAAATAATCAACTGTGGTTGGTCCATTCCTTACTGTTCACGCTTACTTCTTACTGTTTGCGACCACGCTTAAGTCTCTTCTTCAGCCTAATTTCTAAAGTAATTATTTTAATCTGGAATATTTCCCGCCGTTTTGTGTTTTTCTAAGGTCGGTATTGGACTTTCTGAAATGTCATTCATTATGATTCATTGCTGCATATAACCTTAAAAATAATCCTAACCGCAGACATTCGTGGATGAGCCCTGGACAGCCTTCTACGTTATTCCGGCAAAACCGAGTATTCACTGTAAAAAAATTCTTTCGTGTATTTTATTTATTTTTGAGGTTATGTGTGCACCGATGAATCATAATGAACGGCATTTGAGAAAGTTCAATATCAACCTAGAGAAAAACTTACGGAACGGCGGGGAAATATTTCAATTTGAAATAATTACATTAGAGGTCTGAGGAAAAGACTAAAACTTTTGCATACACCTAATAACACCCTGAGTTTCAGTTATTCCTCGTAAGATGTGACGATGCGAGATGTCCGGATGTCGGATCATGCGGACCGATCAAACTCCGCAAGATCGTTACGACGCGAAAGAAAACAATCGTAAAAGCGCAAGAAGCTCTAGGAGAGACGTGATCAAGGCGCCGAGGAAAGGAAAAGAAGAAAGGACAAGAAGAAGAAGAAGAAGAAGAGAGAGAGAGAGAGAGAGAGAGAGAGAGAGAGAGAGAGAGAGAGAGAGAGAGAGAGAGAGAGAGGGGAAGTACCTGGACCAGCTGCCAAGCGTCGGCCTTCCGCCGGTGTTCCGGGCTTTTCTCGCGCGAGCAGGACTCCTCCCGCCACGTGACGTTGTACATCTTGGCGTCGCCGTTCGCCGGCCAGACCAGGCGCACCTTCACGTCGCCACAGTGGCAGCTCATGCGACGCACGTGGAGCCCAGCCTGGGTTCGCTCGCACCTGCGAGAACGTCTCTCGACGTCGGCTTCAATGAAAGGTCATTCGTTCTTTCGTTCATTGTCCCGACTACCGCTAGGCTTAGAAGGGGGACCGGGGGAGGAGACGATGAGCTATCGGCGCGGACGAGTTTGTCAGGTCAGCGTGATCGAGCTTACCGTACGCCATGTAGTCGGTGCTGTTGAACACCTTGGAGGCCTTGCGCGACGCCAAACGCCGGCCGCCGTACACCGCGACCGCCTGTACCTGCAGGAAGTACTGGCACTTGAGCTCGAGATTCTTCAGCTCGTAGCACGTCTTGTCCTGAAAAGACGCCAGACACTCTGATACCTCTTCCTCCCCTTCCTCTCTTTCTCACTTCTCCGCCGCGCACCCTCCTCTTTTTTGCGCCCTCTTCGCGATCGTCTTTCTGCCGCTTGTTTCGCTTCTCTTAACTCTTTGAGGCACGTATTTTTCAGAAAATCCGAATCACATGAAAATTTATTTACGAGGGTTTCTGGGGTTTCTGGGGTCGCTGATGACGAATCCGTTATCAGATTTTCGAAATTCAAGATGGCGGGTCCAAGATGGCGGACGCAAAAATGAAAAATCGCGATAATTTTGGTGACATCGGTGATTCGTAATCAGCGACCTTGAAAGCTAACCAAAGTACAATTTCAACTAATCATATAAAAATTTTATGATCCGCCATCTTGGAAAATAAATTTTAGAATTTGGACCTCAGATTCGTAATCAGCGAGCTCAAAAACTAACCAGAGTACAATTTTAACTAATTTTATGTACATTCTATGATCCGCCAACTTGGAAAATTAATTATGGAATTTGGACCTCAGATTCGTAATCGGCGACCCAAAAAACCTTCAAGTCTTGATTTTGAGCAAAAAATTCACTCATAGTTCATAGAAAGTGATTTTTCTGTAAAAATATGTATTTTTCACATTTTGTTTATTTATAATAAATGGACAACTTATGCAAAACACTTTTCAACCTTTCATGTATGTTCCCATATCATACAAGAAGCTAAAAAACACAGAAAACCCGACAAGAATCCCTCAAATATGAAATATTTCATGAAAATGTGAGAATAAATAGGTGGTAAATTATACTTACCATTATGCCTCAAAGGGTTAACTCGACTAACGACGAAAACGACTCACTTTTAGGACCGTCTTGTGGTAGACGAGGATGGAGTCGTTGGTCGGCCCGTGAATCAGCCTGCTCCAGAACACCTTGTAGAAGGATATCGGTACGTCCGACGTCGGCTTCACCCAGCGCAGATTGATGCGCAGCTTCCCGCCGACGAGGCGCGCGTTCGACAACGTCAGATTCTGCGGCTCCTTCGGGTTTCGCGGCTCTACAACGACGATCGGCGTGTTGGGTGAGGTAAGTCATACAGTCGTGACGCAACGTTCGTCGCGTTCTTCGCTCTCTGCGTTTGCTCATTCCGACGGCGAGGCGAGAAAGCGCGCGACGAACCGTCGTTAATTGCTTATTTTACGAACTGTCGTTCGCGAGGCGCGCGACTAAAGGAGTCGCGTGAAAGCTCGTGATAAATCATCGCCGGCCCGAAGAAGCAGAAGCGACGGCCGCGGCCTCAGCTGATGATTCTTCACCTACTTAGAGAAACGATCGTTGGCACGCTCGTAATCCGGTTTCTCCGCCGGAGCTATTGCCATCGCGCCGCATTCTAATTGTCGTTCCCTCTTCTTCTTCACTTCTTCTTCGCGATCACGATCATGACGCGGCGCGGCGCGGCGCGGCGCAACCGGGAAATTTATGCGAAGACGCGACCTCGCGCCCGACGAAAATGATTTATCGCCGCCGACGATGAAGCCGTCGCGATAATTAAGCCAACTAGTCTAGCGGCATTCACCTTTAGTCTTGAAGGGTCTGGAGGGCTGCGAATAGCCGCGCGAGCCGATCCCGTTGACGGCCGCCACGCGAAACTGATACCAGTGTCCGGTCTTGAGCCGGCCGCGGAGGGTCGCGTGCGGCTTCGTCGACACGTGGCACACAGTCCAGGAGCTCAGCCTGGACTCCAGGTACCTGGGCCCGACGAGGTGGCGCTCCTCCACCAAGTACCGCACGTCCTCGTCGTCGTCGTCGGCGGCGTCGGGGATGGAGGTCGCGTTGGCGACTGCCGGCCTGCCGCTGCGCCAGGTCAGGAGCACCAGGTTGCTCTTCTGCTGGCGTATCCGTAGGTTCTCCGGCACGACTGGCAGGTCTAATTGAAATCGGGGGTCTAATTGCAATCGAGGGTGGTTTGGGAGATTCGCGAGTGAATCACGACGGCCCTCACCGTTTCGGCCGTCCAAGCCGACGGGGTGCATGCACGTGACGCCGCAGTCGTGGTTGCAGCACTTGGCCAGGTCCGGGCAACGGGAGTCGTCGACGCAGGCAACCAGGCAGGCGGCTTCGAAGGGCGTCATGAACGTTCTCTCGGGGCAGTGTCCGGGTTTCGTGTAGTTCGACGCCAGGCAGTTCTGCACGCACTGCAGCAGGACGACAGGATCAGATCACGGGCCGATGAGGAATCCACGCGAGCCGGAACTCGCGGGGCCTATCTAATTGGCGGCGCTTATCTAATTAGCGGGCGTTCCCGGCCGGAGTCGCCTTTATCAACGGCCGACAGCTTCTCGTCCGAGATCGACTCGGACTTGGCCGCGTCCCGTCTTAATCGAAGTCCTCGTCGATCCGATCCCGCGATCCTGTCGCGTCGGTGCGGAAGAAAGATACGACTCCGATCATGCGGATAGAAAAAAGGATAAAAATCCAATAACACCGTCGAGCCTCGATATCAAGCTCTGCCTCGATCAGAAAGAGGAGATGGACGGGGGAGGGATGGGGGAGGGGGGAAGAGTGGAGAGAGCTTCCCTGCCATTTTCGTGGAAGGCAGTCCTTGCTACATAGTTACGAAACTGCCCGGATCCTTCAAACGGGCCCCCGAGGCGGATTCGGCGGGATCGTCGGGACGAAAAAAAAGAAATGCACCTCTATGTATTATATATTTCGACTTAATGCCGCGTCCGAGTTGGCTCGCGCTACCGTGTTTTTTATCTGACCGACATTTACGAACAATGTAGAAGCGAGAGAGAGAGAGAGAGAGAGAGAGATATGGGACGAGAAGGAAGGCGAGGGGGCCGACCGAAGTCGATGGGAAAAAGCAACATGCGAAAAATAAGCCCCGACTGCAACGCGGGACGCATGATTACAAACATAATGCGGCCTCTCGCGAAATACCGGGACATTAAGTCGTATATCGAGTTATTAAATTTAATAACTCGATTCGTGAGGCGAGTTCTCGGGAAGTCTCATTTCAGCGTAAGTGCGTCGTATCGGGTTTCGTAATTATGACTTTTATAGCTGACGAACTTTATGATAGATCCGCCGCAAATTTCGCGAGATCGCACCACGCGCTGGAGCAAAAGAAGCAACATACCGACCGCTTTCGGGCAAAGATAAAGATAGAGATAGAGGTAGAGGTAGAGGTAGAGGTAGAGGTGGAGGTAGAAGTAGAGGTAGAGGTGGAGGTAGAGGTAGAGGTGGAGGTAGAGGTAGAGGTAGAGGTAGAAGTAGAGGTAGAGGTAGAGGTAGAGGTAGAGACAGAAGTAGACATAGAGATGGAGGTAGAGGTAGAGATAGAAGTAGAGGTAGAGGTAGAGATAGAAGTAGAGGTAGAGGTAGAGATAGAAGTAGAGGTAGAGGTAGAGGTAGAGGTAGAGGTAGAAGTAGAAGTAGAAATAAAGATAGAGGTAGAAAGAGAGAGAGAGAGAGAGAGAGAGAGAGAGAGAGAGAGAGAAGCATCAAAGAAACCGTCTACGTTTACGATCGAGCGCAACGTACTCTACTTGGTTTCCGGTAGATGCATGATGACTTATAATAATAAACTACACACACATACACAGACAACGTGAATAATGTGAGCGAGACATGCTCTAAGCGCATTAAAACACACGACGCTGTCAATGACACGGCTCGAGCTCGTAGCTTCAGGATTAATCATACGCTCGACATTTGGACGTTGCGCGTCGCGGAGAATGAGCAACGAGTATTAATCTGTTTGACGGCCGCCAAGTATGAGCGCGCGGCGCGCGCAAGTCGCGAAATGACGATCACTCCGTCACATCTCGGAGGTGCAATGCAGTTATTAATGCGGGAATAAAACCCAACGCGCGACGCATCGCTTTCACCTCGCGCGCTGATGCCGTGTGATGGACGTTGTGTGCTTAGACCATCTTAAAATCAGCCAGATTAGAATAGATGAGATGAAATATGTAAATTCCTCTGTCCCTGTCCCGATTGCAATTGCAATCTCAGTCTCGATGACGTCTGATATATACAGGGTGTCCATCCAAATGGACACCCTGTGTTGTAATATCTTACACATTTGCAACAAGTAGACGAATTGATCTGTGTGTAAAGATAATAAAGATAACACTTTTCGTGGTGAAAGATAATGGCTTTTCTGTCACCTGACTGCACCACCTCACACCGGCTGTCTCTTCCTTTTTCTTCAAGATTACACTCGTCCCTCTTCAAGTTCTCAAGACGTACGATAATTCAGCAACGGAAAACAAATCTGATACCCTCGTATTATCTAGACAAGCATGAGTTGACAGTAGAATTTCACCAAGAGCAAACACTGCGTGCAGGAATTCCGCCACGTCAAAGTGGCGAACACGAAGAAGGTGCCGCTCGTCACCTACTGCTCGATCACGCGATTCCGCCGAGTCCCTCGCCCGAGGTGAGCTCCGTGCGCACGTCGAAGGTCGGCACTACCGGAAGTCAAGATCGACAGACTGCGAGTGGCCCCTGGGAGTCTTCGCCGACGTGACCGAGAAGATGAAGAAGAAGCGAGTCGCAGGATCGCCAGGTAATCGGCGCTCGCGCGCAGGGGCGCATCCGACGACTCGACAACTTCCACTCTCGGGGAAGCCGAGCGGCGAATCGCGATCTCTCCTCGGAGGAGGCCCCCAGGAGCATTCCTGCGCCGGCGACGTATACCGGCTGTCTCGCTGTCCTGCGACGGCCGCTGCCGCGACATATATCATTCGAACGGTCGAGGAAACTGGTTCGCTTACTTATTGGCCTACTTTTTACAGAGGGAAGCGAGCATGCTTCGTACGGAGCTGACCCGAGCTGAGGCGAGCGGTGTCGTTGACGGTGATCGCCCGGGGCCGTTGACCAGCTGATAAAGCTGATCGCGAGAGGACAAGGAGCATCGCGTCGCGGTAGCTCGACATTGTTGGCAAAATCACACGTATCGCCTTACCCTTCTATTACTCGGCCCGTCCGCCTCTGCTCTTCGGGGATTCCCTCGGCGCCGCTGCTCGGCGGGACGAGCGACCGAGCATTACGAGGATTGCGTTTGATCAGACTGGACTAGCACCCGCTATGGCACGGATGACTTCGCAACTATGGGGTCGAATGTTGCTCGAATCTTCCTATTGCTTGGGACGTTCAAGCCCGAGGGATTGTTTGAGCTGAAGCTGCTTGCATCTCGACGGAGTCTTCAAGTATCGGGCACGAGTTCTCTTGCAAAGTCGCCGATACTTTAACGCGGAACGATCACTTTCTCCCGCATTTTTCTAATCTAACAAATGCGTCGTATATTGGTCGTAATTAATAATCGAGTGTCGTTGCCGACTGGTGAGCGGCACGTCGACGCTCCGCGCGAATGTTTGGAAATGCATTCGCCGGGCTTCGGCGAGAGTTGGCTGCGACTCGACCCACAATATAACGTGGTCTCTGGTACATACGGTAAAATTATGTACGACGTGTACATTATCGATGTATAGGCTGTGTACTATCTCTTCCTCTCCTCTCTCTCTCTCTCTCTCTATCTCTCTCTCTCTCTCTGGCGATTAAGCTTTCCTTAAAAATACCGAAGCACGGCATAGCGATCGGTAGCGGCTGGCTTCCGCGTTCCGTTGTCAGTCGAGATTTGTTGCGAGTCAAGCGGGAATATCGCACGTTTCAGTGTCGCCGGGGAGTTTATCGCCAGTTATCACGGAGTCGTCATGTCGAAAAGCGCGGAGGCAACTTTCACGGTAGAGGCAGGAAATTTCGCATCGGAGACGTCCCCGTTCCTCCGAAACGGGAAGAAGGCGCGAAACTACAAACACGCAAGTCCCTCGGCGGGAATATCGCCGCGTGAGAAAGCGAAAAATGTCATTCGTCATCGGTCGCAATTCCGCTGCCCGAGCAAGTGGTGGCCCTGCGACTCGACAATATCAGATAATGCAGACAGAGCAATGGAGAAAGAGCGCTGTTATGCGGGCCACCGCGCAATAAATATCGCCGCCATTGTTGCGAAACGGGACGCTGGATATTACAAGGAACGCCGCGTTATCCAGTCACGCTCCTCTCTCTCTCTCTCTCTCTCTCTCTCTCTCTCTCTCTCATAAACTGTAACAATCGTCTAGAGTCGGAACCGAAGCGCTCGCGAAGAGAGACAGAGAGAGAGAGAGAGAGAGAGAGAGAGAGAGAGAGATATCTGCGAGACGACGAGAATAACTCGCGAGAAATTGAGAACCGACACTTCTATACGTCTAGAGCGGTCTGAAAAGATTAAGATATCCCAGCGCGACTTTCACCGATTTTTGACACGTTTCTTTCGGCGTGGCCTTTTTGCCCCCGCCGATGCGCGTTGCGCGCATCACGAGTGTGATAATCGCCCCCGGAACGTGCAGTAGGGTCGAGAGAGGATAAACCGAGGCGAAGTGAGCGCGCGCTTCGGTCCGAGACGAGAAGCGTCATCACGCTCGAAGAATTAACTTCGCTGCGATGCGCGCGCCGAGATCGCCGAGTGATATCGGAAGCGATCGCGCGGATCAAAGTGTACAAGAAGGCTAATGAAGTTCACCAAATCTCTCGCCTCTCCTCTCTCCCACTCTCTCTCTCTTTCTCTCTCTCTCTCTCTCTCTCTCTCTCTCTGTCCCTCTCCTCCCCCCTCTCTCTATCTCTCTCTCTCTCGCTTGTCCTCTTCCTCGCTCATCCCCGGTGTTCTCTCTCGGTCGATCGCGCCGAAGGCGCGCGGAGGCCGATCTGTTCCACTCGAGAGCTTCTTCTTCACGAAGATCGGAGCGCGCGCATCGCCGCCGCCGCCGTCCCGAAGTGATCGCGAAGATTAGGGTATGGCAGGAGACTAATGTAGTCCGCCGTGAAGATCGGCGATAGTGTCGATCGGCAATACTGAAAAATCATGCGCGCCGATCGTTGCTCCTTCTTCCCCCGCCTCCCCGCCTCGCCCCGCTCACCCCCTCGCCCGGGCGCGCGCTCTGCCTCACCCTCCCGCCCTCTGGGATCTCTCGCATCGGTGGGCTACCCCAATTAAAGACTTGGTGAAGATCGCGGTTTGAAGTATTCATTAAGATCGGTATAGTCGAAGCGGCCTTCGATCGAAGTTCATCGCGAGAATTGGCCGGCCGATCGCCGTCGTTAAGAAAATTATATTGCCCATTGGCGATTCAGCAGCGTCGTTTTCTTCTCCGCTTCTTCTTCTCCCCCCGCCCGCCCCCCCCTCCCTTTCACTCTTCCACCCTGAGTCCCATCTTCCTCCACCTCTTCGTCTTCTTCCTTCTGCTCCTCCTCCTTCTACCTTGCACTTCGCCTCTTCTTCTCGCTCATTCTTTCCTTCCCCCCTCCCCTGCGCGCGAACGCGCGACGGCACCGATAATTAACAATCGAAAGGGCGCCGCGCGTGATCGATACTGTGGAACTCGCGTTCGGGGAGGCGGCGGAGGGGCGGGGGATGGAGGAGGGAAGATGATCGCGAACGATGTAGAGTTCTCCGCGATATAACGATCGCGCTAACGAAGTCGATTGTTGCAACGACGGTCAGAGGCAGGGGTGGGAGGGAGGGGAGGGGAGGGGTTATCCTTTTTCATCGACGTGCGCGAAAGGACGCCGCTGCAGCAGCAGCAGCCGCTTTGATATCGAGGAATCCTCATCATTATGAGCGTTATTTCCAAAATGGAGCTTCGCGATTAATGCTAACGAAGTTAATTGTAATAACGGTGACCGCGAAATTTCTTCCCTCGCCTCCCTCCCCCCTCCCTGCCTCTCAACCTTGCTCGCTCGCTCTGCCTCCTCCGCGTCTTCGCAGAAGCGGACGAAGTTCCGCCAGCGGAATTCCGCCTTAAGGATTCACGCTAACGAAGTTAATTACGGTCGCGAAGAAAAATGCTAATTGTCTCTTCCTCCGTTCTCTCCGCGCGCTCTCTCCCTCCTGCGAGAGAGCGAGGTTTCTCCTCTCGCCGCCATAGCCAGCGACGGTGACGGCCGATCGGACGGGCGAACTCGAAGAGAGTGCCGCGCGAAATGAGCGTCCGCCGATCGGGCATTCCCGGCGAAGTTCCGCGGTTCCACGACTACGTCGGTCAAATGTGATGGCAGCGGACGCCGCTGGAAAGAATGCGGGGGGTTACGTAACGGGTCACGCGCCAACATGAAAATACGACGCGATAAATTCCAGCGCGCGTGCGTGCGCGCGCAAAAAAAATCGCCTTCCGACTGGAACGACACGGTGCGGATGCGTTCTACGCGCTAATCGCGTGCGCGATAATATGGCCGAATGAGTGAAAGCGTCATTCGTTTGTTCGCCGAGGTCCGTTTGCGTTTCTCTTGTCGCGAGGTGAAGTTACCAGGCGTGACTCTCGCCGCCTCTTCACGAAGAGCCGCGAGAATGCGCCATGTCCCGAGCCACAATCGGCTCCAAGCTCGAAACTGCGACTTCCGGTCCCGCTTCAAGGCTTCTTGGCCGCTCGCCGCGGCCATCTTGATTTTCGCGACACCGAAAACGGGAAAATGCGCGCTCCAAATTGCCGCAAAGCGCGACAAAGCGGAGGTGTCACACTTGCAATCGATTGTAACTCATGCGGCGTAAAGGTTGCAGCAACATTACTGCAACATTGTTACAACGTTGCAGCAATGTTGCCGCAACTTTTTGTGCTATATAGCAAGATACACTCCGGACGCTTTCCTTTCGCGCTCCGACAATCGATTAACTCGCGGTAAAAGGTTAACGTGACATGCAGCTCACCTTGTCCGCCTCAACGTTAATTTAACCTGACGACTGTTGGAACAACAGAAAGGTGTTTTCGGAATATTTCGTAGGCGCGTTTGTCATTTTCTCGACACATTCATTCTTCGCCTCGTCGCACTTTGCAGGACTTTCGATCATGCGTCTTCTCGCTTCTGATGTCGTAAATCAAGATGGCTGCGGCATGTAGCTCAAAATGTAAGCAATAACAAATTGACCAATCACAGTCGTTTAATCACGGGCTGTAAGGAGAGTAATCGTCCGCAGTCGGTTAATTTACTCGCTACTTACGTCTTGAAGCAGTGAAGCGAGGCTTCTTGTCAAGAGCGAGAACTCGCGCACGACGGAGATTTATCTGGGCGAATCTCGTCGCGAATCAGCGCGGAAGACGAGGAGAATCGGCCGCGAGTCGCGTGTCACGACCTTTCCCTGCCTCTTCTTCGTCTTCTCTTCTTTTTCTTCTTCTTCTTCTTCTTCTTCTTCTTCTTCTTCTTCTTCTTCTTCTTCTTGTCAATCAGCCGCGAGTGCGATCCGGCGAGAAGAATCGGTTCCAGCCGCTTCCACCGACGGCGAGAAACGCCAAGAAGAGAGGAAGAGAGGAGAGGGGGGGAGGGAGAGAATTAATTTTGCCGCGCTAAAGAGCACCTTCGAGCGAGCGAAGTCAAGAGCGAAGAAGAAGTTGGGATTCTGGCGGCGGAGTTCCCGAAGAGCGGCCGAAGCGCGCGAGAGCCGCGCGCACGTTGCAGTCGAATGCCACTGGCAGAAGATTGATCGTCGGTGCTTCGGGATAAGAACCTGTTTTCGATAATGTCGGAAGATACGTTTCTAGTGCGCCATAGGCGCGCATCTGGACTTAGTGTGTTGCCGCGCAACCCTTTTATAGGCCATTACTTCGGGACTTTATTGCCGGCCGCCAGTCAGAGCTCGGGGGCTATCTCTTCGTCATTCCTCCTCCTCGCCCTCCTCCGTCCTCACCCCATCGGAACGGCCCCACGGAATCATTTCGGGGCCGTTTGCCGTAATGACGTTTGTATACACGCCGGCGAAAAATATCAGCAATAAAGCGCCGCCGCGCCGCGCGCGGCGGCCTCGCCGCTAAGTTTACTGGTAAGTCAAGGTGGCTGTCGTTGCTCGTATTCGACGTCACGTTATCTCCTGTCCCGCCGACGCCAATTAAAATGTTTAAACCCCCTGGCCGCGCGCGCGCGTGAGCGTATCGTGGACACGCAATGCATTTTCATTCACGATACGCAAAAATCGCCGACGTGACCAACCACGAGTGAGAGTGAGAGAGAGAGAGAGAGAGAGAGAGAGAGAAAGAGAGAGAGAGAGAGAGAGAGAGAGAGAGAGAGAACTCTGCTCTTTGTAGCTCAACTGCCTGCATCAGCCTCTACCCAGCAGTTTCCTTTCCCTCTTTCTCGCACCAGGTTGTCGTACATCTACTTCTCCTCGAGTTTCAAAAGTGCGCGCTAGTTTAGCTACAAAGAGCAGACCTGCTGGCGCCAGAAATCCGCTCTCGACCTCCAAGCGTTTCCCGTTTCGTTCGAGGACTGCCGCTCGAGCTTTCCCGGCCGGTCAGTCGCTGGACACTTCCGTCCTCGAAGGAGCAGTTGGCTCTCCTCGGTCGGACGACCCAAATACGGTTATCGGTTCGTTGGCCGAAAGGCTGATCGCCATCGAATTCGGCATCGAGTCCGAGTCCATTTCACCATGGCGTGGCACACCACCGGTGTGCACCCCGTAAGGCCTGGTCTACAATCATTCTCGGATCACCCGGACCGTCGTCGTTGGCCATCGTGCAAAGTTGCCGTAACTGTCGTCTGTCGCCGACTGACAGTCGCAGTCGTAAGTCGGGAAAGACAGAACGAGGGCGCTCGGCCCTTGTCCGACCTGTGACAACTTTATGCGATAGCCGACAATCCCGACAAACGACGTATTGTAGACCAGGCCTAAAATCGTCGAGCGTGACGATGATTCAAGTGGGCGCGGACTCAGGGACGCTCGGATTCGCATAACTAATTACACGCGAGCGAGAACCCGCAAAACCCGGACAAGCCCGGATGAATCATCGCGCGCGTCTGCGACTCTCTCTCTCTCTCTCTCTCTCTCTCTCCCTCTCTCTCTCTCTCTCTTTCTCTCTTTCCCTTGCTCTCTTTCTCCCTCTCTCTCTCTCTCTCTCTCTCTCTCTCTCTCTGTTGCTCTCGCAGCGGACTCTCGGCGACAAAGCGTTGCGGGAACCAGTTTATTTAGCGATGCTATCGAGTGTCGAATCGGCCATCGAAATTAAAATCGATCTCCACTCGGGCCCCGGTACAATGTAGCGCGCTGATTAATCGAGCCGATTATTCCGGCTGATTGCGACGGGATCGCGCGCGGGTCGATACCACAAGCGCCAAGAACGATCAAACTTGTGTCGGGAATAATGGCTGTTTGCGCGACGCGAATGTTCTACCCTGACGTTAATCCCCGCGGGCTCTCACTTCGGCTTCTGCCGTGTTAAACCGCTGCCTGTTGAACCGCGCTTTTCTCGTCCTGCGCGAATGCGCAAGTCCCGCAAGTATATCCCCGAGGAACTTGCAGGAAAATTAAAGAACGCGTAGCAAGGGTGCGGCGAGATCCGACTCGCGCGACTTTTCGACTTTGCGTCTCGATGCAGTTTTCAGATGCGGACGCTTACAAAGGACGTGTAAACTGGAGGAGCTACCCTTCGGCACGAGAGAGCGTTCGCGACGTTCTTTTATCGTGCCGTCGGATTATTAATCTACGATCATGCAGCATTTCCACCAACTAGCCCCCCGCGAGTAAATAAATAAGAGAGAAGCCTAGTTGGGTCTCGACGGTCGTCTCTTACAATTACAAGACATTTATATGTATAAGAGTGTAATATTTACGGGAAAAAAAATGTTTTCTTATAATTATAAATTGTATATTATAAAATATATAAGATATATATATATATATTATAATTTAAAGATATATATATATATATACTAACTAAATTAATTAAATAATTAAACTTTTATAATTAAATAATTTTATAATTTGAATAATTTTAAAATTAAAATAATTAACAAATTATTGTTAAATTGCAATATATGCATGCGCGTCTTCCAAAAGTGTAAGAGAGACAAAGACGGTTGTCGCCTCCGACTGACTCCTCTTTCGCTTATTTGTTTTACTTTTTTTTACCGTCCGTCCTGGTTACACAAGAGCAAATTCGTCAATTTTCTGTGTAACGGTGTGCGACAAAATTGCGAAGCGACAGACGCGAGCGCGATTGCGCCTCTAGCGATGCTCTTACGAATAATGAGTGAATGAGCTTGCGAGAGGGCGACGCGAAAAGATGCAGATAACACACAATCTCGCCAACGTGCAATGTGTCCTCATCCTACGTACCTCGTCGGGATGGCTCTCCCCGCAGCGGGCGTCGCACCTGGCCACTCTAATGGAGTCGTACTCCTCGACGTATCGCGTCCACGATGCCAAACATCCTGGTAGCAGCAACCACCACGGCCACCACTCTGCGCGGAAAGTGACATCGTATTATTAACTCTACCGCGCCCAGCGTCTCTCTCCGCGGCCGGACGACCACATTTTTCTCCTCGTTCGTGTCATAATGCGCGAGAACGCGAACCGCATACCAGGTGTTCCAAGTCGCAGGCTCAAACGCGCGACGCGCCACAGGAGCATCCTTCTCCGCACGACTTCGCGTCCACGTCGCGACGACGCCGACGGGCCGAGTCTTTGGTGCACCTCGCGAGTCGATCGATCCGCTCGCGTTTATTTCCGCTTTCCAGGACGTTTTACCTCCCACGACGAGGACGCGAGGAAGCGCGAGACGCGCGTGTGTCGTTAGCGCACTACCCCGCTGGGTTTAGCCTCGAGCGGCATTCGGCTCGGCTTAGGAGTTTGGTCTTTTTGCTCGCGGAGCGCCGCTGAACGAGCTGCTCGCTCGAGTTCCCGGAGATTGTTTCTCCGTTTTAGCAAAAGTACGATTCATGCCGCTCGCGAGCGAGCGAGCGATCGCGACCGCGGCTACCTGTGCCGATGATCCCACGCGCCTCCTCTCGGAATTCCGATTGGGCCTCGTCGACGAAGAAGGCAGGCAATCGCGGCCGCTTTTTCGCCGTTCACGTAAATACGAAGACCGGAATGATATGACGGAGATGCGAATCTCCGCGGCGCGGCGACGCCGCGGAGGATGCACGGACATCGGCGCGGCGACGATCGCGATCGATACGTGCGATCCCCGCGAGTGCAAGAAAGCGGACGGGAAGTACGGGCTGCGAGCTGCGATCCTCGCATCGCGTATCGCTAATGGGAGGCGAGTATGGGAGGAAGTACGACAGGATGAAACGATCTCACTCGGTTATTAATGATCTACTTGAAATCGGACTTACGGACCATTATTGTTTCCATAATTGAAAATCAGTATAATTAGTAAAAGTCTTGTTTAAATTATTTATCAGATTCGAGGTTTTTATAAAATTAAATTTGAAATGTTAGATTCAGAGAATTATCAAATTCAATTATTCAAATTCAATTAACGATCCACTTGAAATCAAATTTACGGGTTATTACTGTTTCCATACTTGAAAATCAGTATAATTAGTAAAAATATTGTTTTAATTATTTTATTTTAATTATTGTTTTAATTATTTATTACATTCGAGGTTTCTATAAAATTAAATTTGAAATGTGAAATGTCCAATTCAGGTAATTATTTATCAAATTCAATTATCCAATTAACGCTCCATTTGAAACCGAATTTACGGACTATTACTGTTTCCATAATTGGAAATCAGTATAATTAATAAAAGTCTTGTTTAAATTATCTATCACATTCGAGGTTTTTATAAAATTAAATTTGAAATGTTAGATTTAGAGAATTATTCATCAAATTTAATTAATTAATCAATTAATATAATGCGTGGAAAAATTATTAATTTAATTCTCAAGATAGTGACAATTAGAAATGAGTGGATGTCATTAATAAAAAACAGATGATATTCTTACTCATAATTGGCACAATTCTTGTATATACAGGGTGTCCGGGATGTTTTAGAGACGAGAAATTGTCAAGAGATGTGGTCATTTTCAATAATTAATAACTCGATAACTATTGCGATTTTTGCAAAATGGTACTTGACTTTTCTTCTCAGTTTGATCCGATTAATCTTCACACAATTTTTTATTTCCAGAACATTCCGGTCGCCCTGTCACAATGATAATGATGTCGACTTAAAAACTCGAGAGATATCGTTAATAATTGAGTGAGATTGTTATACACATGTATACGCGAGAATCACATCGGTCATAAGCGAGAAAAAGGAAAGAGACAACATCAAGGTGTGTACATACAATTCGCCGGGGACAATGGCTTCCGTCCTGTCGCGCGCGCGGCGCGGTTTATCAGAGATTTCAACGCCTGCACTCGAGGTAAAAGTGTCGTTCATCCCCTGGCGAGGAAAGCGCTCGGCGCCGGACTCGGCCTTGGACTTTTCCGCCTCTGTCGCGAGCGCGAGGAGGAAGGTCGGATTAGAGAAAATTTATCACTCGGTAATTTATCAGCGCGCCGACGTAATATCGGGCCGCGTTCGCCCGGCGAATGCAGATCGCGCGGCGCAATCTTATCGCGCACCGCCGTAAATTAAATTGCCACGTTGCTCGCGCGCGCGGGCGGCTCGGCTCCGCTCGGCAGCAGCAACAATCGCGCGGCGGCTTATCGCGGAAAATGCAAGATTGTGGGATCTTATCTAGCGGCGCGAGTGATGACACGGATTAAGGCCACCAAGCCGGGCTTGATCCTCGGCTCCGATCTCGACGATGTGGAAACTCCTCGCGACGCTCCTCTCACGCTCTCGATCGAGGTGATATTTGCGCGAGCATCTCGAACCGCGCGCGATTGACTCCCGCTCGAGCAAATCGTTTCCGACGGGCTCGTAATGAACGATCTCTCCGCGGGATCGCGTCGTCAATCTCGGACTTTCCGCGATGGAGCAACACGCGTCAGCGGAGGCGCGCACCGCGCCGCCGCGAGAATCCTGAAGTGAAAACGGTACTTCGGAGCGAGAGCGGAGGCCGTAAGTGATTCTTGTCAATCCACTTTAGCTTTTTCGCACGAATGCGCGAAACAACTTATTCCTCGCGGATGCGCGCGCGGCGTATTATCTTCTTAGGATCTTTCGCATCTCGCGATTAAACGAGCTCTCGCCGCACCGACTCGCTCGCGAACCGCCTTCTTCGTCTTTCGGCTACGGAGGAGTCTCGGTGTCGAAAATACCGAGCGCAGGCCGAAATCGCGCTTCTCGAGCAACCGTCGATCGCAGATACGCGCGGTTGAACCCGCCTCGGCTAATACGAGCCTCCTCCCTCGGCGAAATGAAGCGTGACAAAGGGGGCGGAACGAATCTCGATAATGAGCGCGTCTAGCGCGACGGTCTAATGAATTAATTGCGCGGACCGACGTGGACGCTTCCCCGATCGAGCGGCCCGCCGAAGCCGTACGAGCCCCCTGCAACCCCATACGTACTTCTGAGGGTGGCCGGTGGTAGCTGCTGCCTCCGTGGCTTTCTCTCGCCGGTTACGGTCGACGTGCTGCTGTCGGCGCGCGGCATCATCGCTGGCTCGCCGATGGTCTTCCGGCAGCTGGAGGCTGTGCAAATTGCTATTTCAGCCGGTAACTCCTGCTCTCTCTCTCTCTCTCTCTCTCTCTCTCTCTCTCTCTCTCTCTCTCTCTCTCTCTCTCTCTCTCTCTCTCTCTCTCTCTCTCTCTCTCTCCCTCTCTCTCTCTCTCTCTCTCTCCCTCAGGCACGCGCCGAGTACTGCGCTCTCGGAGGAGCTCCTCTTCGCAAGTCGACGAGTCTCCGTACGACGAGCCCTCGTGGTCGTGGTCGTCTTCCTAGAGATGACGCAGCTGACGGCGCATGCTGGGCGCCCGCGCTATCAGCTGACGACTGCTGTGCGACGGAACGGACGATCTGTCGATCCCTCGGCTTCCGATCTCTCTCCTCGCGGTCCCTGGAGACCGTGAACGGCAACAATCCACCGTTCAAGACTAAACCCGTAAGACCGAGCCGAAGCGTTCGAACTGGGGATCGGGCTTACTTTCCTGTGCAGACCGATCCTCCTCTCCTGCTCTCTCGCCCTCCTGGCGCACTCTTCTCCTACTCTACGCCGGGCCCACACCACTTCGTGTTTCCACCACTCTCGCCACCGCCACCCATCGCAATGACCGAATCATTAACTTCAGGAAGGGTCCTGGCTCGCGCGCGCAAGGAGCACACGCGCGCGCGCGCGCGAGGGAGCGCGTTCGCCGAACCGACAGAGAGACGTGAGAGACAGAGAGTGAGAGAGTGCGCGAGAGAGAGAGAGAGAGAGAGAGAGAGAGCTTCCTTCCTATTTCTTCCTTTCGTCCTTTTGCGAGTCTGTCGCGTTTGGGGACACGGTAGCGCTCTTTGACCCCTCCTTCTCCGAGGGAAAGGGGGTTCCTCCTTTAATCTTCTAACCGTGCTCGTTTCGGCTACGCGAATGCCTCGCCCCTCGATTAGACCAACAAAGACCCCACGTTGAACGTTGTTGTCTTTGCTTTTTTTTTTGCAAGCAAGATAGGATCGTCTCGCTTTTGCGTCATAGCGTTCACTTCAACTTCGTGGCGAAATGAGGTCAGGTGCGTTGCGAATCTTTCATCGAGCGCGCGGTGTTCGCACATTTCCGCAGAGGGAAATGATCTCTCCGCCATTTTCCGCACGTTGCGCAGGCCAAAGTCGAGCGACAGGTCGTCGTTTACACGCCGATCCACGTTCCCGATCGGCATTTCGACGTGTTACGTGACCCGCGCTAGAAACATTCCTCAAAAACGAAGTCGAACGCGCCGCTCGACCGCGCCGCTCTCAAAACACACTCACACTTCTCTCCTCCCGAAGGATAAGCATTCGCGCGTGAGAAAGTTGCCAATCGACTCACCCCGGCAACCTTTTATTATCTTAATCGGCGAGAGAAAAAGGGGGCGCGTGTGTAACTATTAGCGTTTTCCTGGAGTCGCGAGACGGCCAGCCGCCGCCGAGTCCGAATTCGGAGGCGAATCCAAACGTAAAAGGGAATAAATCACCTCTCGCGAAATCACCCTGCTAAAAGTGTCCAAGCGTCCCGTGTCGCCATTGCTACTTTGAATTTATTTAACCCTTTAACGCCTACTGGTAACTATAGTTACCAGTACACTATAGAAACGCATTTAAGAATCGATAACTTACTCAAAAAAGGAAATATTTTCGTTTTCTTTGCATCAATGTAAAGGTGAATTCTTCTTCTAAAAAATGGTATATAGATTGTATATAGATTCGGTTTAGTCTGTTTTTAGTTCAGTTTTAATGATAACATGTTTTGTCAAATTCCAAGTAGGCATAGTTAGCATTGTTACTGTTGCATAGTTAGCATTGTTACTAGCATTGTTGTGTACTGACATCTCTAGAAATGCACTATAAATGAATAGATTGGTATTTGTTATAATTTTATACATTTGGAAGCTTTCTCAGATGCAAAATATGAAATTAAAAGAATACAGAAATTCAAAATGGCGAATCCAATATGGTGAACAACATGAAAATCAAGAAATCAACTTATTTCCGTGAAACCTGGTGACCTACAGTTTTTTATGCGACGTGAAATGAAGGGACGATTGACTATCTAAATGGTGATCTATAAGATATTCTTCTGAAATAGTAAGCTTGACGCTCTGAATAATAAACTTCACTCACAAATATAGTAAAGTCTCAGCTCACAAATGTCAAACTGACTATCAGAGTTATGTCATATAGATTACCTTTCATTTTTCTCTGTATAGGTTGTTCATTTTGTATATGCCTTTAGGATCCAAGTCATATTTACCAATAAACAAAAAACGAACGATAAAAAAAACCAATATAAAATTCTGATATTTTTTTTTTGGTTATCACTACTTATAGTCTCAGTTCAAAAAACCTTAAATTTTATTCTTAAAACACCTATAAAAAAATCGGGCATTAAAGAGTTAAAAAGCGCGCGGCCGATTATTCTTCCTGCGGTCGAAGAGCAATCAATTTTCTTACGAACTCGCGACTTTGGATTTCACAATTTCTAGCCTTTCCGGCTTAACGGATAAATATTCCTTCCAATACTACCTTCCGATTTAAAATGGAAAGAAGTCAGGTGAGCCCACGGAGCGCTGAGAGAGTAAATAAATGTACAGTCGCAAGGAAGTAGAGCGCGACACTGTCAGCGGGTGGTTTTCGGAAGTTCACCCCACGACGACGACGACAAAAAGATTCGCGGAACCTACGAATCTGCGAGCGGAGAAATTGCCCGCCGCACGCCGCGCCGGCCCGGTCGTGTGTGCGAAGAAAAAGAGGAGCGGGAGGAGATCGGCCTCCGCGCGGGACGCGGAGGAAAAAGGATTCGTGTGCGGATAGAAGTCCTCCTCACGGTGGATCCTTCTATCTCGACTTCGGCCTCTTCGGCGATTCCTCCCGCCGCTGCCGCCGCCGCCGCCGCCGCCGCCGCCACCGCCGCTGCCGCCGCCGCCGCCACCGCCTCCACCGCCGCCACCATCACCGTCGCCGCTGCCGCCGCCGTGGAGAAGCCCGCCGCACACACAGCTCAGCGGCGACCTGTGTGGCATGAGAACGGGGCCCGCTCTTCCCACATAATGAACGACTTCGAAGAACGGTAGTGGCATTGACCTGAATCTATTAGGGCCTTCGGTTTGGCGGTATTATAACTGCCCGTGAATCAATCCCTTACTTAGCAACATTCTCCGACCACACGAAAGCCCGGCTCGTTATTGCCCGGTTAGGCAACGAGACGTTCTCGCGGCACCTCTCTCGCGGCAACAGCTTCTCCCCCGTGGCTGCGCCTAGGGATGTTCCACGGTACCGATCCCCATCGCACTACTCGCGTCGTGGTGGCTCCGCTTGGGCTGTCGGTGTCGTCGGTGTCAACTCGAGGTCGACACAGGGGAGAAGAAAGAGAGTCTCGTGTGTGAAACCTCTTCCGGAGGTTATTCGGAAAAGTGGTCACCTTTGGCTTCAGTTATCTTTTCCTGACGGTCCGACAACTTCTCCGTTCCCTTTTTATTAAAGTTTTCCCCCCTGCTATCGGAAAAGTGCTCCCTCTCGTCAATTTTCTTGGCAAATTTCTGAAATCGCTTTCGATCATAACGCTCGCTCGCTTCGCATCATCTCCGAACGCGCAAGGTATTTTCCGGCCTCTGAGAAGCCGTGGGAGCCAATTTGAGCAAAATTTCATAAAACAAGCAAGTCCGAATGATTGACCTTGACACGGTCATACCGAGGTCACTTTTCGAAACTTTAAATAATTAATTTCCGTAAGTCTTCTACGCCGCTAAATTCTCGGTCAGATGAGCTTTTGTTTAATTATACATAACCACACTTTTTACCGATAGCGTGCGCATGCGCAGTTTGACAAGACCCAGAAAAGTCACGAACTTTCTTGGTCACCTAATGCAATCAATTCCACCTGCTCCTCCTACGCTCTCTTTTCCTTTCGTCAGGGAGAGACCGAGAGAGTTCTCTTAGTGAGGCGCAGATTTGAACGGGGGAAAGAAGGGGGAAAACGCAGTCTCGTGGAGGTTGTCGTTCCGCAGGACGATTTCACCTACTCTTCTCCCGCGACGTTTATTTTTTTCTTTGTTAGGGACAGGCCAAGAGAGAGAACAACAACGAGTTGTCTAGAAAAATATTCTCTATTATCAACAGTGCTATAAACACGCGACGTCCTCATCGACAGTGTGTGACGATCATGACAGCGTGATTAACTCGGAGATTGACCGGGCGCTTGGTCCTTTGCGCCTCGAGAGAAATTGTAGCGTCGTGTCATTAAAGGCCGCGCGAGCCCGCGCGTAATCGTCTCGCGATTATTACGATTATCTCGTCGGTCTCGCGTGTGGCCTCGAGATTCGCATGGGCCTTCGGCGCGCGGCGTCTCCGTTAATCTCTTCTCCTGCAGTCCCTCGTCTCGGCGTATCCCGCGGAAATCTCCTCCAGCAGTCGCAGAGTCTGCGGGAGAACACACGTAAAAATCGCCTCGTGGGCGAAATCGAGATGAGACAGCGCGAAGTTGCCCAAGAAGTTTGCACGAGTCTGCCTGGCTCGGAAATGCTTTTCCTAAACATGGTTCCATTTCCCAGAAATGGTTTTCCTAAGCTACGTTACGTTCACAATCTCCGCCGCCTGCTCAGTCGCGCATCGCGCGGCTCTTTTTCAATTGACGCCTCCATTTGGTCATCGTCCACGCCCGAAGGTCTCCCAGAACGCTTCGTGTCAAGGTGAAACTTAGCGAACTTCCGAGCGGCCGGTTGAGCCGTCGACGTCGTCTCGCTTTTCCCTTCGCTGTGGTGGATTCAGCAACAAAATTCGCGCAAATTCGAGTAAACGTTTCATTTTTACCAGACCTCAAGTGGTACGCAGAGACTTGTCAATGACCCTAGTAGCACATATTGTTGGGCCAATATTGGCTACAAATTGGGCCTCCAATATTGGCCAATGTAACCCTAATGTAAGTCAATATCGGTATAACAATGCTATGCAATATTGGCGATATATTGTAATTTAATGTCTAACCAATATTGGCTACAAATTGGGCCTCCAATATTGGCCAATGTAACCCCAATGTAAGTCAATATTGGTATAACAATGCTGTGCAATATTGGCGATATATTGTAATTTAATATCTAACCAATATTGGCTGTATATTGGGATACACTAGGCCAATGTAACTCCAATTTATGTCACCGTAGCCAATGTAACACCAATGTAACGCCAATGAAGTGTGCTACTAGGGGATGCTCTGGTATCGCTGCGCTTTAGCAGTCTATCCGGAGTTCATAGAGACACGACTGCGCTGCGACTCGTACAAAATCCTCGGACGAGCGAGAAACGTTCGCGCTATCAAATGCAAGAGCGAGCGGACTTACTTCGTTTTTGTACTTCTCGTACCACGCGACATTGGCCTGGACTCTATTAATAACCTGCCCGATCACGGTGTCATATTTGTCGTGCCTGCCTCGCAGTTGCCGTAGCTGGGGAAGAAAGAGAGAAAGAGCGCGCGAGCGCGTTACATAATAATCCGGCGCTTCTTTGCTGCCGCGATAAGTAAGTATGCACATGTCGGCGCTCGCTGAGCGCCATGTTCGCTTTTCGATCCTCGTTAAAGTTTCGCCACTCGTGCAATTTCCTTACCCATTCCACGTCCTCCTGCCGACGAATGCGTCCCACGAAGGCGCGCAATGTAGCGGTCAGGGGGACGTTCGCGCTGCAAGAAAGTGATATAACATATAGGTTATGCAAAATTGGGACAACATTGGGCAAAAGTTTCAGCCTTTCTCTTCAGCCCTCTAATGCTCTAATTACTTCAATTTGGAATATTTTCCCGCCATTTTGTATTTTTGCAAGGTTAGTATTAAATTTTCTGAAATATTATTCATTATGAGTCATTGGTGCACCTTAACCTTAAAAATAACAGTTGATACAATGAACGACGAAAAACTTTACATTCGTCGTTGCATTCAACATGAATTCCAGCAAGAAGAAAATGCTGCTAATAAATATGTGGATTCATTTTCTCTGTTCTTGGGGAAAATATTGTATCCCACAATACGCGCAAATATTTCTTTCGTCCCTTTAAACATGGCGATTTTAATGTGAGCGATCGTCCGCGTTCTGAAACGCCGCGAATGCGCGAGGCCGACAATTTGGAAGCGTTGTTGAACGAAAACCCGTCCCAAACTCAGGTAGAACTTGCAGAACAGCTCAGAATTGATTAAACAACAGCTTCAAGGCGACCGCATGAAATCAGAAAATGGCCGCATGAATTGTCGCAAAACGGCATTACCCGCCGCTTGAATACGCGCGTTTCATTGCTTTCTAGGCAGCGCAAGAAAGATTTTTTGTCGGAAATTTTTACCGCCGATGAAAATTGGATCATGTATGATAATCCTCAACGCAAAAGTTCGCGGGTGGACCCCTGGACAGTCTTTTACGTCAGTAGCGAGACCAAATATTCACAGAAAGAAGGTGCTTTTTGTTTATTTTTGAGGTTATGTGTGCCAATGAATTACAAAAAACGGCGGGAAAATACTTAGATTTAAAATAATTATATCTGAGGACGGAAAAAGAGGGCTAAAACTTTGACATATATTTAATGGAAACGATAGCCTGATATTTTGTAGACTTAAGGAAATGGAGATGACGTGAAGATGACGTAAGATAAAGTTAAGATAAAGTTGGAAGATTAGGCGGAAGGTTAAGAATTTAGAGCAAGGCATGACTAAGTTATGGAAGCTGTTTGTAAACCAAGTCCTCTTCTCGGCTACTGCAGTTGAAATGTAATAAACATTACTATCACGTGCAGCTTTAGAAATCGTTCAATCTTTGAGCTCTACTCACTAAGTGCTGCTGCCCTCCGCCTCCTCGACGCTAAACTCATCCCAGTGCTCGGTCAGAAAGTCCGCGGCGACGCGATAGCCGTGCGGATTGATCACGACGGACATGAGAGCCGCCTCTGCGTGCGAACACGTTACGTTCGTCTGCGAGAACACGGTGGACAGGTATCTGGAAGCGTTTGTTATGTAATAAAGCAATTTACGACTCCGAAAGTGTCTCCGTTCCGCGGGGCGAGGCGAGGTGGGCCTCTTTCACGCCTCGTCTATTTCGCGCGTCAGCGTGGGAAATTTCGTCGCGCCCGCTCGGTGATCTCACCTTCGCAGCAGACCCGCGTTGACATGACATCCCAGCGCGAAGGCGAGGCTCTCCTTATCGTGCGCCGTCGATCCGTTGTACCTCGCGAGAAGCGCCAGCCATTGTTCCCCCGTGGCCTCTCTCGCGAACGCGCAGTACGTCCAGGTGCGAAACTCCTCCGGAACGCTGCGCAATTCGCCGGCTGATTTTCTCGGCCTTGCTCTGGCCACTCGCCATCTCGATTTTCCCGAAGACTCCTGCAGAGGACGCTCGCGTCGCGGGGTGCGTCCAGGAAATTACCAATACTCCAAACCCTTCGATCTAACGACCGCAACTCGCCGCGTCTCTCTTTTTCGTAATTCTGCCGCGTCAATTTTGCAGCAATTTATCGCGAGTATTTCTTTCTTTTGTAATCTCGACGTACTCCGCAGGAATTTTCTCGCTGCCGACGCGACAAATCAAGATGGCCTCAGCGGGTGGCCGAGATCGACGCTCGCCGGTTGCCTCCGAATTAACAACGCTGGTGCGTCGATAACAACGAGCAGATAAGTCTGTCGCTACCAGACAAATGCGCGTTTGCTATTTGCTGTCGCGCGGACTGGTTGAATACGTACGACGAGCTCGACGACTCGTTTCGCAGCATTTTTCGGCCGTAGTCGCGGGCCGCCGTCAAGCACGCCCGATGGCCCAACGAGCATGCCCATTTCATTACGTTCACCTTGAATTCTGTCCACGACGCCGGATCCGTACGGGCCAGCGAGCGCGCCATCTCAGCGTACACCTTATCGGCGACCTTGCACATCGCAAACTGAAAGAAGAAGAAGAAGAAGAAGAAGAAGAAGAAAAAGCGGTCCATCTCCGCGCGTCCGCCTGGCGAATCTAGCAAACTTGGGTGAACGTTCGTTCAGAGACAAAAGCGTCCGGTGTGTCGAGGGAGAGAGAGAGAGAGAGAGAGAGAGAGAGAGAGAGAGAGAGAGAGAGAGAGAGAGAAAGAGAGAGAGAGGGAGGGAAGGAGGGAGGGAGGGAGGGAGGGAGGGAGACCTGCTGAAACGATAATTGTACATTTGAATAGAAAGGAGGCTGCACTCGCTTCTCCCGTCTCCATCTTTCGTTTAACCTCGAGATCCCGTTTTACCTACGCGAGGAAAAACCTCGCCGCTGTATCGGTGAGACTTTCCCCTCCGCCCCTCGTCGTTCTCTCGGTCTCTCTCTCTCTCTCTCTCTCTCTCTCTCTCTCTCTCTCTCTCTCTCTCTCTCTCCGAGAGATTCCGCCTCGCCGGTTTGTCTTTCCCTCAGGAGGAGGAAACGAGAGAAAAAGAACACGGCATGAAAGTGCCCTGGTGAAATTGCAGGAGGAGGAGGAGGAGGAGAAGGAGAGACAGAGCGGCGAAGTGAGCAGCAGCCGGTGCGATTTTGATCGCAACATTATGGAGATCCGCGCTTGATTCGCGCTCGCGCGAGCAAGGAGCGAGAGAGTAATTCTATTTATTCAGAATTTACGAGCAATAAACCGAGTGGATTAAAACGCGCAGATACCGCCGCAGTGTATTTATTTAATTTGGCGCGTTAGGTTTACGGACGCGGCACGACGCGGCGTGGCGCGGCGCGGTCGAGCGGAGTCGACGGAGAAAACGTCGGGCCCGCCTATGCGCTTGCACGCGGAGGAGCCCCAGCTTCGCTGGGTCTCCTCTTATATTTTTGCAATAATGGCTTCTGTGAAAAGGGAACTGTTACGGCAACATTGGTCGGCGCGAGTGCTTAATTAAATGTTACGTGCCTCGTATTTCGGTGCAAATAATGATTGAGTCCTCCGACCTAATTGAGAACGTCGAATCGTAACGACGGCCGATGGGCCGATGATCGCTTATATATATGTCCCAGGGATAATCATACGCTTTATAATGCCGTACTTAAGCCTTAACTGCGCGTAATAACGACATAAGGCAGAAGCCGGCGTAGCGGACGATTTAGACCGCGAGGCGGCGTCGCTGATATCTCGCATATCTTATCGCGCCGCGGCCGTATAAATTAATAATAAAATCAAATGTGCTCGCCTTCGCCTCGCAATCTTGCTCTCGCGAATCTACGGCCGAGCCGTGGGTCGGTCGAATTTCGCCGCAGCCCAGACGCCGCGGAAATTTGGGGATCTGTCTCTCCCTCTCTCTCTCTCTCTCTCTCTCCCTCCCCCTCCCCCCTCTCTCTCTCCCTCACCCCTTCTCTCTCTCTCTCCTTCTCTCTTCATTTTTTATTACTATTTTATTTTTGCCACTTTTTGTCAGTTGTCGGAAATCTGGGCAATTTGGATTCGATTCTGACAAGCGGAGCCGGAACGGCATTATTAAGTACGGTATTATAAAGCGTATGATTATCCCTGAGACAGATATATAAGCGATCATCGGAGCCGGAATTTCTAAATCGTTGATACTTTATCAGAAAACTGTCTCGTTCGAGCAAAGAATTTTCTCCGCGGATCCGTCACTCGAAGCTTCTCTCTCTCTCTCTCTCTCTCTCTCTCTCTCTCTCTCTCTCTCCCTCTCTCCGTCGCGAGAGACGCGCTGTGTTGTTTCGCGACTGTCACTCAGGCAGATGGACGTTTTCGCGTTCACGATTTCGCAAAATGTTGTCGGTCGTCGCGGGACGACACGACACGCGCGGACACGGGTGTTACCTCGAATACGTTCGAGTCCCAAAAATAGTCCTTGACGGTAGTTAGTGTGAGAATCGCGTGCATCCACAGCATCTCTCCGGTCTCCGTTCGCAGCTTCTCGAGGATGCTCCACGTGATTCTCATGTCGAGCAGCCCGGCATTGGCCAGCGCGAACGAGTCCGCCAGCAATTGCACCTTCGCTACTTCCGGCAGAGCTCGGAAGGACCTCAGCAGCAGCTTCCAGTTCTCCACGTCATAGTTGACGCGGTAGAGAGCTGCGGAGGGGCAGAGGTCACGAGGAGTTATCAGCAGCCACCTTGTGCGAGTCCAGAAGTCTTTTGAAGAAAATGCTCTCGCAACTCGGGGCGACTGCTGCTAATTGCGTGATTAATTAGCATCGCGTTAATTTTCGTCGCGCACACATTGCGCATGCGCGCGCGCGCGTGTGTGTAGGAGAAATTCTTGCAAAATTACAAAGTGGCTCTCTCGAGTCTGTATCCAAATTGATCGACTTCAGTCATTGTCGGCAGGAATATTGCTTCGGATATTATCTCCTTAATTGATCGGCGGATCTTACGACAGTGATATTACCCGTTTGATTGATATTGAACAGAATCCACTGGTCGCCGAGGCTCGCCCGGCTCAGGGCGGTGTCGTTAATTTTCATGCGTTTCTTGTCCATCCATGCCTTCGGCAAGGTATTACCAAATTGCTGTTCATTTTCGGTTGTCCACGTCAACGGGATGTGCCATAACTCTTGGCTCGTACTATTTAGGCCGTAATGATAAAATCGCCCCTGAAACACAAACATCGCATAATCGAGCAATTTTTAGCGACGTCCACCGCCGCACCGCGCACGCTTCGCGTGCCTGCATTTTTTTTACTTCTGCCCGTCTCCGTGCAACGGCCAAGATTAAGCAGCAATGCTTGCTCACGAGGTTGCTCGCCATTTATATTCCACGAGTTATAATTGTATTAATTCGCGCTGCCTTCGCGAGACCGCGCTGCTCGAGCGCGACGATTTGACAGAGCGAGCGAGCGAACGAACGAACGTCTGATTCCGCGTTTAACACGAATTACCCACATCGATAAATTTGCCAGATACACCAGTGCCCGTCCTCCCCGGGCCCTTCCTTCCCCCCCCCCCGGGCCTCCTGTTCTCTTTCTCTCGGTGGCCGATTCGAAAAATTACTAAGTCACGTGTGCAAACGTGGGAAGAAGAGGCCGCCTCCGGATTGACCGCGCAGGAGCGGCGCGCGCGAAGATCGAGCCGACGAAACTCGTTCTCCTCCGTCGCGCGCGTCGCTCGCGCGCATCGAGCGACGATGATCAAACACGCGCGCACATCTCGCAAAGAAGCAATTTGTCGCGGCCGGGGAAGCGAGACAGAGAAACTTGCGCGCCGGGGAAGCGAGAGACTACGATAAGCGATCGGCTGTTGCGCGTGCGCGCGCGCGCGCGCACACCTGCGTAAGCTCGAGCGCACCGGTTTCGCGATTCTGCCGGACGCGCAGGACAGGGAAGCCGGCCTGATACGTCCAAGTTCGCATAACGTCCTTCATGCGCAGCCCGGAGGAAGCCGGTAGCCCGTCGGCCGCCGCCGCCTCGTAGTCGATCTCCAGCTGGAAGGCGCTCCAGAGATCCTCCTGATCGGCGCTGCGATAGTAGTACGTGCGCATGTAGCGGCGCACAGACGCCAGGTAGACCCGCTCGCCCAGAAAATGATAGATCATGTGCGCCATGCAATTACCCTTGGCGTACGACGTCAGGTCGAACACGCCGATGAGGCCGCTCAGCTCCTGGGGGTCGATGTGCAGCGGGTGCGCCGCCTCGCTCGCGTCCTCGTGAAATACGTCGTGGCATTCGGCGAGGAAGCTGGCCTGCCGGTCCCAGGACTCGGGCTCCAGCTGTGAGAGCAGCCGGCGAGGTGAGAGAAGTCGGAACGCCGCGGTCGCGCGAGGCTGATTGCCCGTAGGAAAAGCGCAGAGCTTGGAGGACCGAGCGATTTCGCGAGGATCTCTCTAGAGACTTGCCATCTTGATATCCGCGATGTTTCACGGCGAGGAAATGCGCGCTTGAAATTCCTGAAGAGTCGAGATCAACCGGTTCACCGGTGCACCCGAAATCGGCGAGACTGAATAATTCCGTATTTTACATGGAAGCTTGACTGTTAAGGGTTTTCTCGAGTCGCTGTTGTCACGAGTCCAAGATCAAAATTATAAAATTCAAAATGGCGCATTCAATGTGGCGGCTTCATGTGGCAAACTTTGATATGCCATTGTGGAGGAAAATTCACCAAAGTAATTCGGCAAAGGAGTAGTTTCCTTCGATATATTTCACCCGCTAATAATGGAGGTGAGAGTATCCATAATGGAATACCGTTGATCACTAAAAGTCGCCATATTGGATCCACCATTTTAGATTTTGCAATTTCGACTAAGTTCATCATCAGCAACCCAAAAAACATGAACATATCATGAATATAATCTTCTCTAAAATAGGAAAATAAAATTAGCCAAATTGGGGCTGCCATATTGAATTTTGAAATTTCGACCCAGCGATCGTCAGTAGCGACTCGAAAAACCCTTTATAAAAAGATTTCATACAATATCAAATGGGGATATCAATCTTGATAAATATTCTTCAAAAACTGACAAAATTGAATATCTAAACGCCGCCATATTGGTTGGATTTATCATCATGAATTTTTCAAATTTGTTACCAGTGAACTGCTTAAGGAATATACATCGAGAAATCACACTTGCGATCGATCACTTGCGTATCGTGAAATACTCGGAACGCTTTTCTTTTGAATTGGATATATTTCTTTACCTCGCGGAAATTTGGAGCACGCATCTTCTCGCTTCCCACGCCATGAGTCAAGATGGCTGCGTCCAGAGCCTAAAAAGTAACGACTAGAGATTGACTTCACGGCTGTGTAGTGACAACGTGCGCGCAATTTTTCTCGATGAAACCAACAGTTTGCTTCTTCAGGGGCAAGAACGACCTGAAGCTTTCAGTTTCAACTTGACCTCCAACTTGCAGGAGCAATCCTCCGCGTCGCGACATCCAAAGATACGAAAAGCAGCAGTTCTCGGGGCGTTCGCGATTTCGGAAGCTGATCCGCGCTCATCTTACCACGCTCAATGCTAGGAATCCGAAAAACGAGGAGAAGCCCTCTTTCAGCCACACGTCGTCCCACCACCTCGGCGTCACCAGGTTACCGAACCACTGATGGGCGATTTCGTGCGCCGCGATGCTAGCGAGCACTTTCTTGGCTATTATACCACCGCCGGCTGCCTTCATGACGGCTATGTCCTCCCTGAAAACGTCCACGAGACTCAATCTGAAATTCGCGTCTGCAAGCGACAAACTCGACTTTCTAATGAAAATGACGCTCGACTCTTCCCGAGGAGCTGGCGGCGGGAAATATCGAGAGAGCAGCGTATTCACCAGATGGTTATGAGGCCCCAGTTCTCCATCGCGGAGTACATCAGCTTGGGCACCACGATCACGTCGAGCTTGTCCAGCTCGTAGTAGAACCCGGTGAAGTTCTGGATCAGTCGGAGCACCTTCGGCACCAGCTCGCTCATGTATCTCGTGTCGTTGACGACTTCTCTCCTAGAGAAGATTGTGTGCGACGGTCGGTCGGTGACGTTGACGCGGTAGCCGACAAAGTCGCTCACCATGAAGGCGACCACGTAAGTGGGCATCGGCAGGGTCTTCTCGTAATGATCCCACACGTATCCCGGCAAGCCGCGTCTGAGGAAGAGGACCGTTTTGAGAGCGCGACAGGCAGTCTTTTTAGGTTAGCTGGATAAGATGAAGCGTGTGGGTGTGAATTCTTCTTGGCGCTTTCTGATCCTGACATTACCTTCTCCGCTTGTACTCTTTTTTTTCACGCAAGAAATGGCAGAAGAAGGAGACAACAATTGCGCGCAGCGTTGCGCTTGGACGATTTTGACAATTAGCTAGATAGAGACAAAGAACGAAGTTTGTAAATTTCCCTCGATTGACCCGGAAGGGGTAGAAGGTTGATGAGTGAGGGGGGGGAGGGAATTTGACAGAGTGTCGAGCTGCCTTACATGTCCTCAGTGACTTTGCGCATCGAGTTGGAGTGCGAGCGCATGTCCGACCTTCTGCCGATCGAGATGCGGAACGGCGTCTTGAGCCACGGCTCGTCGAAGCACGGGAAGGCCCGCCGAGCGTAATCCGGCGACAAGTTCGACACCGCGATCCACCTGAAAGGAGACAAAGTCGCTGGCGAATCGATTCCAACGATCGTCACGGCGGCGACTTGCTTCCGATTGTCGGCCCAGCACGACGGCTGGCGGAAGTGAAACGCCCGGGATTGAGGTCACCTGGTTTCGTTGGTGCCGCGATCGACGTGCGAGCTCCTGAAGAGTCCTTTGGACTTCTGCTGTAGCGGCGCCGTATACTTGACGCGCAAGACGTAAATCTCGCCGGCCATCAGCGTTTGCAGCAGAAACACGTCAATAAAGTCCTCCCCGGCCTCTTGGACGTACCTGTTGATGAACCTGGACGCGTTCAATGGCCGATCGCGGTACTCGGTCACGCTGAGGTCACGCACGCGAAGGCCGCACGCGTGCAAACGTACGTGCTTGGTCGGGATCTTGGAGTAGAATTGAATCTCCACATCGCCGATCGTCGTGAAATTCCCCTCCTCCAGGACGGGCAGTATCCTCAGACTGGAACGCAATTTTTCCTCGCAAACCAGGGCAACCGCCAGAGAGAGAGAGAGAGAGAGAGAGAGAGAGAGAGAGAGAGAGAGAGAGAGAGAGAGAAAGAGAGAGATGCGCCGCGCGTCTGTTCTATTTCCGTGATGTTTCGTAACGCTCCGCCAACTTTTAATCGCCGCGAGAGGCGAGGCGTTAGGATCCTCGGCGGACGATGCTGATCATCCATCAACTCGCTTCCGTTCTATCTTTAAAAGCTCGCGCGCGTGCCGGCCGAACGAAGGTCGCGCGAGCCGGCAGCAGCCTGCGTGTTGTTCGCGCGACGCGACTCGAACCGCGCCGCGCCGCGAGCGGTACTCACGTGTACTCCAACGGTAAAACATGATCGGGCAGCCTCTCGAGGTGAGCCGTGTTGCGAGATCCGCCAGCGGACGAGCCCCTGTGCCTGCCGTCCCGCCGATTCTCCATGATCGAGCTGACGAACCAGTAGATGATGATCGCGCTCACGAACACGCAGATCAGTATCGTCGCCACGATCCTCACCCTCTCATGCCAGCAGCGCGAGCTGCCCTTGCAGGCGCACAGGCTTTGGCGCTTGACGCAGGCCTCGCTAAGCCCGGCATCCGCGGGTCCTGAAGCATTCGATCTCCCCGTAGCGTTCCTCAATGGCGCTTCAGCTCCGTCGCTCAGCTCTCGCTGAGCCGCATCCGGGCTTACACGGGAGTATCTCGTCGCGGTGTGTTCTCGGAGGCGCTGAGTCGCGACCCTGACGAGCCGGAACCCTCCGCGCGCGAGCTTGCCGCGAGGGATTCCGTCACCTCCGAGAGCGAGACGAGGCGAGGTACTCTCTCGTGAGTCGCAGGCCGCTCCCTTCGGCCCTTTACCTCGTCGTGCAGCGCGGCTCTCCATGCTGATCTCGGCTCGAGCAGGCGCTAAGCCCCCGCAGGCTCGAGCGACCGGACGAGCATTGCCGCGCGACGGTCAGCCAGCGGCGACTGCGTCCGCAAGGCGGAAGACGCCCCTGTCAAGGGCTCGGGCGCGCGTTCCGCCAGATGTGCCCGCCAAAAATACACTCGTACACACCACGCCGTGCACCATCGACGCCGCCCGCAGCGACGTTCACGCTCCGCCGCCGCCGCCGCCGCCGCCGCCGCCGCCGCGGCGCCTTTCAGAATCTCAAGCGAGAAATCAGGCTTGCTCTTCGCGATTTTTGCCAGCGGAATTTCATGTCAGCGAGATGCCCGCCATTCACGACCGCTCGCCGGGTCGTCGGCGGACGCTCGATCGCATGACGTCGCCAGCGACACGTGGGTGTGTCGATCCGGCGTATCTACGATCTCGATCTCCGCTCGACTAGGTGCTATCTACGTCGACGTTGGCGTCGGCATCTAGCTTTCGAGCCGCTCGCCTGAGAATCCTCCTTCTGCCCGCTGATGAGAAAGCCAGCCACTTACCAGTCACGGATTTATGCTCGGACAGAAGACTCGGCCGAGGCCGCGACGAGTGTTCATTGTGGGATCTCGCTTTTTTCCTCCTCTTCTCCCCCTCCTCCACTCCCCGCTTCACGCGACATCCCACGGAATGTAGAGTTCGGTTTCACGGCAAAAAGCAGCGCTTCATGAGATATTGTCCGTTCTCCGGGTGAAGATCAAGCTCGTGGGAAAGGGAGCTCACTGGCGATCTTGAAGAAGCGACGGGGTAGTCTTCAATGAGAGATGCGTGAATATTTCTTTCCGCGTCTCGACCCATGGAGACTTCATGAGATCGCGCGCAGGGACTGGTCTGTACAAAATATTCAGAGGAATTGCGCACTTCATCTTGTCCTTATCGAGCTGACTGGAAGAGCGGAGAAGCTCCCAGTCGGGAGGAAGCGCTGGGGAAAGATTTTCGGCCCGAACGAGTGCCCTCCCATCGCATCAACTTTCTCGACAGCTCGCGGACGAATCCGTCCGTTCGCCGCGGCCTGTCTTCGCGGAAGACACCTTGACTGCTTCCAGGACTTTGCTCGCCGCGCAAGTTTCATCAGCACTCGAGGAGCCAGTGGCACTTTCGCAGAGAGCTTCGCCTGGAGGACTCCGCCTGGAGATGAAGCTAGCGGAAGCTCGTGCCCGTGCCCGTCTCCCCCGACTTGGAGAGCTCGGAGCTTTCGGCCGGAACTCTCCTCCGCATACGGCGGCAGGAGCAACCTGCGGAAACCGCCGCGAAACGCGGGAAACGACCTTTCCATGCGGTTGTTGCCGTCGTCGGCAGACCGCCCGGCACCGCTGACGGGGACCGAGGACGACAGTGTCTCGAATTTCAGGGAATCTCCCTCTTCCTGTGAGTGCCGGCGGCGGCGGGCCTCTCGCAGCTCTCTCTCTCTCTCTCTCTCTCTCTCTCTCTTGGCGTGCGTGCTCGAGCCAGGCTCGAAGGGGCGCGAGAGCGCCCAAGAGAGGAAGCCAAACAATACCGATGACTAATGGAGACGCGCGACCCTTGAGGAGGAGCCGACCCCTCGAAACACCAGGGCCCGGTCGGGGTCTTGACACCCACTCGTTCACTCACTTTCTCCCTCTCTCTCTCTCTCTCTCTCTCTCCCTCTCTCTCTCCCTCTCTTTCTCTCTTTCTCTCTCTCTCTCTCTCTCTCTCTCTCTCTCTCTCTCTCTCTCTCTCTCTCTCTCGCCTTCGCTCCTCTCGGCTCCTTCGTGTTTTCTTAGCTGGGTCCCCGCCCGAGATTGACTTACGCTCCTCGTGACGGAGTAATGGCCGTCCTGAATCAATGAGACGGCCACGAATCTGTGAATGAATCGCCCGCGAGAGGGTAACAACCCCGTCCAGCGCGTCCTTCTTCATGCCTGGCGGTCCCCGTCGCGCGCTCAAAGCCAGACGTCTGCGGACGCAAATGAGCTTCAGGCTACCAGCGACTGTGAGATCGCCGAAAGCCTGGTGGTGGCCGAGGCGGCGAAGGAGTTCCTCTGCCAAAGTCGGAAGTTGGTGTCGCGTTTCGCAGAGGAAGGAACATGGGTCACGCGCGTCGAGGCTGCGAACAAACACCTCGTGGTGGAAATCGCTCGGCTCACTTGTCCGGAGCTGTCCTGCCGCGGGAAATCTCGCCGATGAGTTTCCGGCGGGTCGCGCACCGCGCGACACCCAGCAGGCCGGGGAGTGGACACGAAGAAGAGGTCGTTTCGTGTGTCACCGTTTCGGATTCCTCCGACCAGTCGCCTCGGCCGCGAGCGGCGATTGGCCAAAAAGGCAGCTCGAGGGGCACCGCGCAGCAAGATCTCGCAGCTTCCGCGGCCCTACTCCCACGACTCCCCGGCCACGACGGCGTTCTCCGTCACGCTGCCCCGGCCCTACGGCGACGCCGTATCACTCGTTTGACACTTCCGAGTGGGCGCTAACGCAATTCGCAGCGAGCCGCGCGAGCGCGGAGTGAAGCCGCGATGAACCCCGCGTCGACCTTCGCGCGCGATTAAAGCGAGCCTCACGCGCCAACTTGCCAGGTATGGCTCAGGTGCGACTCTAACGGCGAACGGACCTTTCTTGCTGGATGGACAAGTGCGGGCGGGAGGATCTTGCGCTGGAGCGGCTCCTTCGGCTTCCCCTGGTCGCTGCTAGTCGCGCGATGTCTTCGTGGTCGGAAGACACAACTTCGAGCGGCCATCGGGTCCTCGATGACCACTTCGAGCTACCGCCGACCCCGCCGACGCCGTCGGCGCTCCACGTGGATGGGCAAAGCGCGAGATCGGTGGCCTGCGACGCGTCCTGGTATCACAGGTGGTCCTGGAACGGCCAAGCGAATCCTTGTAATGGACTCGACGCCGCGATCGACGAGAGCGCTTCTCGTTTTCTCACTCCGCCCTACGTCGTCAACTTCTTGCAGAGCACTGACACCAATCAGAATTACCGCGCTTGCAGGTGAGAGGTCTCCGTTGACGGTTCTTGAAGATTGAAGGGAAAAGCCCTCTACCATGTTGCGAAGAAGCATGTGAAAGTTGGAGTTATTAATTGGAGAAAATTGGTGAATAGTCGCGCGCGATTAACCGCCCGTCTTCTTTCGCTGATAACTCGGATTCTTCCATGACTCTTCGCTGGGGACTTTTCTCTTCAGTTTCATCTGATTGTGTGGTTCTTTGAAATTGCGCAATCACACGTCGTGGTCGTACTAATTACGAGACAACGCACGGGGAAAAATGTTTCATTGAACGAAACAATTTTCCGGTGAAAACCAGAAAAGAATACCAGAATGTTGCTTGAGTGAAGCAGCAACCTTGACAATTTAGAATTGCCGTAACTTCAACCGGGATTTTTGTACCGTGCTCGTACTTTAGCGTTTCTCTTCGTGCGTGAAGAGAAAAATTTGCAAGCTTTTCGCAACGTCTGCGACGAGATTTTGCCAATCAACGACCTTCGTTGTATTTTCCCGCGGCAAGATGGGAGCAATATTCCCAGCAAGCCGCCGCGGATTGCCGGCCGATGATCGATCAATCAAGCGAGAGGGAGGATCCAAGATCTCCGCGAGTATCTTCCGAGGATCTATCATACGCGAATCAAGATCGCTGCGTGACGACCACGACGAGCGCGGCCGCGGCGTTCCGTGTTTGGCAAACGACTCATCCGCAGGACACACCGATGGACTGCGAGCACGACGGCAAATGTCAATCCTGGCAGGACATGCGCGTCGAGGAAGAGGCGCGCCCGCAAGGACGAGGTAACACGTCGCTCCTCGCTCTCTCAGTATTTAATCCATCGTCTCGGAAAATCGCGTCAGGAACGCGCAATCGAGCCGATCGTATCGGCGAACTGTGAAATATTTTCCCGTCGTTTTGTATTTTTGCAAAGTTGTTATTGAACTTTCTAAAGCGCCATTCATTATGATTCATTGGTGCACATAACCTTAAAAGTAATAATTGATGCAACGGGCGACGATTTGGAAGCGTTGTTGAATGAAAACCCGTTTAAAATGCAGGTAGAACTTGCAGAACAACTCGGGATTGTACGCGCGTTTCGTTGCTTTCCAGACAGCGTGAAAAAGATTTTTTGTCGAAAATTGCTACTGGCGATGAGAAGTAAATTAAGCACGATAATTCTAAACGCAGACATTCGTGGGTGGACCGCGGACAGTCTTCTGCATCAGCGGCGAAGCCAAATATTCACAGCAAAAAGGTCCTTCTGTGTATTTTGCTTATTTTTGAAGTTATATGCGGCAATGAATTATAATAAATGGCGTTTTAGAAAGTTTACACTGGCTGTGTTCAGTAGAACAAAATGATCAGTGAGCGCTTAGTGATTATTGTCTGTGATTGGAGCATTCTTTTAGATTCTTCGTAGACCCAGAAGTATTTACCAATCAGGAGCGAGAATCACTAAGCGCTCACTGATCACTTTGTTCTGCTGAACGCAGCCAATACCAACCTTACAAAACGGCGGGAAAATATCTCAGTTTAAAATAATTACATTAGAGAACTGAAAAAAAGACCAAAACTTTGGCATACACCTGATAATTACAGATGGGGATTAGCGGGAATTTCACGTCCGCGAACAAATCTCCGCGGAGACTCCCCGAGAAGCGATCGGAACGCGATTATTCGCGCCGTTATCGCGGCGGGTCTAATTATAGAAATTTCAGCTGCGCGACAAGTTGAGCTGGAAACATTTCCGATCGCGACCACCGCAGGTTTCCGCGACGCGAATCGTTGATGATACGGTCGGAAGGTTTATGTCTTTAGCGTCGCCAATGCGGCCATAATAGGCCCAGTGCGATGTAAATGTTTATCGGATGTCTAACTGCATCGAGCTGCTGCACGTCTTGCGTAATAAATGCCTCGCGGTGTCTCGCTCTTGTCATTGCGCTGTGGAAATTGTCATCCGTCGACGAAATTACTCGACGTCGACTCGGTGATGTCGTCTCTGTCTCTGCAAGTCAACTGAATCCTCGAGTGAACGTCCTTAAATCGACTGCCACCGATAAACAAGTTTGATGCCGACTGCCGCTGTTTACAAATACGTGAAGTCAAGATACCTTAAATTCAAAATGATGGACCCTACGTGACATGGCGGCTACACAATCATAATTTCATTTCATAATGTTGAAAATATATTAGAGATGTGCGAACTATTCGAATTCGAATCGAATCGAATCGAATCGAATTTAATTCGATTCGATTCGAATCTGAATCCCTATGATTCGAATCCGAATAATTCGAACAGGAATCAAATACATTATCGTTTGCGTGCATCAGCTACAAAATGAGCCATCTGGGCCTGTATGTTTGAACCCTTAACTTGTAATTAACTTAACTTATAATTAATAACTTAATTATAAATTACTTTAATTATTTAAATATATATTTTACTTTGAGATGATATCACTATATCAATATTCCCTTTCATATTAAAATCTTCCATCATTATTTACATGTTTAATAGTCATGTTAAATTTTTTAATGATTCGATTTGATTTCATTCGATTCGATTCGAAGTGAATTCGAATGAAATTTCATAGATTCGATTCGATTCGATTCGACATAAAAATTCTTGATTCGCACGTCTCTAAAATATACAGAATGTAAATTCACTTAAAATCTATAAAGTAACAAAGTACCGAAATAACGAACGATTATAATTTATAACGGCAAGTTATGTGGGTAACCTTTGGTTTTGGTCGTCCATCGATCCATCGATTTGAAGACTCGCCATTTCGAATTTTGACCTTCAACACCCGCGATTGAACGGAATGAGCCCCCCTAGAACCTTCGAATACCCAATTTTAGAAATATTCAGCTACCCCCGCAACGCAATATTACATTTCCGTTAGGCAAGGGGTTGAAGGCAGCACTTGCGCCAAGAACAAGCTGACAATCCTGACAGTCGTTGCCGCGAAAGAGAAAAAGAACCCAGGAGAAAAGATGAAGTAGCTCTTCAACAATCGCGCAGCTTTTTGCTTTCTGCAAATTCATCCGAATAGACCTCAAGTGAGCCGATAACGAGCATCGATGCGAGCCGCGGAGCACGCGGGATTGACGTCAGCCGGCAATTAGAGACGAGATAGCGGCACGGAAGCAACGTTAAGGGCCTCGAGAGAGAGCGAGCAGGGAGGGGGGTAAGAGGAGGGAGGGATAAAAAGGGGGCGAGCAAGCGCGCAGTGCTACCGCCGCGGCCACGTGTCGTGTTAAAAGCGCCGCCAGCCTTCTAGCTTCTAGCGGGATTTCGCAAAGCGCACGCGGCCGACGGTGCGTGTGCCGCACACGCATCGTACGTACGATTATTTTCATCCGGCCGCGGCAAAAAGCCGCCGCCGCTGCCGCGAAATCTCGCCGCGGGAAATCGCGGCGCAAGAAGATGACGGACGACGGGCGGCGGCGGCGGCGGCGGCGGCGGCGGCGACGTCGTCGTCGTCATCGTCGTCGTCGTCGTCGAAGTGGATGACGCGCGCGTTATGTCACGAACTGCGCGTCCTCGTCGAGCTTTGAGACGTTGGATTCTGGGGCTGCTCTTTTCGATGATAGCGAATTTTGGGAATCGAAATCCAAACTGGCGAGTCCTCGAGTCAAAACGAAGCGCTGCCCACGTACGATGTAATTTATTCTCTCGGGAACTCACGATCGTTTTCTTCTCCGCCGAGTCACAGCGTCGAAATGAAGGAAAGAGAGCAAGCAGTGCTGCTGATCGGTGATTTTTTTGACCGGCTGAATACAAATCAGACGAAGCATCTGCACTTTTTTTTCTTAGCACTTTCATGACACATGATCATTATGTCTACGAAAATAAACATAATAAATGATCAAAGATGAAGGTAATATACATTTAAATTATCTGGACTTAAATTATTGGATAAGGACGAGTTGATGCTAGAACCTTTAGACACTGAGGACTCTCTGAAAAAGTCCAAGAGGTGCATCTAAACAAAAACGAGCGTACATTTCAGATGAGAAATAATTCTTCTCAGTTGTTAGAGATATGCAGCTTGCGATATGAACAATCCGGACGGCCCATGATGCCTTCGACTTATCCATTCGCTCGTTCGCAGAGACGACCAAGAGGACGGGCGAGAAGCCGCGGAAGGAGAGGACCGCGTTCACGAAGCAACAGGTTCGACACCTCGAGTACGAATTCGCGCGGAGCAACTATCTGACGCGCTTGCGGCGTTACGAGATCGCCGTAGCGTTGGATCTGACGGAACGCCAGGTATTACCAGGTGTAATTTGCGCGATCGGACGCCTTCGTACCGTGCCGTTCAGTCGTTTTTCTTCCCACAGGTGAAAGTGTGGTTCCAAAACAGGCGGATGAAGTGGAAACGGACAAAGGGCAGCGCGGCTAACATCCAGGAGGCGACCGTCGCGTCGTGACGCATCTCTCGCGATCGCGACGACGTTCCGTTGCGCGGCATTACGAGATACGAGATTGTACATAACGAGACTTGCGTGGACGCTCGCGATGCTCGCTCGAAGCCGAATCACCACGGTAGAAGCTTTAAAAGTTCGCGTGTATACAGTATTTAGCGCTGTAGAGATTTAAGGAAATAGAAACTTGCACTCGTCACGTGGATGTTAAATCCCCATTCTTTATTCCGCATAAATAATCTATTATCAAATTATATAATAAAGAACCAAGTGAAACTGTTACAGTTGTGGCACGTCGACTGCTTGAAATTTTATGCTGATTCCCTTCTTTTGCAGTTTACCTTCTAACGCGGAGAGCTTGCTTAGCGAACTCTTGACAAAATTTTTGTAATCTTCTGTGCTTTGACTGTTATTTCTTTGTGTGGTTACTTTTCGTCGATTTTTTAGCTTGGGATACTGGTCTTCCGACCAGTTGAATCCCAAGAAAAAGCCAGGATGTTGCTTCTCAGGCGGAATATATGTAGCTGAGGAGAAATGAAAAAGAAAATATATACCGAGACAGATTATATAAATGAAAAATTATAAAGCAATTTTAAACAAATACGATACCTTTTAACAATCGACCACACATGAGATAATTATGCATTGTGTTTGCTGCAACCTTGGCGACATCCTTGTGCATGAATTCGATGTAGCCATAGCCACGACTTCTTCCAGTCTACAGAGCAATTTGAAAGATTTGTTAGTTATACGACATATCCAAGTAGTTTACAGTTTGCTCAAAATATGTACATACTCTTTTGGATCTTGCCACTCGTACTCTTGTGACCTTGCCAAACTGTTTAAAATAATCTCTCATCTGCTCTTCGTAAAATCCATGAGGTATGTGCCCTATATAAACAATGCCTCTATCTTGGGGTCTTTTTTCTTTGAGTGATGTAGCTTTTGATATAGTTTTCGATGTGGATTTGGATTTTGTCGTAGGTTTAGTTCGCACATCAGGCTTTTTCTTAGTTTTAATTTCTGTATTTTCCTTCTGGAAAATAGAAAATGTGTCTCAGTAAATAAAGCAAACGCTCTTTTGCATTTACTAATACTGATAACATGAGATAACAATAGTAGAATAAGACAAATAAGCAGCAAGAAATGCGCAATAAAACAACCGGATGAATACATAAAATATACAATAGAAATGAAATTAAAACGGTGAAGATATATCTGCATACTCTTCACCAGTGAGTTATGTCTAACCTTAAAAATCTGTTGAACATTTTTAACCGCTTTCTCGAGACTGACGCCCGCTTTCGGCGTCGATGTCTTTCGCTTGCTCTTAGCAACCTTCCTCAGGACTGGCTCCTGGAAGGATACTGTACTTTTTTTCGTTACTTTCATATTTCTTCAACAAACAACACAATACGCGAATAACAGCACGTGCTACGAAACGACGGAGTAACAACCACAGTTCAGTTCAGTTCAATATATGGCTCCGGATTGCATTCAGCTTTGTCCATACGCCATTTTCCAGTAGTATGAAGGTAAAAGAAAAACAGGGACAACGCGTACGCGGTCCTCACGATCAAAAAATATGCGTAGTTACAGAAACCACTTCCAACCGCCACGGAGGCGAACTAAAGACTCTTTGAGTAACAATCACAGTAGTGGATGATGAAGAGTTAAGGTACGATCACATGGAATTCGAAATAGCGGAACGGAAAAGAAACGGAAAGGGCAAATGGCGTTAACCAATCGGAGCAATTTTGTTCCGTTATTGAAAAGATGATTGAAAAGATATTATTCATATTCACGCAAGCGCAGATGTCGCTTCTCAGTGAAGTACGTATTCCACTGCAACAAAGATATCGTAACAAAAGAATCTTGTGAGGAAGAAACACAAACGATATAAAATAGAATGTAGGACAGCTGCAAGGAAATGAAATATATAGTTTATTGGTGAAACTAATAAATTTTCTTGATTTATTGCTCCCTCAGCCGATTTTCGTCCATAAAAATGGCAAATATATATTTAAAATATCTTTTAGAAATTACCAAAAATTTTCTCCATCTTCCATCACTAAGTTACAGTATACTGCTTGTGGTTAAAGGTTATGATTTGTAAGTTCTGTTGACAAATTTGGAGGGACTACGAGAGGCTTTATAGGTTATGTTTTGTCAGTTCTGCTGACAAATTTGGAGGGATTGCGAGAGTGCACAAATAAAAATTGTGAAAATTAGAAGTGTGTTACTACATTCTCATAAAGGCAGATATCTATTAAGAATAAAGGAAGAGTTGGAGGAGAAATACACGATACGTATTTCAAGAAATGATACGTAATATGCTTGAATGCAAAACTGAATTAACGAGCAGTTCAACTTGGAAAACGTCCAAATTGTACACTCCAACCGCTTGAGACGTAAAGTATTAAATCAAAGATCATGTTTATCTACCGAATACCATTTTCTATGTTCTGCTATTAGCCTGTTTGTTTCACGTCAAAATTTCTATTTTCATAGCTAACTCAACTTTGCAGCATGATAGATTGACATTTTACTTACTAAGAAATAAAATATTCCGTACGTGTACTTTATATTAAATGTTAATTGTTGTTTTGTAATTTTGAAAAGTTTTATAGATAATTTCATAATTTTCAACTTGGTATTTCTTAATAATTATATGATCATTATTTTATAGATAAGCTAAGGAGAAAAACTAGAATAACTAAAAGAATAACTAGGAAGTATGGCGAATGAACAAGAGCAAAAAATGAATGCAGAATTCCTACCATGTAGTTTTAAATTTCACAACTTTAGTGCAAGAGTCAGTGATGTGACTGTCAATTGTAAAATCATAAAAATGGAGAACTGCTTGTACTTGTGGATAGGAGATTGCAATAATCCAACTATGGAAGATCTGTCTTTTGCCCTAGCATCAAACTTTCAAAGACAACCGATTGCTACAAAGATCATGGGTGCTGTAGCAGACGCCACATCCACAAACATGGCTAAAAGATTAAGTATGAAGCTTGGAAGGCCTGTGTATGTCAGTTTTAATATAACAGCAGACAATATAACATTACCAGGAATCGAAAGGAAGATCCAAGAGGAGTTTAAGACACATGCAGATTTATTAAGTTCTTAATAAAATCCTAATAACAGATAAATCTCCAAAATGTTTTTTACTTAAAGAAATGTTAAATACGAGAGCAGTCTGAAAAGTTCCTGGCCTAACAATGAAAGAAAATTTTTTTTGCCGTGAAATATGTTTTATTTTTTAATATAATCTCCTGAAACTTCAATACATTTATTCCAACGTTTTTCCAATAATTCAATACCATCATTAAAGTGTGATTCTGGAAGGTTCTTTCTGCTCTGGTGTATAGTGGTGGATCCAAGTTTCATCACCAGTTATGAAACGACGCTTGAAATCCATTTTATTTTGCTTAAAACGATTCAAACACACTTGAGAAATACGCATTCAAATGCAATTTTAATCAATTGTTAGCAAATGCAGTACCTATCTTGCACAAAGCTTTTTCAACTGGTGCTACTACTCGTATGATTTGACAGATCGAATAAAATTTTACATGAGTTTATATCAGGGATGCCACTACCAATACAATTATAGTTTGACAGTTTCTAATGCCATGTATGTCAGGTTGAGAACTTTTCAGACTGCCTACATATTAATAAACATACAAGTACATTGTAACAGTACATATATACTAGAGCTATACAATGTGGAGATATCCCATTATTTGAGATATTTATTTGAAGTTACAAATCATTTTTTTATTACTATCTGAAGTAGAAAAGAATTGTTGATGTTTTACTTCTGTAATAAATATAATTTTGATGAAGGTTGGTACATTGTGGGTTAATTTGGTTAAATTTTTGAAGATTAGAATGTAGTTTCAATCATTCAAAATTTTAATCAGAATTCAAAAAACAATTCATTATTCACCATTCAACAATTATTCATTATTCATCATTCAACAATTATTCATTATTATCTAATACTTTAGATCTTGCCAATTTTTGTGGAATTCATAATTTTGATCAAATCTAACCCAAGTATTTTTTTGTAAATTTTTAGAATTGCTGTTTATAACACTCGTCAAGACAAAGAAAATGACACCTCGCTTGACATTTTCCGCGCACCGGAAATGTTTGAAAATTTGTGTAACGATTTTATAAATAAAAAAGCAATATTTTTTGAGCACTTGCTGTTGGAAGAAAAATTTTTGCAATAATGCTATTTTACGTATTTCGATAAGTACTACTGAATGCAATCTTAAAAACCTAGAGTCAGAGAGAAACGTGAAAGTGCTCAACACGGCGTTTTCGGCGACACCGACTTTCGGAACTGCGAAAGGACGCCATCTGCATCTATTTTGAGAGGAGAACTACGATGTTACCTCCACTTTCAGGTTTCGGCGGTAAAACCTGCGTGTGGTGACAGTTCGTGCTACAACCATAATAGCGTACTTGACAAGCACGGTCTCACACATTGTTACGCGTTTATAACATGAATTAACATGTTAACATGCGCAAAAAAAATAAGAATTGACATTGTGTATGATTAATATCATGAAGATCATACAAAATATCCGATAATTAGCTGCCAATCCGAAGTGTGAAGGTAGAATTGGGTTCAGACAAACATAAAAGTCCCATACCGTTTTGCGAGATTCACAATAATTATCTAGTTATTAATGACAGAAATGTGAGGAGTGGGAGCGCGCCGACATAGATGATTGGAGAAGCGTTGCAACTGCTCAGCGATCATATGAATCTTTTCCTTAGCGTGAACTAGTGAAAAGTGAAAGACTTCTGTGAATTAGTGAAAAATGAAAAATTTTATATGAATTTGTGAAAATCGAAACATTTTTTTACACGACAAGACTCATTGGGTCGTTCAACATGGCAGTTGCGTTCTGGATAATTCTTAATGAATATCATAGAAATCAAAATGATCAACATAATAATGTCCGTGTAGTCCTAAGGATATTACGTGACACGCAAAATCCGTTTGATATAATATCCAAAGAAAATGTTTCAAAATATGTACGGGTAATATAAACCTTATGCACCGACGAGATACTATAAAGACTGTTGGCCTTATGGGATTTAGCTTACCAGAGAAATTTTGCTGTGCACTAGCGCTCTTTTAGGAATATCGTGGCCGAAATATGAAGCATAGTTTGAAATAAACATGGATAGTAACAGATATGGAATAATAGGAAAAAGATATCGGAAGATATCAAAGACTATTAATATAGAAAACAGGCCGAATATGTATGTGTGTATGTCTCTTGGGATTGCGAGACGTGAGAAAATTTAGAATAATTTTTATTTTAAATATATAACCACGTTGGCATTCCTTAAGTTAATAATTCGAAGTTGAAATAATACTAAAATTGCAATCGGAAACATATGTACAGAGTGTTTCACAAATTCCTCGTTCCTAGGAATTCATGAAGACATAGAACGGATTAAGATAAATATAAAATTCCCGTACCATTTTGCGATGTAACAACCGAGTTATTAATTACAGAAATGTAACGAATGAGCACGCTCGCCCAGATGGTATCGAAAAAGCAACGAAGCTGCTCGAGTCAAGCGCGGCCCACATGATCTAACGACAGTTGCCAGCGTGCAAGAAGAAGAAGAAGAAGAAAGACAAGCCGCCGCCCATGCGTCTCCAGATGTGTCAAATCGTTTATTATACAGGAGACTTTGATACGGCAACGGATGTTTCACGAGGACCTGTCGAGAACAAAGGGATGCCCGGGTGCCGAAATTCTGACCGATATCCTGCTACGAGGGTCATTCAAATATTAACCGGATTTTTTACCTGCGGACTCAGAAAGAGTGGGCCGAGGAGCTCCAGGTAGTTAGGTAGAGATGTGTGGAAGGGAGTGACCTCCTTGCAACATTCCTCAGTTGCTGTTCCCTCGTTAGTAGCACCATGACTGAACAAGAGGTACCTACGTACTGTTGCGCAACGCATTATCATTCAATTTCTCGCTAACGAAGGCTTCAAACTAACTGAAATTTTGACTAGACTCCAAGCACAGTTTGGAGATGGTACTCTGTCAAGAACCCAAGTGTTTGATCGGGCCAAAAAATTTCGCAGTGATCGTAATGCTGTGGAAAACGAAAGTCACGAACGTCGTCCGCGATCGAGTGTCATTGGTGAGAATATTCGGGCTGTTCGTGAACTTGTGGAAGATGACCGGCACTTAACTGTTGTCGAAATCTTATCAGATGTGGGCATAAGTATTGAGAGTGCTTACACAATTCTCTCAGGATACCGGCAACCCATTCGCGACGTTCCGCTTCTCCATGACAACGCGCGACCTTATACAGTAACCTTAACCCGCGGTATAAAAGAGACACGAGAATCGCAACGATTCTGTATCCGCGTTACGCCAAGTATATGCTCATACGTATAAGTTCAATACTTGGGGGGGGGGGCTATTTGAAGAAAAAAGAGTCATAATTTACAATACGTATATTTGGACTCGCTTTTACTACATTATTTAACAGAGATTTGTGTGGCTCAACAAACCAATAATGATCTATTAAATTTCCAGAGATGCGAGTCTTTTCATTCGTCACACTTTGGCGGCGGCCATTTGACCGGCTTATTGATGTCAGGGTATAAACATCCCAAATTATCCTCAGCGGCAGCATCGGCGGTAGCTTTCGCACTGATTCCCGGCAATAGCGTGACCGCCATGACAGTGGCTAGCAGAAGCGTGAAGAACGTCCAAAACATGGCGGAATCTTCGTTTCTTGCGTTCTTGGTCGTATGAGCGTTTGATCCAACGTCGCGCAACTTTGCGAATTTATACCCGAGGGAACACAGCTCCGCGTGTGATGCATGCAATTGCTTCTCATGAAAACCATATAAACTTTTTATGCACCGCGCGTGCGGCGCGTGTTACGATTTGTTGCCTTTTTATTGCAACCATGTGGTCGCTTGACAATAGCGATATATCACGTCGCAACGATAACACATATTATCAGATAAAATGAAAACGTCGAAAGTGTCGTAAAGAATGAAATGTAAAAAGAAAACTGGAAGTAGAGAAAGATGGAAGGGACATGATCCATCCGCGAGGATAAAAGTATACACGACGGTAGGTCCCGAGGACGATGGCTGTGGCTCTCGCTCAAATAATGACTCAACTTAACGTTGTCGCGAGAATCGTGATGATTCTGCATCTTATTTTGCGTTACGCCAAAAATATGCTCATGAGCATAAGTTCAAAAAATACTCGGGGGCTATTTAAAGAAGAAAAAAGAATCATAATTTACGATACGTATTTGGACTCGCATTTATTTAACGGAGATTTAAATGGCTTAACAAACCGATAATGATTTGTTAAATTCTCCAAAGATACGAGTCTATTGAACATGTATGTAATACTACTACACAGTCTGTCCCAGATCCAATGAGACTGATCTAAAAAAAATACAAAGCGTTTATTATTTTGATTTTTTATTCTTGTTTATCCAAAATAGTCTCCTTCTGAGTCAATACATCGCTAGAAACGTTCAACAAATTTTTCGAAACATTTTTTATACTCATCGGCTGGAATGGCCTTTAGTATGGCGGTCGAAGTCTTTTGGATGACCGGGATGGTATCGAAACGATTTCCTTTCATCGCCAATTTCAGTTTGGGAAATAGCCAGAAGTCGCACGGAGCCAAATCAGGTGAATACGGTGGATGATCGATAACAATGATGCCTTTTTTGGTCAAGAATTCACGTACCATGATGGCTTTGTACGATGGTGCATTATCGTGCAACAAAAACCAACTGCCTGGCTCTCGATATTCCGGTCGAACTCGTCGAATTCTGGCCCACAATCGTTGTAGAACTCCCAGATAATATCTGGGCAGACACACAGCGGTCGCTTTGAAGAATTTCTTTGACTTTCTCGATGTTTTCTTCATTGCGAGTGGTTTTTGGTGGCGGTGTTCGGTCATCGTCTGCAAGGTCCTCACGACCGTCACGGAATCGGCCAAATCAACGGAAAACCTGTGCACGGAACATGCATTCATCCCCGTACACATTTTTTAGCGTTTCGTACGTTTCTGCACCACTTTTACCCAATTTAAAACATGTTCCATGTTGGTTTTTCGACCGACGT